AACGCATGACTAATATCAAATATAACATATTATAGGATATCCGACACGTCTAAGATTGCCCAAGTTAAAAGTACTATTCCGGCGTATATATATATATATATATATATGTTTGAATATATATTAGAGTACCTACTTAAATTCTTTTTTTTTCTTTTTTAATTGTTCGTTCGACCTTTAAACTAGTAGCTAGGTTGAGTTCTGTTCCATCAGGGGAATGCGGATATTGGAAACTTTCGTCAACAGGTCCCGTAAAAAAAAAACTAATACTTTTAAGCTTTTATTGTATCATATTATATAAATGTTATTATGTAATTTAAATAATATAATAGTTTAACTTATGTTAATATGTATATTATATTAATTATTATCAAAACTATATACTTATTATCGGAGACTGTGGTTTTCCTTCTGAAAAATATGTTATTTGAATGAAAAAGGTACTATGAATAATAGATCGTGTAATTCTTATATTTTAAATATTTATTTCGACGAGTAATTATTTAAGTCCTCGTCTTTAAACTACTTATTTTCGAGTGAATCGTTAATAATTAATACGGACAGACTTTCAAGCACGTTATCTGAATGACAATGTTATTACTTGCAGTTCGTCTTTGAATATTCTTTTTGACGTGTAACTATATTTTCAAAAGTTTCCAGACACTTAAATGGTAACTACAGTTGTTATTTTTTTTTAAATTACTTCACAACATTTTTTTACTCTTATATTTTCTCTTTTCCGAATTTGTCTGCGATTTTAGATCTCTAATAAGTAACAGTTTTTTTTTTAATTTACAGAAATCCAATGTTAATCCAGGTATTAGTTATAAATTATTACACCAATAGTTATTGATAGTTATGACAATGTTGGTCAGATAAAAATGATCCTACGAAACTGAGTTTATAATAAAGTTAATTATAATTTAGTCACAACCAGTTAAATTAAAAAGTTTGAATTAATTTAACTGAAACTAACGAGATATGCCCAATCTCCAGCAATATGCACAATGCACATTTATGTGCATTTGAAATTGCCTAGTTTTACTCCTCATTGTGGTCTTCAATCATTTTATACTCGTTACATCTTTATTTCCTGTACGATACTTTTTATATTTTAGTCTCTTAAGATAGAAATTATCAATACTTCTATGGCAAACAATCTTTTATACAATTATATATAAATAGATAATCCATACACCGTAAAATAACAATATCATTTAACATCGCTTTACCAATTCAACTAAAAAAGAAGCAATTTTCTATATAATATTGTATTATTGTTTCTAAGCTTTTTAATACGTCGTTTGAAGCGTATTTTTTTATGTTCATAGTAAATTTCATTTAAAATCGAATTGCTTTAAAATCATCAAACACGACAGTCTTGGCCTTTGTTATTATGTAAAGGCCTATATTTTTATTTTAATCGACAAGCTTGTTAAGTCTATTAATGCATAATTTATTCGAACTAATGGGATGTTAAAAGTTCTTAGCTATTTTTAACGGAACTGAATGAATTATATGTTTTATTATAGTTGGACCATCCATGAGATATTCGCATAGTCCTTACATGACCAACTTGAATAAAGTTTCGAAAAATAAATTTTTTTTTTTAATTTGACCTTTTGGAAATGCTTTTATCTAATGGCGGTAGAAGAAATAAGGAAATGGAAAAAGTCTGAGCAAAAATCGATTGAAAACTGACGAAGCTAATAATTTTTTTTTTTAATAAAAATACATTTTTTCAACAATAATCCAATACTACATAAGTTGTTTCTTGTTGTGTACATGTACAGAAATAAATTGTAAAGTACTACTAAGTACACCACTGTATAATAATATTGTACATTATAACATGTATAATCTGTGCAGGCGCGTGGCGGATTAAGATAAGGCACGACCGCCGCGCCGGTTCGAATCTCTGGCCACTGGCGGTTTGTTCATCCGGGCGGGCAACTGTTTGGGGGAAGAAATGACAGCCTGCACATCTCTCTGGGGCCAGCTTGTTGGTAGCGTTAGGTCGGCAGCTAGCTATAATTCCAAATCTTAAGTCTTAAGTCCCGGTCGGTGAGAATAACGGACGTTAAACGTAAGAGATGTATTTTTTTTTTTTTTAATGAAAGTGCATTAACAAATTAAAATAACCTGAGCCCATTTATATTAAAACTCATTAATTTACATACGGTTTCAATATGGTCACGAATAGTCTACTATTTGGAATTTGAATTTTTAATTAAACTTTGTACTTCTGTGTATAGAAATAAATAAAAAAAATTAATAATAAATACCCTTTTTTTTTATACTACCATTACACTGGTTAAAAATTAAAATCTGAGCTTTAATAATAGTTTTTTTGTTTTAATTGTTTAAATTTTGTTTACTTATTTCACATCTTCCATACATTTGATGAAATTCGATTCCTTAAAACCTCCTCCTCGAATTAGGCACTGATGGCCTATATTGGCCAGCTAAATTAGATTTACACTGTAGTCCGACTTCCGTTAGTCCTAATTCTCTATCAACGCTTATCCGTTATCACTTCTTCAATGTATTTTCTAATGTTCTTAATCTAGTTAAGTTTTATTAGAATAGTCTTTACTAAATTTGTATAGGGTGATGTTGGCGATGTGAGGTTAGGTGTTAATTTACCTTCAGGTGTTTTTAATATATTAATTTTATATTTGTATTAATTATGTAGCCTATTCGTTTTCAATGTTGCAATTATAATATTAAATAAAACGTAGGTAATCTTTGTATGGAAATAGATGTATTTAATGCCGGATGACTGTTGTGTTATTCAGGTTCTTGTGCTTAAGCGTCGCTATTACCGTTAATTAAAAAATTAAACAAGTTTGGAAATTGTGTCATTAACGATCGTTTGGTGTTTATTTATTTTTATTTTTTTGTTATTAAAATTAATCATTTACAGCAAGGCCGTTGGCTTACAATAACACGATGCTACAAATAAAAATTGTAATGAAATTTTGCCAAGTGACCTAGTGCAGGTGTTGTAGGTCTGGTCAAGTCCAACATAAAAACAATTATTTACACCAAATTTTCAATTTACCGTTAAAAACGATATTAATTATTTTAATTATAAAAATAACTGTTTATTTTTTATGAGTTCTATTATTTTTATTACTTTGTTATGATCTGGCCTCAGATGTCAGATATTCATCTAAGTGATCTAAGTTAGTAGGTCTTTAGTGTATCCGTTAGATTATTCCTAATAAACGTTAATATACAGTTCCACGTGTGGTAAACATTGATTACACTTTGATTTCGATCCACTATACTGGCGCCAACATTATAATAACTATCCGGTCGTGTATCGAAAAGTATACAACAGCTAATGTCCTCCAACCGAATTCCACAATAATCATATATCAGTCAATTTCCAAGGCACATATAAACAAGCATATATAAACTTGGCACACGCATATGCACAGTTTTTAGTGCTACTTCAATATTAGCATCGATCAAATTAATCCTCTTATTTGTTGGTTTTACATATTATAGACAAGATACGATCCATATACCAATTCGATTATAGTGCGAAACACGAAGAAGAATATTATATATATATATATATATATATATATATATATATATATTATATTATTATTATTATTATTACTGCGTCAACTATAGTTTTAATAACAATTGGCCGGTTGTATAAATTGTCGTAAGTTATATTGCTCGAAGGACATATTGTATGCGTAAATGTATTTGTAAACAAAATTTAATATATTGCTGAGCTCGGTTTTAAATACAATTTAATAAGCAGCTTCTCTAGTATTATACTCTGATTCATCGCGTACTGTTTCAAAAATTAATGTCATAGCACAATCAAAATATATTCACATTAATAATTAACAGTATAGCACCCAATTTGGATATGATAGGTCAACGGTCGAATTCAGTGTATGTAGCAACGTAGTTTTATCACATCCTTGCAATAAATTGTGCAATACTTTTTGTCAGATGACCCAGGAAGTTGTATACTCTACCCAGCAGGTTAAGGGTATTATGTTTCGGCTTACCCAAATTAAAACCCATTTCCATTTTTGGTTGTTAGGAAATTTACTTAAGAGCTTCTCGTAAACTATCGTTCAGGTCACTATAGACTTATAGAATTATTAATTACCTTCGGGCCACGTGGCAATATACATAACTTGAAAACCGATCATTGAAAAATATGGAGTCGACCAAAAGCTAACCAAAAGTTACAATCTCGTAAGGAAAGGTCCGCGGTCCATACCATGAACCACTTTTTGAGGTATTCCTACAGAACTTAGGGTTTGAAGTTCATATATTTTATGGACACCTACCGTATCATATACAGGGTGATAAATGTAAATTAAACACTACCTAATTATCTCTGGAATGATAGCGGCTTTGTAGTTTTTCTTTCTGAAAAAAAATGTATATTTTTTACAATTTATACAACATTAGCAGCACAGTGGTGTCCGAGAAGTCACGGGTGATAAAATAACTCTCAAAAAAACTTCGTTGCGAATCTGTATTTCATATTTTTTATTAATGTTCTTTTTTCGAGTAGAAATTCATTACATTCCATTTATCAGTATTAAAAAAGATAATATCATATTTTGTAACACACCAGTACTTTTGAGTTATTTTTGCCATCATTAAAGTTCTGTACAATAATTTGTATATTTTTATTAGTTTTGCGTCATCGACAATTTTAATTTCCTGTATCAGCAGTATAAAAAAACAAGTATGGTTTCGTCAAAAAAGTGGTCACCCGGTAAATATTTACAAAAAAAAAAAAAACTCCATGTTATGATTTCAAAATCCCCATGCGTCACAAAGTAATATCATATAGTACGACAAAGCCCACGTACGATACACGCCTCGCACACCCGGCGGTAAACACGATTTGGGCGGATTTAATAAGCGTTTTGCACATTTTTTTTTCTTCATCTTTTTATCGATTTCTTTTGTATTTTTTATTAAATACTTTGTTGTTTTTTTCTTTTATACAGGGTTGCGTAGTGTCCGACACCAACTCGGTAGCGGCCACCACGTCGACGACGGGAGGCGCCAAAAGCGGATCGGCCATAGTGTTGGCCAGCAGCGTGCTGTCCGACAACGGCTCGTCCAAGCAGATCAACAATACCAAGTCGGTTAACTGTGGTTACGCGCTGATCGCGGCGGCCGTCGCACTGGTCGCCGCGGTCACGTAAAGAACCGCGCTCGCGTAACCGTCACCGCGGTAACCGCCGCGCCGGTACCCGACCGTGGCTGCCGTGCTCGGTCGTCGAATGGCGGTAAATTTCTCGAAATTTAAAAATATAATATAACGTTATTATAAATAATTTTTTTTTTTAAACACACTAAATAAATGAGAATATCGGAGACGTTGACAGACGTGCCGGACCAACATAACACGTATAATTAAATAGACCGTATGTAGCATTTATTGTACATATAAAGATTATTATTTTTTGCAAAATATATATAATAAGTAAGTAAAAATATGATTATGTTCTGGGGTAATTGTTTTTTATGGCTACTGTTTAACGTTACCCGTGGACTGATTTTTGAACTTTGTAACCGCATTGGTTTCAAATCGATAGCCTCAGTACAGTTCTGTGCCCGTGTCCAGAGCCTCTATTGTTTTACAAGGCCTCGCACTATGTATGATGCATTTTTTTTTTGTTTGTACTACCTCACCTACCTATGCATCAACGTGATTAAACCCTAAACATTGTGTAGGGCTTCGAAAAGTTTAACGGCTGGCCCGCCCCAGTTTCCGGTATTCTCATTTTCCGTATCTTGCTCGACCGCCCACCCACTGTTAATAAGTATTGTGTAAACTATTCGAACGGATCTGTTACTTTTAGTGTTGTATTTATACGAATATTTCTAATCTTATGTTATTGTTGTATATAGTATGTTATGTACTATAATCTATCTACCTACTATACTAATCGTCCGACGGGGTTGACTTGTAAATTATCTATTCCGGAAAGTCTCCTTTTCGTCTATTCCTTATACAAAATCCAGCTAATTCGATTGTCTTAAAATTAAATATCAAACGGAAATCACATATATATATTTTTTTTCCGATGTAAACTTTTTAAGACATACGTGATTCGAAAATAAAATTACCGCTAACTTGCACCGAGCAAATATTAACCGACTCGCATAATAATATCATATAGATCCGGAACACATTTACCATTTATTCACAAACACACGGGACGTTTTTGGTTGTGTGTAATTTTATTAATATTTAATAAAGTTTGCGGTGAAACATTCCCACAACGCTCTAATGCGGATTTATTTTTACCCATTGCGCGCAAGAAGAAAGCAAAATATGTTTCATCATTTTATATCATACGTACACAACGTAACATTGTTATGTTTAGTTTTCTGGAATAATTCGCGAAAAATACATCAGTCATAAATGTATACATATTATATTGTTTAGTAAAAAAAAAAAAACTATTATGCTCCTAATACGTTTACAATATTTATGTAGCTGCCATATTATCTCAGCTGTACGACTATCTTAGATGGGGTTGTGTCTTTCTGAACATTTCTGAACGGTACCTACTGCCGATAAGTCGAGAGGGAAATATATAAACTCAAGCTGTTGTCTCGAGAGACGCCGAACCGACGCAATTAAGCAGCTAACTTCGCAAGAGCTTCACAATATTAAATCCAAATGATTCTTTTATCGTTGTTTCATATGAATTCGCCATTAGCTATTCAGTCATTCACTCATTTCGCCTGCACGTTCAAAACGTGATATAAAGTTTTAAGCAAACGTAGAACTTATGACTTTATAATGTAATTTATTACAAACACACAAAACCTTTAAATTGTTTGTACGACATAAAGTAAATACAACGCACTTAAAAATGTAAGGTAAATAATTAAACAAATAATAATATTAAGTTACGTCAAATGCCATTTATTTAAATTTGCCACATTCTGAATTTATACTTAAAAAATGTTTACAACCTATATTTTATTTATTTATTCGTACAACCTATATATTTAAATAGCAGTCTACACTATAAACGTGTTAATTAATTTTTTTTTACCGGAGATCAACGGTGGTAGTTGGAAATTCTATGGCACATAAATCGTTTAAATATTTCGATGAAATAGTAGCAGTTGTTTAGTATGGCATTCATAAAATGCTCCACCATTTTTTTTCTCATTTTAGCTAGAATTTAATTTTCCTATAAAAAAAACATTTTAACTTTGACTCTAGCATTTTGCTTTATCATGCTTAAATCGTTTTTACATTAATTACTGTTTACCATTTCTATTTTAGCTTGTACCACAAAAGACATAAGCAACGGTTTTAAATTTTAATACGTTAGCAGGTCAGGTCAGGTCACGTAATTTATTAACAAACGAGAGACAAGCTTAAGTACAATTTTAAACAATAATTGTAAAGAATATTTACTTTTTAAAGGATAATTTTAAATCATAACATATTATTAGATATAAGATCTATTTTTTACTTAATATTCTATTTTACAAAAAAAACAACATAAAAATTGGATTTTTGTATAAAAGTTAAATTTACAGCACCGTTATTTTGTGAAAAAAAATCCTATAAGAAAAATCTCTACTTTGTGTACTGACCTGTTTGCAATATACGGTATACCTGCTAATAAAATAAATTTAATGTAAACTTTTTTTATGTTCAAAGAAATATTTTACTTTAATAGTTTTGACGATAAAACACTAATGTATTAAGCGTCTTTATACTACAATCCGGTAGAACCACTTAAAAAAAAAATTGTTTGTGAGTAACTGAAATTCCACCAAATAACCAAAAACGTCTAACTGTGTTTGGAAAACGGCTTAAAATAATATTGTCGGATGCTATATTATTATTATATATTTTGTTCCTCAAGCTTGCTTATTATGTTTCCGTACACGAACTTTCCGGAATTGATGGCTTCTCATTAATTTTTAAAAAATGTTTATTAATGATTAATATTGTTTGAAAAAAAAATTACTATTATAACACTTAACTTTTTTTTGTAAAACTTTATTTAATGTAAAAAATGTATAAATGTATTATTTATGAAGATTATTAAAAGTAAACTTTACGTTATAATTTTTATTTTTACAACTTATTCTTTCTTTCCTTTTTTCAATAAAAACGAACTAAGATTAACAAAACAGCTATGTTAATAGAACCTCTTCTTAAATAAACTTTTATGTTTTCTCAATAGTCACATTATTATTTGTCCATTATAAAACTTCATAACCAGTTAAATCTCATTAAAATCATGTTTATAATATATACGGAAAAGCATATTATGGTTAGGAACGCATAAAATCCCAATGACGAAACTGCGTTAATAACTAAAAACCTATTGAGACTACATCTTAAATATGCCGAGTTAAATTTGCTATTGATTTGTACTCAATACACTTAGGGCTATATTATTAACCGTAGGTTATTATAATCAAGAGCTTCAACACATGCAGCGAAGGACTCAAATGACTGATGATATTTTAGTTTTCAAAAGTAAGTCCAGCCATTACATTTACCTATATGTTCAATGTCACGTGGATGGTATAGTAAACAAAATATAATGCTATAAATTAAACGTTTCCGCTACGCCTATATTACACTCAATCACATGAGTAATTTTTGATTTGGTTTCAAACTAAATTTCAAGGCAGTAGGCTACAGGTGTCTAAAAAGTCATAGCAAATCACTCATCGTACAAAATATTACGGATATGAAATAGGTACTATATGAAGACCTTCGACACGAGTGAGACAATTTAAGATGTTTCCAAATTAAAATGCTTACTTGTTTCATTGTGTTTTTTTTTGTACGTATATTTTTACATTTCAGAACTAGACCTGGGTTTAACACACTCTGAGTAATTCCTGTTTAAATTACAGGGTCATTATCTCTTACACTATGTATATAATTAATATAATATATCATTAGCTTTTATAAAAAAAATAATTTATGCTTGTAGTTAAATAATGGGAAATTTCAAGATTTCAGCCATAGATAAGGTAATTTTTGTGTTTTACATAGTTGACCGTGAAAAAGTAAAAAACAACAACAAAAAGCTGTGGTCGTTTGAATCGACTGTCAAGTTAAAAATTAATACGATATATTTTATGACAAATTTATCGTTTCTAAACTTTCTTCCGTATCTATATAAAACCATTTAACTTTAATTCGGTTATTTATTAAGACATGCGCTATGATATAATTTTACAAAGTACATTATAGTTGAATACTAATTAATATAGTGTTCCATGAGTACATAAAAGAAGATGATAGGTTAATGTTGGGTCATCTGTGAGTAATTTATTATTTTGTCAGATGTAACAACGAGCAACGCTAAATATTATACTATGCTAGTACGAGTACACAGTGAAGACAGTTAGGTTCAGTGGAAATAGAGTAGGTGAAAATACATTGCATGCAATTATATAGAACCATTAAACAGGTGTAGCACGAAAGGAATAAATACGTTGATTACGACGTAGTAATAATAGGGGTAAATTAAATTGAAAGAAAGTAAATTTATATTAAATTTGTGTATGTATTCAGCTACTTGAGTTACTTTTAAACTTATTTTGGCCAAGTTAACTTTTGTACATAATATGTTTCTCCTATTCGTCTAAAATAAGAGACCGATAAATAGTTAAGGTTGGTAGTATCACATAATATGTGATAGAGCTAAGGAAAACCTGAGGTAGACCATACGATTAGATAAGACATGCATTTTTCTGCTTAAATGTTATAACGATAAATACTATTTTCAATGCGAATGAACAGATGATAAGTAAATTGATATTATACAATGTCATCAAGTTGACAATGCTTTACAGCACATATCAACATTATGTTAATATTATTTGCTAAGACAGATTTATATTCTCAATTAAAATATTTTTTTTTACCTACACAAAATGTTCCACTACAAAAACAAAGTGTCTCAAACACATTTTACCTTAATTTTTTTAATTTTTATTGATAAACATTGTGACTTAACAAATAACATTGAACAACGTGATTTTGCATCCGCTTATGTCAATATAAAAATCTGGTCGAAATTCATTTATTTTATTATAATAAGTCTTTAATTGGTTCTCGCCAAAGTGTATGTGAAGTAAATTAATTGAATGTACATATATTTTATTCTATTATTTTTTAAATATCAACATTTATATTTTATATAATTTAATAATAATTACTAAAAAAAAAATGTTTTATTCAATTTGGAATATGCACATTTTCCGTAACGATAATTTTATCGTTTGGTAAACAGTATTTTATTACTAAAAAATGTCTTGTGTGCCTTGTTTTATTTTCATGAATATTAAAACTATTATTCTTGTTTTGCGATACCTAGCTGATTTTAAGGTCTTATATCGTTTTTGCATAATTTATAAATAGTCGAGAAAATGTCTCGACTAAGATCCAACAAAGAACGTAGCAATTGCTTAATTTGACAAAACATTTAAAATTATTAAGTCTTTTTAATGTGTAATAGTAGCTAAAAGAACACTCAATAAATGTATAAAGGGGAAGTTTTACAATTTTTTTTTTTTTTGCTAAGAAATTTCATTGTTTTAGTGTCATCACTTATTTGTGTTAATAAAGGTATAATGAAAACACTCATCAGGTAGGTATTTAAAAATAACATATATTATCTATAATTGTATATCATATCTAAAAAAGTTTGTTGAATGATGAAAGATGTGTGTCATGAGTCATCCGTATTTTCAAAATTATAATCTTAAGGGGAAATAAAGAATGTGAGGTCATGAAACAAAATTCCAGTGATTCATGGTGGACCAGCCTCAATCGCGTCGGGGTGATTGTAAACAAATGGACAAAATGTAAATGCGATTTTTAATAAAAATAAGTAATTATCAATTTTAATTGAAAAAGTTTGCCCTACTTGTTTACAATATTACCTTACATGACCCGAATTGATGAACCTCAACATATTTTTTATTATTTTTATCAAAATGATGTTCAAAACGCAGTTGATTAAAATAACACAAAGAGTATGCCAAAAAAATTCCAACTAATCCAACTAATATATTTTAAATGTTCACGTTTTACAGGCTTGAAAACTTGAATGAATAGTCCAATATCTTTTGTCTGGTAAAAAGAGCACATGAAACGATCGCGCGTTTAACACTACCATAGTTATTGTCGCAAACGGTTATAAACATAAGACGCTATTCTAAAGACAATTGGTCATGGATAAACGTCATTTTGTGTACACTACATGCTACAGTTAACATGTGGTGTTATTATTTTCACAACACGTACTTATCGGCGGCAGTTCATTTTTTATTATCATTATATTCATTTTGAACTTGACAGTGTTAAACAGTAGTAGCGCGAGAAATGTCTTTTTATTGAGATTCAACATGTAACCAACACATTTTGAGCCAATATTTTTTAACGTCGGTATAGACCTCTATCCCTTCAACCCATGTTAATGCCGCTGAATATAAATACTCATACATACACATACACATTATATTTATACACTTATATTGATTTAGTTTGTAATACAAATGTGGTTATTATGATCAATAGTAGTAGTACCGTTACTAATTCTCCCTAAAGTATTTTACGGTAATGAAATATACTTCACTACAATATATGTAAAACAGGCCAATGTCTTAATGAGTTCGTTATGAAAAATTAATTTAAGTTTGGAACAAATTGCAAAACTTTTTACGATTTCTATACACAAATAGTAAAATAAGTTGATTGTATTGAAATCAAAAGCAATATAGGAGACTCCTATTAGGAATATAATCATTTGAAAAGTAGATTAAAATATAAGTTGGACTACACGGAATAGTAGTAAATGTACATTTTTATTCTTATGTCGGTGTATCATAAGAGGAACTGTTAAAAAATAGTGTTAATAGTAAATAGACAATGTAATTAATTATTAGTCGTATAACAGATAACCGGGTTTACCCCTGACGCAACATTGTTTTACAAAGTTTAATAAAACCGCAATAGCGTATTATTTTTGTTTTACGTCAGACCTATTAAAAAACTTAAAAACAAAACTTCCATTATTTATTTATTTTTTATTAACCTAATCATGAATTATTAAAGTTGTGGTTTAAGGAAGAATATTGTTTTAAATAATTTTCCTTTTGGTGATCGCATAAATCTACATAACCAATTTAAATGACAAGAAATAATTTTCACATAAAAAAAACTACGTACTCATACTATTGAAACCATGGTATTACAATTACATGTATTATTAATATATTATGTACTAAGATATAAACAGCAATTTGTGGCCCACGTGAGGTCATGGTTCATGGAGTTGGTATTTTTTATACCTTGTTTTTGTAACCGGATTTTCCCAGTGCAATTAAACGTAATTATGTTAATCAAAAATACAGCATGCAATTCGTAATCAATGTATATAATTTATTTATACTCCAGCATTAAATTCCCACGTGAATTTAATTAAAACGAATATTTTATAGTAGAGTATTGGCAAACACTAAAAATCAGGACCAGACTGGATATTATAAAAATTGTATTTTATTATAACAAGAAAGTTTATTACCTATATCAAATTATACTTTATTTTAGCAGTAAACATTTTTTTTTTAACTTTAAAGCATCCATTATCTACATTCTACATAGTATACTGTATTATGTTATAATATGTTTAAAGAAACGAAAACCATGTTGATTATAATATACATATGTGTTTATTAAGGAAATAATTTTCAGAGCAGCCAAATTGCTGACACTAGTTATATTAATTTATTTACACCACTTTTTAATTTCGATGCAAAGCTGAGAAAGTGTTTCATTTTCATAATATTCGACTGGACCAATGTCCAATTCACTAGATAGAGTTACATTTCTAGAGATCAGGAACCGTATAAAGTTTATATTTTGTCATTTTGGAAAATCAATAGTTTGAAAAAAATTCACTCTTTGAACCACCACCCTATACAACACAAATATTAAAAGTTTTATACGAAAAATTGTCAGATCGAGTCGATATTTATTGACATTGCCTCTATCAAATAACAACCTGAAATCTAAATTCGATTTAACCACTCTTCGCGAAATTCTGAACATTTTCTAAAGCCAGAACAGTAATATTTAGCTCACGATCAGTATGTAAATCATCACTAGTTGATTACACTAATTTGATTACAATTGTCTCACTTGACCCTTAACGACTAAACTCCAAAATCATTATGCATGTAGTTTGAAACCAAATAACTGATATTTTGTTTTGGCTATAAAATTCAAAACATTTATTGTTAATATACAGAACACGCGAAATCATATAACGGTCATTATTTTAAGTTTGATTTTCTAAGTTCAAACGAAGACAAGAACGTTTTAATACCTAAAACGTCCGTTACAATGGAATGAGTGTGAATATGAATACAAATAAAAAGTATAAACTAATCTGTTTCTACATTTGTACACCTGTTAAATATAGATACAAAAGTATGATGTTAAACACAAATCGAATTTACATTGTATTACACAGAAGCGAATACCATACAGAGACATGTTCCTATAGCGAGTTCAGTATAACAAATCGTTGCTTCAGAAGGCCACTACCAAAGGTCTAATATGTTTGTACGTTTAGTTTACATAACATATGAGTGGGAAAACGTGTTTAATGTAGTGTTTATGTGCAACTTGCATCAACAATTCGTCGTGTTTTCATTTGTATAAAGTTTTTTTTTTTTATTTTGGAATGTTAGTTCAAAATCAATGTTTACACTACTGTCGTGAACTATATATATATATATAAAAAAAATAATATTTTATACGGGTGCCCTACAATCCCTAAGGAATCGGTTAACCGTTAATAATAAAAACAAATTAATATTTTTATAGTATTCATATACAACACAATCGTCTATACAATAGAAGTATAATTTTATTAAAATGTGCCCAATATTTATTGGAAATAATTAGTAGTAATAAAAATGATTATTGCATACGACGAGAATATGCAGATGCGACACTTCTTTACTTATATTAAATCAAAATCCAATAAAATAGCTATCATTCATATTGTTGTTAATCAAACGCTTAACTCAAAAAACAAAATATTGTTTGGCACGGCAATGAATGATAAATGTGAGCGCATTTATCGTATTTAAACAAGTTATATTTAAATTGTTGTTTACTTAACAACGGTTTCTTTTTAACATCAAAACTACTGACCCAATGCAAAGTGCAAGCGAAGGTGCTTCTTGGGAAATGTAAAGGTATGCGGTACGGTCATCGAGTAAAAAATCGTTCGACCTTAACACTGAATTGATGGCACCCAAAAAGTAGGCCTTACACTCTTCTCTTGGTTATAAGTGGGGCAGCCACGACCGACGTTCGTTCACCGCAGTATGCTATGACGTGTACAGTAGGTAGATACGAGTAATAAACAAAATACCCACGGGTTTTAACTGAGTTAGTATATCCTTCCGCATTTACATTTCATTGTTTCCCACATTTTTTGAAAACTATCATTTTTTAACTCTATGATATTGAGACTTTTACTTGTATTTTTATGGTTTTTTTTTTTTTAATAAAACTTATTTTCACTCGCGAGTAGTTGTACGTCAATCGATTGAGCAGTATATTGTGTCAATAATTAAGGCAATAAATGGGTTCTGTTTAGTTTTGAAATAAAAATGTACGTCGTTTTTATATATTTTATAACATTTATAATGACAATTTTGTTTAATTAGCATGGTTTTATATAAAAATATATATTAAAAATCATAATTAAAAGTTAATTACACATTTTTATTGCGCTAGACAAATTATAAAATAATACACAAGTGTTTTTTAACAATTATATAATTGTTTACAACTGTACCAACATGATATCTCAAGTACTTTGTAACAATAAAATATAATAAACAGAAAAAAGAAACGTACGCTATTGTAAAATGTTCTTTTTCTGAAACAAAGATATTTTTTTAATAAAACGAAGAAACCGTACAAAAAAAGGAAAAATGACTAGTTCTTTAAAATGTATTTTGCTTTTTATTAAAAAAAAAATGCTTTTGCTGTTATTTAGGTTAATATCAGTTGGTAAGGAATGCCGTTTCCGGAATATATAGAGAACTCGATTAATTCGTATTGGTCGCATTGTTGTTACTGTAATGTACAATTTTAAAAATAATTTCATCATTATACTGCCTAGTTAATACCAACCAATATCGCGAACAACCAATGTGGTCCAATTTCGTCAGACTATTCGATTTAACCGCCGAATCCGTACACTCGATTTTAAATCAATTTTGTTCGTGATGATTGAAAACTTCAGTGATTTGAAAACACCAAGTCGCTGTACTGTACAGAAAGTGATTTGCCATCTTGAATTTTCAAAATATACACTTATGATTACGCCTTAGGTTTTGAGTAAAAGCTGAACAAATATCATTTTTGTCCCACACAATAACCACCTAATCATTATAGCGTTTACCGTGTGAGTATAGTGTCCTCCTTAATAGATCACATAACTATAGATAAAGGTATATCCACATAATCCAATGTCTAAATATCTAGTTACAGATGTGTGCTATCCCGTTGAACATTTTCCAGTTTTATACTTACAGTATAAAAAACTGTACACATATAATAATATGTACCTACCTACTGTTCAGTAATCAGTGCATACGCGTTCGGCTGTTATTCGAAAAAGAGAGAGAGAAGGGGTCAATGCTGCTTGATAGCTGCTAACGGTTCGTACCATCTCCATAGTATCTCAAGCTCGTGCCTGTGCACCATCAGAGGCTGACGAAGTAGAATGGAACACCTCGTTTGACCAATTCACCGATTGTTGTCGTTCGGGCAGCGTGGCCAGAATACTTGACCGTGCGCTCTATCCGAGGGTTGTGATATAGATGATATTATCTTGTTTTAATATATTTATATATATTTTTTTTTACGAGTGATGTGTGTAATTTTTTTTGCGCTTTATCATAATAAATTAGAATCATCGTTTTTCCCGAGGTACTGAACGCCGCGACCCGTCGAGGACATCTCATATAACATATCGACAAGAAGTAAGTAACCCCCACAATACGAACCGTTAAATAATATTTCTCCCTTTTTTTTTTTTTTTTTCTATTATTTAGTTTCGAGTAAATAGTTCCTATGATATATTTTATACTATTTAAAATTAGGGCGACCTAGTCGTTAAATGTATTATAAAAAAAAAAAAAAAAAATGTAACAACCCGACTACTACACATTTATTTTGTGTTGCCGTCGAGGGAGCATTATTAATTAATAATTTTCTCGGTTAGTTAAACGCGTTCCACTATAATATAACGTTTGTTCAAGTAATAAAATAACAAAAATCGAAAAGTTCTAACTCTTGCCGTTTAGTCTTAAACCGTTCTGTGTATTTTTATTTAATAATAAAAACTCTCGAAAAAGTTTAAGTGCACAGTGCACCCTAATTTAATATTTATTGAAAAAAGAGAGATGGAAAAATGAAAAGCAACGCGCGTTTTCAACAGGTACACCTAATACATCATACACAGTAATAAAAACGGCTATTCGTCGGTAAAAAAAACTAAATTGAAACAATAAACGCATTAATGATCGAACAGCGTGCGTTATTAAAAATAAATAAATAAAAAGAGCGTTCTGCGATTACTAGTTTTGCTTTTGTTTCTTTTCAAATAGACATGTCAAATAGACATGTACCCGTGTATTTATTTGTATACATATATACTATATTTATCCGGATGCGGTATGGGAGCTATGAACCGCCAAGCACCCGGATCAAACGAGAGATGACTAATCGAGGACAAGTGAAATGATTTGAAACGGTAAAAATGTATAAATATAACTTTCTCGGACGTAAATAAATATCGGTGTATACTATTTATCGGTAGGCATTACTACTTCTTTCGTGTGGTGGAAGTAAGAAAAAAATCTCACGCGAAACCGGTGTCGTTTAAATAATTATTATAATCACGTGTGGCCATTCAAAATATGTGTAGGTCAACAACAGCTAGAAGAGACGCTCAACACACTGACCGCAGACCGTATAGCTTAGTAATACTATTGAGGTATTAGTAGTTTTCTCCCAAGCGAGCGGTGCCCGGCAGGCATGCGGACACGGTGTTTTTGAAATTTAACCAACACAATATTATTATGTTAAAAAAACATAAATAATAATAATAATAATAGTAGTAGTAAAAAATACTAGTAATCATTTAGGAACCAACTGCTCTTACGCGGTATGTTGTAAACAAGCAATCGTTTAAACCGCTACACGAGAAACTATGTTGGCGTTTTCCTCACGCGGAACAGCTAGATGTCTTCAAATTACTTTTTTGCTTAATGTAGGTCCATTTAAAGCACGTACGTTTTTGCCGCCCTTTTCCCTCCGAATGGCATGCTCTACGGCAAATGTAGGTGGATAATACATAGAGTAATTTATAGTTTTGAAAAAGTTTAAGTGCATCGCGAAATTGCTAAATGTTTAAGTTATGTACGTGTTTGTTTGTATTTTTATTTTGTCGTCCGCACGAGTATACCAGATACTACTATACCTACCAACGGTAAAATGAATGTACAAAGTTTTGTTTATCCGGTGGATATATGCGTACCTACATTGGATTCCTATATGTAATATATTATTATTATTATTTTACTTGTAGTTTTTATTTATGTGCGCGTGCGATTCAGTTAAAAACGATTTTCAACAACCGCGGTTTCGTTTAAAAAGTTTACCACACGGACATAAAAATAGTCACATTCGATTGCGCACATAGAGGGGAAGCATAGATGGGCTTACTTAGCGCCCTTTCCAAAAAAAACTTGTTTAAGCCTTCCGAGCACTAATGCGCTAATTAATTGGAATAATGGAATTTTTAAGAAAAATAACAATATGTACCTAGTATTCTTATAAATAAAGTAAAACGTTTTTTAAACAATGATTAAACAACATGCATCCTAATAGCACCATTGCACTGGTAACTTCTGTAATATCTTTTAATGATATTTCAGGTTTTTGTAATGTTTCGTCCTCAATACTGTTACTAATATCAAAAGTCAAAAACCAGTTAAATTATTGACATACCATAGACATATTAATGGACGTTGAATATTATTGTAACGCTTTATTGTGCGTCGAGAGTATACTGTACACATTTAATTTTAGTCATGTCATAAAATACCAACAGGCTAATGACCCATAATGTCAGGATCCCTTTAATAATAACAATAATAGCACTATATTAAAGAGCCCGGTAACAATTAAATTGCAAAATCGTTGTTCATTTACTCATGTCATTGACACCGTTCAACACATTGACAAATTATTGTTGTATTTGTATCTATGCCTAATAGTAATGGCAGTAATTTATTTTATATGCATCATCTGAACTTGTATTAAATTCAATCAGAACCTACGTAGGTCATAAGGCACTTATTTTTAAATCGGCACATCGTTTGTTACATTTTTTTTAAATATTTCCATTAATGGATTGTCCACACGTTAGCTAACTCTAAAGTTATGACTAATAAAAAAAGGGGAAAGAAATACGGCTTGTTCGAAAATGTTATTTGTTTTCCATTCGGATTTTTGTCCTTCAAAAATAACTTTAGCATGTCAATACGTCACAAAGAATATTCAAAACGATTTGCTTGGCACGGACTAGATTTTGCCTTAACCGCGTCAGGGTTTTTCTAAATTACCAACTCATCTACATATTTTTTTAGTATAAATAAATTCCTTTAGCATAAAAGAAAATGAATTATGTAAACACTCTTAACCCATCTACAAATAGCGGCTAGACTCGTTTGGATGGGGAGGGCATGTATGCAAAAATAAATAGGAGTAAAAAATTAAATTCAACACGGTGATATCAGACAAGTGTACAGTGCTTGAGGTAGACAAACGCATACTAATTAACGCAGCAAAAAATAACGGTCTTATCGTCAATGAAAACAAAACCAAATTTATGATTGTAACTAGGAGAGAACACCCGCAAAATAGTAACATTAAATTATATCATTTTTGAAAGAATCCGTAACTAAGTACCTTGAAATGAACAAGCAGAAAGTAATGAAAAACTTCACGGCAGAAAAAAATGTTATTTTTCTTAATTAAATTAAAAAAAGTTATCGAGAGGAACAAGAATCAGATTATATTAGGGTATGGAGTAGGTTTTCTTAAAATATCATGGCAGATGCTCTTATTTCTGCATTGATTGTGCCTTAGTTGATTAAACATTGTAATTGCCTATTATACAAATCACTAATTCTAGCTGATCATTATATTTAGCTTAAATATAACCCCACGTAATAATATCATGGTTTAGACTGAAAGGTCCTGATTACCCATGAATTGCATCATAGACACGGGTCTAGACGGTATACATGCGCGCCCGAGCCTCCTATAATTATTTTACTACTTGATTACACTGTAGTACATTCCTGTGCATCTTGACCTTGAAGAAAAATAATGAACTTAAATCTAATACCTCTCAACGTATAAAATATTAATGGAAGTGCCGTCAATTACATTGTACCTACTATCTGGAAATATTTTGATCAGTTTCCGACATATTATATCTACAAATATATTTTAAGTACTAATAAAAATGTCGTTGCGTGCACGCGCGTTATTAATAATTGAACCAAATTATAGAAATCGTTGACGGTGACTTTTTTCGATTGTACCGTCAGTTTTCAATGCCAATAAGTCGCCTCTGCAAGTTTTTTGTTACATACTTTACCGCTACCAAATCCCTTTAAATATTAACATATTTCCCGGTTTTTTTTTTCAGTTTGCATTAGTTTTTGTCCAAAATGGCCGAAAGCTCGTTAGAGGTTCAATCGAATATTCAAAGTTTTTTCCAAAACAAATCTGTGTTCGTCACTGGAGGTACCGGATTTTTGGGAAAGTTAATCGTCAACAAGTTGGTGAGAGCATGCCCTCACATAAAATCCATTTACCTACTGGTGAGGGGCAAAAAAGGAAAAAGCGCGCAAGAAAGACTGGAAGATATGTTCACCTTACCGGTAAGTACACACAATCTAAAGTGGATTTGTCTATTCGGGCAATCCTACATTAATACAAATATGTTTCTCCTATGAGGAGGCTAATTTTAGATGTATTTTAAATATATTAAAAATGGTAGAGATAAAAGACCCGACTTCCCATAAACTGTAGCACCAAAGCCATCTTAGATGACCTTGTCGGAAATCCAGCCCTGTATAAATAATTAATATTATATTTTTAGTAGTTCTAACCTCTGAGGGAAAAAATTACTCAAAAATGTATGTACAAATAATGGAGATTGTGTGCAAAGAACAAACACGAGTGTGTTTAGTAAATCAGAAGATGTCCCCACAAAACTTTAAAATGTATTCAAATGGCAGACTTCCTGCCCTACGCTAAGATTTCTTTAGTGATAAATGAACTTACAAGAGACACACATGACGGCACATTGGGGTATATACATACAGTGTATGATATAGTTTTAGTATAACAGAGTACAGAAATATTAGGATTACAACTAGAGCAATGGAGAGAGCCGTTGAAGAAAACGGTTTAAGAAAAATATGTAAGTCTAAAAAGCAGACTACTTAGAGTTTAAGTTTAGTAATCCAAGGGTTTTAGAACGATGTAGAGACTCTCTTATACTGATTATAACAAATTATAAAACGAGGAGAGTAAAATAAAGTGTAGGTAATTGGATAAGGTAGGAAGAAGCAACAGCTTAAAGAAGTGCTGTGTAACAAATAAAAATGTCATTTAGAGTGAAAAAACTGCATTTCACTGTAGTGAGGTCAGCAATGTAAGTTAAGTGTTGTCATTGAAAAGAAGCATAGAAGTATCAGTGTTGCGATATAGGTATGTTAGAAACGATAGTTTAAACAGACATTATAATAAGTGTAAAAAGGTCGTTACTGAGTTAAAACACTTTAGCAGAGAAAATGATAGAAAATAGACCGTAGATGTAGACCGAAGAAGAAGTAGGTAGATGTCATACATATAGACGTATGAGAGATTTGTGGAGCAAGAGGATTTGACTGTCTAAATGTTTAAAGGATATGGCGAATGCAAAGGAGATAATCAAAAACACGGGTATTGAAAAATTAATCGCCGTTTCTTACATTGTTTTAATTTAGATTTTCAAAGATATCGATCCGATAAAATTGAAAAAAATATTTGCAATAAGCGGCGACTGCAGCCAACCGGATTTGGGTATGTCATCGGACGACATGAACAAATTGATTAGAGATGTGAACGTGATATTCCATAGCGCGGCCACGGTTAGATTCGACGAACGTCTTGACATTGCTATTGGAATAAACGTAATAGGCGCCAGGGAAATCGTAAAACTAGCTCACAAGATTGAGAAACTCGAGGTAAGAGAAAGATACGAGACAATATAATACATAATGTGTCATGAAATAGGCAACAGCAACAACAATACAATGTTGTTTCCGAATCGTTTGTTTTGCCCGTCAAAAAATACAGGCGGCAATTTATTTTTCAACAAATTGTTTATTTTTCCAGTCGTATATGCACGTGTCTACAGCGTACTCCAACTGTCATAAAAAGCAAATTGATGAAAAATTCTATAATCTACCTTACAGTTACGAAAAGCTCATACAATTGTACAAGTCAAAAAGTTCAAATGTACTTGAAAAAATGAAACCCATGTAAGTTGTGGATACGAATTTATTTAACTGTATTATCACAATTGTCAAGGATTGTTTTTTTAACACACAATCTTTGTATTCAAATTTAAACCGAGTTATCTTCGTCAGCAAAAAAAAAAATAATAATAATAATAATAAACGTTTCGAAACTATGTTTCATCGATATTAATTTCGACATGACGATACCGTTTTATATTCAACGTGTTTTAATTGCGGTCTGTTTCTCTTAGTCACGTCTGAATGGTATAAAAGGATAGCGAATACATACCTACTTATTTTGTAGGTGTGCGTTTTGTTCTACACAAGTTCATTATACGAAAAATATGGCCTTGCCAACAAAAAACAGATATCGGGAAATGATTTATTTTGTTAAAACAAATAACTGGCATTACAATACATAATAAATTTGATTACAAAATAATCTTTCAGAGTAGAACTATAATAAATCGTAAATATTGTATATAAATTGAATACCGCAAAGCCTCTCGGGCTAACCTTGCGGCAACGCAAATAAATTGCTTTAAATTGTTATGTTTGATTTGTGATAAAAACAATAACAATATCCTATACTTTTTTATGATGTGTTCTTTTTTCTCCTTCATTTAAGTTTCTGTTATAGAGACACTTTGTAAGTATAATTTCACTATACGCCGTTCGTTTACCTATCTCGTTTTATTTTACTGCAAAATGGCCATTAGAGAGTTGTTTTTATTGACATTTTTTTTTTCTACAATTTTTTTAGCCTTTTGGGACCTTTTCCCAACACCTACGTCATGACCAAAGCGGCAGCCGAACAACTGGTTAAAAACGAAGCCATCGGCCTGCCTGTGACCATATTCCGGCCGGCTATTGGTAAGCAAAGCAACCGCGGCTTTCTAAAATACTAACATACCGATGGCATAGGTGCACAGGTGTCATCAGTGTATTTTTATTGTGGAAAATATCCATTAACCTCATCTCTACGTTAAGAACAGATATTGCGAGAGGTTTATAATAATTATTTTGTTAGTAGAAAACATAGAAATTGTAATGAAATGATATTATAAATTTCCAAAACACCTGTGACCTCTGTGCCGTCTGCATCGACATTATAACTTATTACTTAAACGAAATGTTGTTTTTATAGTGATAGCCACTGCCAGCGAGCCTATGCCGGGTTGGATAGACAATTTGTACGGGCCAACCGGAATCGTTACCGGCGTGATGACCGGAATCATAAAAGCGTTACCTTGCGAAATTGATAACGGCACGGATTTGGTTCCGGCCGATATGACTGTTAACGCGCTTATAGCTGCTGCCTACGACACCAACAATAGGTATTAAAAATATATATTCTTGTGGTGGATACATGCAAATCAACGGCGTGGGTAGGTTAGACGGATAGATTAGGTAGAATATTTAAAATATAGCCTATATAAGCTTGAATTAAACACTAAAGAGAAAAAGGTACCACTTTAAAATATATCTAAGAACGAAACACATACACAAAAATATAAGTTCAGAATGAGTACAAAATACTGTCTTGGTACGGAATGGGAGGTGCACCCGACAAGGTGATTCCGGCAGCCTTAAGTAGAAGGGCAAATGTTGATTTTCCCTGGGTTAACCATTTTAAGCTCAGTTTTACCATTTGTCATTTGGCCTACATACAATGTTTAGATTCATAAATGTGATTTTCTCGTTCCTACTGCAGTCTCTAATGTTTAAAAAGTATTTTTTATACAAATGTAAAGATTTTTAAAAAATATATTTTTTTTAAACTATCAAGGTTATATATTTTGTTAAGGCTGTTTTAGGATATTATTTATTGATAGATAAAACGATTAGTTTAAAATGCATATCGTCTTGACTTTATTTTTATTATATGACATCATAAGTTTGTCGTAAATTTCCCTAAACTAAGGAAAATGTTTTGGTAATTAATGTAGAGGAAGTGAACATTATGTTAGCCTTGCATTGTTTTTATAAATATCGTCTTGACTTTATTTTCGCATTTCGTCTAGACTTTATTTGTGTTATATGACATCATAACTTTGTCGGTTGTCGTTATTTTTTCTAAAATAACGACTAAACTAAGGAAAATGTTTTGGTAATTAATGTAGAGGAAGTGAATGTTATTGTTTTTTATAGATATTTTATTTTTCATGTACATCTTCTATAGACTATACGAAACCTACGTCCACGCTTTTTAATCACACGTTATTACCACAAACTATCTAAACTACTAAGATTAATTGTTAGTCAGTCGACGCTCTGTTATCAGACAGCAAATAGTAAAATTAAATATGTTTCAAAAAATCTTTTGTGGTCCGTTAAAAACATTTTTACTCGATTTTAAAATTATTCGTTTGTTGTTTGCTGTACGGGCAAACTTTTTTAAGACGAAATTCATCTAATTGGGTTTTAATATGTTTACAGATACACGAGTGAAAGCAGTAAATCGGACGACTTAATGATTTACAATTACGTTTCTTCGTCCGATAACCGACTCACCTGGGGCTTGTTTGCCGAGACGCTTATGACCTACATAGCCGAATGGCCCACGGTCAAGGCCATGTGGTACCCGACTCTTATAATCAACGCGTCTGTGTTTCTACACAAACTCACCGTTCTCATTTTGCACTACTTGCCCGCGTTCCTATTGGATTTAGTGTTCATCGCCACCGGAAAGAAACTCAGGTACATCTATAAATATATATATAAATATGTACACATAAATACTAGTCTCATTGCCAAATCCCAAGTCTTAAATCCCGAGAGCGATAAAAATGATAACCCCCCCCCCCCACTGTTTTTGCAACAGTTTTTTTTTTTTACATTTTTTCCACTACTTTGTGCGTTCTTTGTTAATTGTATTTTTACGATTATGTGTTGTAGATTGGTCGACCAGTATAAGAAAATCGAAAAGTTCACAGACATTCTCGTGTATTTCTCCACGAGGGAATGGTCGTTTAGCAACGCAAACGTTCAGAGTCTATGGAAACGAACGAGCGAAAACGACAAAAAGTTATTTCCGTTCGACCTGAGCCAGCTAAAATGGAACGAATACCTGTACACGTATCACCAAGGAATCTTAAGGTTTTTGCTGAAAGAAGGTCCGGACAAGCTGCCAGCGGCCAAGAAACGTCTGAGGGGGTAAGACGTTCTACTGTTTTAATTGTCAATCGAGCGGTTTTTGTTTAACGCGCAGTCGACATTTATTATTATTTATCGATTCGCTGCAATTAGCTAAACGATTATTTAATATCTTCCTGTTTATTGTCTCCTCGGCTGTTGTAATTGGTGTATAATCAATGACAACTATTGGTCGAATAACTTTTAATTCGTATACGTCGTGTTTGTGTTTTAGACTATACATCTGTCATTTGGTATTCAAAGGAGCGGCTTATATAGGTTTCATAATGCTGGTTTGGATGCTTTTAAAGAAAATATTGTCCGTGTAGATTAGATTTACCTATCTATATATGTCAATAAGTTCTTTACACGGTGTTTTTATCACACGCGACATGGAGATCAATATTATTTTAAACTACAAAACATCTGTATATGATCTTCTCAAAAAAATCAAACAACATATTATATTTATTTTCGTTTTGTGTACATTTTTTTATGTATTATTGTATAGAATCGTACTGTTGTAAGGTGTAAATAGATATTTTGTTTGTTTTTTTAGCTTATGAACTAAATTTAGGACGTTCCTGATCTGATACAATCGCATTTAGTATAGACAAATGTGATAGTGCGTTATGCTGCGAGCGTTGCATTATATTGTAACTGTTTTGATGATAAAATAAATTAAGATTTATACATAATGAACATTGTCTACATTACTTGGGTTTTTATATTTATGCATACAACTTGGATTATGCATTTTAAAATTGTCCCGGCACGGAACGATACTAATATCATCAGTGGAGTATGCGAAAAAGGTCCTCGTTGTCCGTTGTTTATTACCTCCAAAATCCAATACTTATATCCTCACAAAAATACAAAATTTTAAGTGTACTTCCAGAACCTGTGCAAAATTCTTACCTTAAAAATTGTCGTCGAAAAACTGCGAATTGCTTCTATTTCTTATCGTGACTTTTAGTGTCATAAACTACTACTTGCCTCCCCTTGCCAGGTAACTATATAGTCAATATTTTTCATTCGAGCTGCCTCCCAAGAATATCCGAATTCCCTTCGGTGACTTTTATTTTCCTATGGTAACATTTTGGGTCAAAGAATACTAGTTGCCTCCCGCGTTAGATAACAAATATTTTTCATCCGTATTGCCTACCAAGAGTATCTGATTTTATGCATTAATAGTTTACCCAACAAAAGATGACAAAGTAACTGTCCATAAAGCGGCGATTGCGTGGTATTTTCATTAAGTTTTTGTTTAGTTTATGCAATTTTGTGCAAAATACACACTATGATACATTTTTTTTAAATTTATATACAATTTGGTAGTATGAATATTGCAAGTATGTATGTAAAACTATAAAATAAATATAATATACGTTTTAACTGGTTTATAAGGGATCGTTGGAAAGGAATATTCGAATATCCTTGGGAGGCAACTCAAATGGAAAATATTGACTACTTGGCCTGGGAGACTACTGGTACTCTTGTACCCAAAGGATTACGATAAGAAATAAAGGTCATCGTAGGCAACTAGTACATAATTTTGACGACCACCTGAGGATGGGAGGTAACTGGTATGTACTGATTCGATCGAAAAAAAAGTGTACTTACAGATTTTCGAGAAGCTTGTAAGTTATGTTATAACTCCACTATAAATCAGTCTTATTTTCAGACCTTAGAGATCCCAAAATAATGAAAGTTTCCTCTCATACTTTATCGGTTCACAAACTTATATTGATAATGCTATATCTAAAGAAAACTCCATACAAATTTTACTTCGTTTAATACTCTTTTTAAAAAAGTATTCAACTTATTTTGAAAAATATGTACATTTTTTAGGTGTTTTTCTCGATTTTAAAGATACTTTAAGTACTTTTTAGGTACGAATTTTGTTACATGACTTGCACCGTTTTACTTTTGACGGGCTCGATAATAAAAATTATGTATTATGGCTTGCCATCTAGCGGACGTGTCTGAAACAACTCGCCCCCTCGGTCAATTTGTTATCAGCTGCAGCAGCAGCTGCTGACGGTCATGTATTCGTGTACCGCGGTTCCGTTATCACTGTAACAACCACTACCGCGGTCACGAGAAGCTACAGCTGCCGCAGCTGGTGATGAGATAAGCGAGCTTGCGTACACAGGTATTCCGTGTTGCGGATCGTCCCGACTACTTGCACAGTGTTGCAAAACGGCGCATACAGTAAACCGTAGTAAACTCGGCGATCACCGTGCCCGTGATTCCGTTTTCCCCACCTCGAGAACGAACCCACCCCGAAACGGACCAGATAGCACCGTGGATCGTATAGCTGTAGCTGTTGCAAGCGAGTAGTGAGTCACGGTTTCGCGTAGAACCGTCGTAAAATAATTATCGCGCATTTCCGGTAGTAGGTATCCCTTATCCGTTTTATTTTTTTTTGTTATTTTTTAAATTTGGTTTTTTTTTTTTCGTTAACGCCTCGTCCGAATTTCTTTTACTCTCCGTCCGGCCGTTCTTGACGTGGATAAAATAATAATAAATAATATGTTTAGCGGATCGGTGCCGTCGACCGTTTTCTAAACAACCGATTGCGATCGCCGCCGTACGCGTGCCAGTAAACTAATATGTCGCGCTACCCGTCGGCCAGACGGATCCGTTTTATCAGCAATGTTCATAACGGATGATTAGAACAATGGCCAAAATCCAGTGCCCCAGTCCGAGTTAAATATGGAACGTACGACCATCCTGCTGTCGTTGGGCTTGATCGTCTCGACCTGGATTAAGACGACGGTCTCATTTCCAGTTGGAGGTGATAAGAATATTGCAATCTTAATACTATACCTATTATAACTAAAAATTTACAATCCAATTGATTAGTTGTAATAATATTCTCTACTTGGGCCTGTTAACTCGGTGTTGTGTTTATCTACTAAGTGATCGTCAACAAAAATCTATGATAATAAAATAACATCGATAGATATCGAGCAATACAAACTAGGTATGATGGTTCATGTATGTTAGGTACGAGAGACCATAGTACCTTACCAAAGGTAATAGAGTCACAATCAAGTTTTTCAGAAAATAGGTTAGCTATTTGTTTCTGTAAGACCTCAGTAAGCTCGCTTGATCTTGATTTTATCAGAAACGTATACAACTTGAAAATTACATTAAATCACTTTAGGTAAATCGGTTTAAATTTAAATGGTAAAACATAAAAACTGTTGGTTGAAAGAGTTATTTTACATTAGTTGGCAGTTGCTCAATTATAGTATAACACAAACAAAGTTTTAAAAACAAAAAATATTAGTTAGTAGATAAACATTTACCTAGTGATGCACAGGTCTTTAACCTTTTCCTCAAGCTCCTAATCTAGTCAAATCTTTTAGACGTATTTACAATAAGATTCTTTACAGCTGCCAAATGATGTTTTCTTATTATGTACTATAAACATTGTCAACTGTATACACTTTTGACATTTCACATTCCTAAACACAATTTACAGTTTCATAATTTAATTATAAACAGAAATCTTTATAATCTAATGAAATTTATCATCATACAATTATAATTTCCGTTTAATTTTTTAATGTATAATACTTAACTATTTTATATGTTAGCTGAACATACTTTATAGTGTTTACACTGTTTTTAACTAAAGATAATAAAATAACCGATTTTTACACAATTTTTTGTATAACAATTACATTTGGATTTTTTATCCTACTTTCCCGGACATAGTCCAGACCTATTTTATCTGATCTTTTTATCTCAGACTTTTTTACAATTTATCAAACTCTATAATATTTTAAAACTATTTAATTTAAAATGTTTACTAAAATTAATTAGTAGTCAATAAACGTCATTACGATCATTCTGATAATATACACATTCTGTAACCAAGATAGCATAAATTTATTAAACATTCAACCCTCACATTCAGAAAAAAATGTTCACAATAAGCCATTTATCCGTTCTAGTATAGTACAATAGAACACAATCTCGGTAATCTAGCTCTGTAATAGTCCATCACGTCAAAGTGCAGTTATTATTGTAGTAAATTTAACATTTTATTGAACTTTAAAACATACTGATGGTATTAGTGTTTGTTTTTAATCATCTATTGTACATTCTTTGACTAAAACATATCATATCCCATACAATTTTGTCTTGTTCTCAATATAAAATTATCTTGTGCAATAACAAAAATTTGTTTATTCTTGTTTTATAGCAGATATTTTAGTTACTATATTTTTTTTTTTTTATAGTATAAATTTAACTTGTTCAGCTGTACGTGACTCCTTTTAAAATAATATTAATGAAATATCATGTCCACAAGATTACCTGAGCTATTTATTTTTGTTTTCTTTTGACAAACTACACTTCTAGTTTTTTACTTAACCTAGTTATCACTACTTACTAGAATAAGTCTACTAGATGACGCCAATGCCAAAGTTCTATTGGCTAAATGCCATGTAAACCTAATATTATGTCACATAAAATATAAATTTATATTTTATTTATTAATAAAAAGAGATTGTTTGGATAATTATATTTTCAATGTTAAGACATTGAATGACATTGGCATGGTAAAATTTCTTATTTTGGTGAAATTGAGTCATAACATAACCTTGTTAATTTTTCTCAAAACTTAACAAATTTCAATTGTTTTAAACAAAAATAATGATTTTTTTTTTTAATTTTCATCAGTAGTTTATTTTGAAATACATAAAATAAAAAATATCATGTAATATTAGCTTTTAAATAACTAATTAAATGAATAAACATGTATCTAAATTCTAACAAAATAAAAATAAAACAAATTCAATGTTTCTTATGCTTAGACTTTTTTATCTTTATGGAGATTAAAAATGCAACTAATATTTATACTATGACTAATTACTGTTAGTTAATGTCAAACATGAATGTATATATTTATAATATATATTATACAATTTGATTGCTTAATCGTTTGTTTGTTCTATTACGGATTACCATAAGATTTCTATAGATAAATATATTTATTGATTTCATAAATAACCGGAAACTGATTGTTAGACCCTAAAAAAATTCGGACACAGCTTCGAATCTCAACATAAATATTAACCTAATTTATTTTATTCCTTAACTTTATAAGCAATTTGAAAAATAACAAAGTGCTACAATTATTCTGATATGATATTGAATAATAATTATTGTATTGTGAATTATGTATCTCACGTCTTGTGGCTGTGACTCATGTTACACAAGAGAGTTCTTTTAGAAATTTCTTTTAAATGAGCAAATAGAGATCAGAACAAACAAGTTTTCATTAGCTTTAATTTATTATTATTTCGTGTAAGGTACTATTTACAAAATTATTTTTAACCGATTTAAATAACAAAGATTTTTAATAAAATATTACTAATATATAATTTAAAAAATTTTAATTTTTTATTAGATTTGACAATTACTTGTTCACTTAAAAAAAATTGGTAGTGGATTAAATAATTTTTGCACTTTTTAGTGGAGTATATTATTTTAACTTGTCACAAGTTATTTGGGCTGGTAAAAAGTGTAACTGTGTTTAAGACTAGAAGCACAACCTAGCCTAACATATCCTATCCGCCACCTGAACACACATTTATATTTATATATATATATATATATGCAAATTATTATACAAAATTTGTGTTTATTTATTTAAAGTATAGTGTTACCAATACCTACCTATATTTTAAAAATAATTAAGCTTCTTTAATATTTTTAATTTTAATATTATAGGTGTACAGCTACATTAATACAATTTACATGATTGTTGTTAAATAGACAATAGTAATTTAAATAAATCTATTGCAAATTAATTGTATGCAAAAATGATCCTCCAAAATAGAGTATTTTTATTTTCAAAAGGTTATGTAATGTATCATTAATCATTGGTATTATGTACTTTTTTTTGTTTTATGATACTTTAAAAAAAAAAATAGATTACTTCAAAATGTTTTAAAGAACATCTGTTCACACAATGTCCAATCCTGTAGCCACAAAATAATTGTATTAATTAATAATTTGTATTTACTATAGGTCTTATATTTTTACTGATATACCTAGTTCACCTGAATAAATACTATGATACATTTTTATTTACAAAAACAGCGAGGTTTGTGACACAACTATTACATATTATGTATAAAGATATAGCCCAAAGCACAACGAATAAACACACTCAATGTGCTATTAGTCACCATTATTTTGTCTTCTGTTTCTTATCTTCCTACTACTAAAATTTACAATTTTCTACCACCTACACGACATGATACGTATGATTAATTAATTTTTTGAAATTTAAAATATTTTTTTTTTTATAAGGAATACATATTATAATTTTTAGAAAAGAATTAAAAATAAAAAAAACTAAATAGCTAGATGAAAAATGTAGTGGTCAAAGAAAACCTAACAGTAAAATTCAATTAGGTTATAAAATTTAAACAAACTTTTTACTTTAGTTAGTGGATTTGAACAAAAATACTTACAAATTGTCAAAAATTATTTTGACATTTATCGTTAAGGATTAAAGAGTATTAAACTATAATAGCGTAACAAAATAACATTTAAATTGTTGAGTAAAAATAAATTACAATAAAACATTTTTTTTTTTTTTTTGCAGTTGTTGATTCTAGCCCCACCTTATTGGGCAGCTATAATCTATGGTTGGAAGCATCAATCGTGGCTGTTTTTTTCACCATTTGTATAGTTGTTTTCCTTGTCGGATGCTTAGATTGTTGCAGGAATAATCGATTCAGTTTTAAGGTAATTATACTCAAAATAAATAACGAATTCACCCTGTTAAGTTAATAAGCATTTTTACTTTTAAAATATTTCAATTAACATTCAGTCAAATATAATCATTCTTTTTACATTTATTGAAAATCATACATTTTAATTTAAGTGCATATTACATTAGTACATTACAAAGTATAGACATTGACTATACAATTAAATGTTTGCACGCGCCTGAATATAATTATTGGTAGTTACTTATTTTATTTTACTATTTTATTTCCTTGTCATATTGTAATATAGAATAATTTACTGAGAAATGCATCATGACATGCATAAATTACATCATAATGTGTTATTTTATGAAAATTATAAAGAATTGTAAAATTAAATTTGTTTCAAATGTTGCAATTTAAGCTAGAACGTGCAATTTTATTTAATACATAAAAAACCAGCTAGACGTGTCCTAATGACTTTAATTGATAATATCCTCAATGGTTCGCAATGTTGCTTGAAAAAACAATCCTTATAACTACTAGTTTTTACAGTTACATTCACCTGGTTTATAGCAGACTGGATTCTGGATTCCATGGTCGATTAGGTATTTACATTATCAAAAGCTCTAAAGTGTAATTCTTTTCTAATAATATCTACCCATCACCAAAAAAAAATCCCTAACCAATTTTTACTAACTATGTAAAAATATTTAATTATGTTACAACATAGTTCTGAATCAGTTAAGTTGTATACTATTTTGACACAGCTATCCATCGATTAAGTATTATATGTAAATGTAACAACTAATATATTCATAGCTGTTGAATAAGTACATTTTTTTATTAATTTGAATTACATTTATAAAAAATTGTCATTTTTTCACTGGAAAAATAATTTCACGTATTTGAAATTTCAGTTTTGTTCTTTAGTTTGACTATTAACTATCTATTAGTGAAATTATTTAAATGTTCAAATAATTACCCAAATTATTCAAAAAATAAATTTAAATATAGTTGACCTAATTATTAGAATATTCTAATAATTATTAAAACTATTTGAATATTAGAATTTAAATCACTACCCTATTTTCTAGTTTATCTTTAACCTAATAAATTAGGTTACCAATTGTTGATACTCTCGTGGACTGACTACACCCAAAAACTAAAAACTTGGAAACTATTATACAAATATTAACTCAAGTTTTTTGTGCATTGTAAAAATAATGACATGGAGATGCAATTATTTTTATGGATTCCCACCGTGATTTTTCTACACGCTGTCACAACAACAAACTATAGATACTATATACTTTTAAAATCATATTTTATATTTTTTTTATGGTTGACCTTCAGCTGGTTAGCAAAATATGTTCTTGAAGTATGACGCCATTTTATATTCAAATTATTACAAATAAGTTAAATTTTAAAGAATTATGTGATGTGGAAAGCAAAAAAAGGATCTCTTGTTGGCAAAGTTCATTTGGAGATAAATGCCAACACAAACTTCTAACTGCAATAACTTTTTTTTTGATAACAACTAATTCCCTTTTCGGCCACTCCAGTTTACCAATAACAATATATTTGGAAGCCAGTGATTTAAAAATATATATTATATTATCATTTATTATTCCAAGTGAATATTCTATGTTCTAATTTTTCATGTAACTTAAGTTTTTCTTTTAAAATTTAACAATTAAAACTCGGTAAATAGTAACATCTTCACCTTAGTTCCATTAGGCTTTGCAATGAGCTGGTAATGAAGGTATTGTCATTTAATTATTAAACACTAAATACAAGTACACGAATCGATAACGGTTATTAGTTTTGGAGTTTGGTTATTAGTTTGAAAAAAGTGCCGCTCCGAAATTTGTGTCCGAAAACTGAAATTTGAATTCATAAGATTAATTTTGTGCAATTTATTTTAGTAATTATATACAATGACCTTATTTTTAGGCTAACGAGTATATTATAGAGAAAAAACCAATATTTTATTTTTTATTTATCATATTGAATCGTTAAATCCTTCGAGAATTAATAGTTTGTTTAAGCTACATTTTACTAGTTTAAATTATTTCTAACATTAATGCATACACTCGCATACGCACAGATTAAGTACATGCATGCAAACCTGAAGGTTTTTTTTTTTATAAAATAAATTGGCACACGCTCCTCTTCAGTTTAGGTACCTACATATCATTAGGTTCGCTGTAGTAAATCCATTCAGTAGGCCGACAATGATTGCGTATAATTTTGTATACATGTCTTGTAAACCGTTTATATTATGTTGAAAGTAGTTTTATGGGGGCTGGTAAGATATAAAAATAATGGGATTTGCTCGTGAGTATGCATGAGTATATCTGTAGAAATTGTACTAGTTTCTGAATGGTCAGTTAGGTGTAATAATATGATCGTTTGTAAAAGGCATTCTTCAACTCGAATAATTGGTTTACCGACGGAGACTTGCGATTTGCGGTAAACCGAAAATGCGGTGTGATTCACATATTATATTAGAGATCCAATAATATTATTACTGTATTCAATAGTGGCCCGCCGTGGTGACAGTGATTTTTTTTAATACATATCAGCTGTATGATTAATGGTTTTCCCTACAAAAATATTATAATTTCGGTTATTGTCTTCTTTATTTTTACAAACCGTTTGGTCTGATATTTAGGACAAGCGATTATAATAATAATAATAACGACACTACTTATATTATATGTATAGGTAGGTATTAACTTTGAAAAAAAAATACTTCTCTCTCTCTCTCTCTCCTATCTCTGCCGTCTACCATTACACTGTTCATTTTTTTTTCCATAAACACTATAAATAGATTACCTAGTAATTTCGTAAATAAATTATAATAAATGTCGACTTGAAATTATCAAATGTCCTATTTTCTCGCACCCAAACTAATCTATTTCGTTTTCGCATGACAATATACAATATGCGTACAACACCTACAATCCTATGTCCTACATAACATATTTTTAACCAGAATCGTACAGCCAACCGATATTCTGCATAGGTACGGTCTTATGTTTTCCATTCTTCGTCTCCCGTTTGAGCAATGTTTGTTTAACTCTTTAATACTTGTTTACTGGTGACTTGTTTTAAACACAACACTAGTCCGATTATAAAATTAAACGTAATTAGAAGAGAATTGTAATTTGAAAAAAAAGTTAAAATAAGTTGTTAACCAAAAAACACCATTGTATTGTTGATTTCGTTTTTTTTTTTTGTTGTTGTTTCGAGACTATAAATACACATATTTTTTTTAAAACAAAATCTGTTGTCTTATGACTAATAGCTGAAATCAGGCCAAAAATCGTAAAGAATTTTCATTTTCTAAAATTCGTGTTCAGATGTTATTTTAGACCTTATTAGGAATAGGAGAAAAAACTGAATCGTTATGAAATTAATTATTGGATTACTTGACTTCAAGTATAATTATTTCAAATCAAATATAACTTCGTTAATTTATCTAAAATTATGCGTTGTACATAATAATCATACAGTTTTTTTTTACATTGAACCCGGACTAGATATCGCTCTAGTTGTTATATGATGTTCTGAAACTTATTTTTTAAAACCGGTAAAACCGTTGGAAAATAGACTAAAAAAACCATACTCCCGTTGATTCGACTTGATTGCCGATAACTCTTTTGCATAATATATTATTATAATTAATGTATTTTTTTTTTGACGCCATTTAAATACCTCTACGATCCGATGTATTTTGTGATATTGTTTTTTTTTTGTCTGTCAACAAATGAGTCACTTCGGTAAATAAAAAAAAAATTTAATTTTAAAACCTACTGTCTACACTATATTCCAATATAACGGCTCTAAAACATAATCAGAGAAAAACACAAACGTGGCATTATTCCAACAAATATTGTTTTATCAGATGGTTATTGGAGGCAAAAGTGTGTAAGAAACGCCGTTGAAAATCCAACAACAGATACAAATTAAGGACTTTATACTACGTGTGTTCAGTTTCCAAGATACTTTAACCGTGCCTCTTTACAGTTTGAGAGCTGTAAACAATTTTTTTTTAAACACTCATTAAGTAAATAACCTTGTAGACACTAGACAATTTGTTTTTTTGTTTGTTATATTTCAGCGCATTAGTAATTCTAACAAGTGATTCATCGTATGGTAAAAATTTAAAAACTGCATTGACAAAATAATATTTACTAAAATAAAATATATGATAATGTATGAAAATAATATTTGTGGAAGATTCTTATTATACCAAGTAGGGGTTCCTTTATGTTATATTATGTAGATTTTTTGGCTATTGTTGGTTATAAGAACTGAACAAATAACCAAATTACTACTTTATATTTTAGTACTTTTATTTATCTAAAATGTGATCAATATAATAAATTGTCGGGTGCCTAAATATTTCTATTGTATAAAAAAAAAAAAAATTATTAAAATTGTGACCGAATAAATCCAAACGAGGTTATAAAAAATGATTGAAGCTCCGTTTTTTACACAGAATTTTTATGTAAATATGTTTTATTTAGACAAATATTTACATATTGCATTTGTATTGAGCAGTTACTAATTACTTAAGTCTTAAAAATGGCTATAAAATAAAAACAAATTTTGCTGTCCCTAAAAAGCATTGTTTTCTGAAAATTCTACTAAATTATGACAAATTTACCTAAAAAAAAAAATGTTATTGTATAATTCATATGATATAAACAAATAGTTTGTACTGACAAAGACTTTGAAATAGACGTGTACAAGGATAACGCTCGCAATAAAGCCAGTTTTTTTGTAACACCAAAAAAATCACGGGTAAGGTTTTATATATTTTTTTTTAGTTACTATTTAAGAAAGTCTACTTGCTTTTCCACTTTTTTTTATCTTTTATGTTTTCGTTGTACAATCGTTGTGGTTAACAAACACACGTGCCTATTCGATCGGGCCCGGGCTTTCTAAATTCAATTAATTATAGCTTAAGTACAGACAGTGTGCTTTTGTACTATTTAATCGCAACACAAGAGTTGGTCGTTATTTTTCCTATACTTAGGCCGTGTAAAAAACAACGGCTTTAATCCAAATCCAACTGCACTGTCGTCGCCGACGATGATGATGGCCGACAAGAATAATATCACTATGCTTTCGGTTTCTGCGTGTTGTGTGTGACGGCGCTTGTAATTATTATTAGGTGCGATGATGATTTCGCCATAGACGGTTTTTCGCTACCGAATCAAAACGACGTTTTTTTCTCTCATTGTGTATATTATGTCCCCTGTATTGTGTGTTGTGTATAGTCTCGAGCATGACCAATGCGCGGGTTTCCATTGTCGAATGGAGAACGTTGACCTCATAAACTATCGTCTGTGCAGCAGTTTAATAACAATATATTATATATTATTATTATTATTATAAAATAGGCCCGCGAGAGAGAAGAATAGTTGGTCCGCGATTAATGTTGTTGCGGACATCAGTTCTTATCTCGACTGTGTACCATTCCACCGTTTCCTTTCAATTTCCAAACGGTCATTTAGTTGACGATCTTCGTCACACGAGCCGGTTTTGCAGCTCGAACCAAACCGCCGTGATATTTAATAACTAATGGAAGACTATTATGATAAACACAATAGTAATGAAAATATTAACATCCTGCGGGACATTGTTTATGTAGTATAACCGTACTCTGATCTGTACGTCATCAGCGGTGTACGATTGTTATTTAAATTGAATAAAAAAATACCTACATTTTATTAACATGACCGTATTATTTTTGTTTATGCTGCCCGCCAACAGGGTCGGAGTCTATCACAGGTTTGACAAATAATAATAAAATCATAAAATATCATTTTTATTAAGAGTTGGCAAAAAACCCAAACCCCAAAAAGTAACCAATTTTTTTTTTTTTTTTGCTTAAACCTAGTTGGTATAAAATATGAGTTCCAAAAAAAACGTATCTGGGTTGGTGAAAACAAACCCGGGTAATTGCCAACTCTAATCAATTCTTTTGCATTTGATTAAACTATTGACTCTAACATTGTCTATTTCTTTAATTTCAGGAATTCCAAAATGAAGTGTTGCCTTCAAGAGATTTCAGTTCTCCGGGGTTGGCGTTCGTCAACCCGATCAGCAACCTCCGAAATAACACTTTGTCACGATCCGAATCTACCGTCATTAATATTGAACAGCTCTCGCCTTCGATAAAATATCAATCGTTGTTGAAAGAATGGCTAAGTATGCATGATCAATTCAAATAGCTTATTAACGATTTAACGGTTGTGTCTTGTTGTTTTCAGATGATCCGCTCTCAAATTTTCCAAGATCACGATTGCAGTTTCATCATGAATTGGGTTCTGGATGGTTTGGAAGGGTAAAAGCCATTTTTTTACATTTTACTATTACCAATGTTATAATCATTATTGTCTGTATCTCTTGCTTGATTTGAATAGGTGGTCAGTGGTGAAGCGGTTGCTTTGAACAATGGGGACAGTAATAAAGTTGTGGTCCGCATCCTCAGAGACGATGCAACTGATGCAGAACGTCTGAAGTTCCTACAGGAAGCCGGTCCGCATAAAATTAAAGGGAAAAATGTAAATTACCTAGTGTTAAGCCTTGTTGCGGCTTGCATCAAGATGGACCCATTACTTTTAATATTCGAATCCAGCCCATGGGTGAGTCGCTCATTAAACACTCCTAATTGAACTTGAACAATTATTTTTATAACATTATTAATAGGGCGACTTAAAATCGTGGCTACGCAAACACGCCGACACTAGTGAACACGAAACGCAGTTAGAACGTAAACTCAAAATGTCCGTTCAAGTGGTCAATGGTCTTTTGCAGTACTTGAAAAGCGGTGTTGTACACACGTAAGAAAACTATGTCATATTTATACTTTTACTTTTCTTCTGACGTTAAAATACTTTTAATTGTGTTAACAATTTCATGTATTGAAAGATTAAGTTGAAAATGTTCATATGTATCTTTGTCATTGTTTGTATGCTGATATTTCAGACTCATTTCAGAGTCTATCTTCTCGAGATACCTATTAAGGGTCTGTATTGTCAGCACACGAATAAAGACGTGGATACATCTGAAAATTATCTAGTTGAATCAAATGCTTTTCCGATCACTTGACCAACATATAATACCTAATTTTTGCTCTAAGCTAATTTTTTCTAAAAATTATTGTAATATATATATTTATACATTTTTCAGCGATGTAGCTGCACGTAACTTTTTAGTTTTTCCCGATAACGTAGTAAAGATCGGTGATTACGGTATTAGTACACAAACGTACAAAGAAGATTATTATGTCACCGAAGAAGGCGTTGCATTACCTATTCGGTGGAGTGCTCCTGAAACTTTGAATGTGTCAGAATCAATTATTGAAACAAAAAAGGTAATATCACCAAATTATAAGCAAGTTTTACTTGAGATCTAACACTGGTTCACAAAGTCAAATTTTACAATTTTACTTTAAACTTGTGGTATTATTTTAAAAATATAGTAAACATTTCTTTTGTATAAAAATAAATTTTCTCAAATTTGACTTTTGTTTAAGCATTGTAAACTAGGTTCCTTCTTTAATTATATTTAGAAGAAAAAGTACATTGGTGTCTAAGCTATAACAATTTCATCCGAAATGGTTCATCTTATTGAATTGAAAAGTTGTTGGCTAAAACGCGGTGTACACGGGAAAGTTGGTATACAACTTTAAACTTGCATCTGTTTTAGGTTACTGTAGAAGGAAATGTATGGAGTGCCGGAGTTGTGATATGGGAAATAATGGAAAATGGTGCTCAACCCTATGGTTCGCTTAGTGATTTAGCTGTTCTATCTGCTGTATTTATTGAGCGAACACCTCTTTTACTTCCCCCAATTTCCAAACATCACAAACTGACTCAACAAATGTAAGTTCTATTATTTTCTTTGTTTTTATTTGTTTTTATGAGTTTGTGTTATTTTTTTAAAATTTGTAGATATCAAGTGATGTTGCGTTGTTGGAATACAGATGTGACAAAAAGGCCAACGTTTCCTGAAATTATATCTTCATTGGAAGAAACGTATAGCGTACTAAAAGCGAATTTCGATACTAGTCCGATATATTCTAAAGATTTTGTGAAAAGCGACAGTGATTCGGGTATGAGTTCGGTCAATAGATCAAAGTCCTGTGACGTTCAAATATATCCAGACGATATAAGCGACGTTAGTTCTCAACCGTCTGCGTCAAGCGGTGTCGATGTGTTTAACTCATCTAAAAAGTCTCCGTCCTTGGAAATATTACACGGGTCATTGGAAGACCTGTCTGCAGCAAATGATCCTTGGACAACAACAGACGACAGTATTAAATTTATGGAAGGTATAAATAACGCAATAAGAGAATTAGATGAAGCTTTAGCAGGTGAGCCAATATCGTCCGATGAATGTACTCCGCCAGTTGTCAACTTTAGACTCGGACCCATAGCCAGCAATACAATTAGCCGTCCATTGTTTGAAAGTACTTTCAATGATGATTCTTACTTGGGAAGACGGTCGGGAAATGAATCGTCGGGAACGGATACAGAAGATGAGCATTGGAGATTGAGAATTGAAAGAGGAGAATTTTCTGAAAAAGTTAAACAAAAATCCAAAAGTGTTGCTGATTTAATGATACTAACACATATCGATGCTAGTGAAAGTAGCGAAAGTGATACTCCTCTCAACTCGTTTTCCAGACAAAATAGTTTTAAATATCAACGCTTAGCTGCTCCTTTATTGAATAGCTTAACTTTTACTAGCGACAGCGATTTAAGGAATGCTCAAAACGATCACGATTTTCAAGATACATTGAAAAAATTTCAAACGGCATTGAAAAACGGAGATGATGATTCGCTCTCATATTTGTCTTTGCAAATTGATAATAGTATGAAGGTCAAAAAGGATGTTAAGGTGGCCGGTACCAATCCTTTTTTAGAGATTGATGCCTCGGAAAAAACTAATCAAAATAATAATCCTTTCATTTTGCCAAACACAAATCATTGTTCAACGATAGCTTGTAATTCTTCCGTCCTCTTGGGTCCGTGCGAGAACTTCACTATAGATTACTTTAAAGGGATAACGTCTTCCTTATTAGAAAATTCCAAGGATAAAACCACTCAGGATAAATCAATATTTGAGAACTTCAGTTTTACATTTAATCCATATGAATCAATGAAATGGGATTCCAGTGTATTTGACTTTAACAAAAGCGTTCAAAACGAATCAGACGACACGATAAGTGAGAGCAAAACTAAAGAAGATAATTCCAACATTATTAAAGAGTCAAACTATAACACTTTGGAATCGGACTCGGGACATACATCGGATCACACAAACTGTGAGGATTTTTCAACCAAGGAAACGTTGGAAAACAAGATTACAAGTACACAAAGTTTTCCATTTGAGTCGAATGAAGCTTATAATTATTACAATAATACCATAGTTTTGAAAAACGGTTCGGACGATTCTGGTTGTGAAATTGAGCAAATAACTAGCGAAGACGGTAGTACAGAATTTCTGAACGACAAATCAGAAGATGAAGATGACAATGAAATAACAGTGATCAAAGCTCATGATTTGTATGAGGAATGCAAAAACTCAAATATAGAAGATGTTTTGAAGTTGAGCGATAATCCAAGTGAAACAAAAAGTCAATATGAAATCGATGACATAATTGAAGGACTGTCGGAGTCGTGGTATCTGCATCCACAGCAAAAGAATACTTCCGGTTGGCTACCAGATAATCTGAACCAAGATGACGACGATAGCGGTGAAAAACGACAGTTGTCTTTAGACGAAGAATACGCAGAAGCTATAAGACAAGAACTACGAGGTAAAGTCAACCAAAACGATAATGACTCAAGAAATTTAGATACGTCGATGGAAGAAAACTGTAAAGAGAGTGATAACGAAGAACATGCAAATAGTATGGTTAATCATTATAACGCTTATCCTCCTCCGCTGTCTACGATCTTTGAAGAAGACGAGGACGAAAGTCAAGAAATTGCAGATTATTTTTCCAATAACCCTAGTCCTTCTTGTTTGTTATCAGAAACATCTACCGATGGATTAGTCATAAGCAGAGAAAAGCTCGTCGATTCATCTTTTGAGATGGACGATATTCAAGATGACGTTTTGATAGTTGATACAATAACCAATGAAGCAATCATTTTAGATACTGATGTATCTGAGAAACAGGAAATAAAAGCGCTTAACGAAACATACACAATCGAAGAACTAAACTCTGATACAGATGACATATTAGAAACTTTAGAATCTGACACCGTTACGACATATTCACCGGATTCCTTGTCGCCGGGTTCAACTAGCAAAACCGTACCTGCAATTTCTTACTCGTCTTCTGAAACAGCTGAGCTTTCCGACCAGTTTATTTCGCCCACATACAGTGATAATGATTTGCCTTTAGACAAACAAAATAATGCCTTAAAAAGCATAGAACAGCTACTGAGTTGTCCGCAGCAAAAAAAGTCAAGCGAACACTTGGACGTTAAGGAAAGTATACAAAATGCCAGCTGGTTAAAAATGTTTTTAAGTTCAGAAAACGGTTTGGTTCACTCTACGTCGTTACCGAATTCTATCAATTTTAATATCGACAATTGGCCAACCGTGAATGAGTTGACTACCATCAGCAATTCAGTACCTAACCTAACGATTAGCGATGTTGAAAATCCTCTAAGTAGTGTTTTTATGAACGAAACGGATTGTTGGAAGAGTTTAGATACTACGACGCCAATAGCAAAATTAAAAAATCACAGAGACTTCAAAGTGTCTCTTGTAAATGAAAAAGTTAGTGAGCAAACGCCTACCAAGTCATTTGGAATCCCATCGCCCGATAATAATGTATTGGAAAATTGGAAAACTGTGTTCGGTGAAACGGATCTCATAGACAACGTGCAGGATGAGAAAGGTAGTACAAAGTCTGACGACGTTAGTGAAGATGATGAAGTGGAATTTGTGCCATCTACTTGGGACAGCAATGCTACGCCTAATAAAACCTCATTACGGAGTACAAATTCTCAGGCGGTAAGTCATACTTTGACAAATACATACTGACGAATTTAAAACTAATAAAATTATTAGTGTTTAAAGTATACACTTAAAGCATTAACTTCACATTCACATTCAATAATAATAAAAAAACAAAACATTCATAGTCTACGAAATTGACACATTAATTTACAAACAATTCCTACAAAAGTTCTAAAGAAGAACATTCATTTAACTAAAAAAATATTTTTTAAATTAAAAAGAATCTATTGCCAAAATTACATTTTTTTTTTATGAATAGTGTTAAATGAACAAGTCAAAAATTGTTCATTCTCGACAATAAACTCAACGTGTTCTTCGAGAGCTTGTTTAATGAAAATAAATGTTTTCTTTCCATACTTTAAATACATTTGTATTTTACTTTCTTTCCAGAGTGCAAAAAAGTCTGTTTCATTTAAACAACAAAATTATCACTGTGTCTATGAGTATCCGAGAGATGAAAGCGAGACTTATGATTTAGATGTTGGACCTATTTGGGAACGTACTCCGAATTATTTTGATTTATCTACGTTCAGTGGTATGTTCGATATTATCCTTTAAGTATAAACCTGGAATACAGAATTATTTTAGCTGTAAAATTTAATTCAAAATTATTTGTTATCAGATTGGGGATCTGGTCCAACTAAAAACGAAGCAGCGATTAGTCCGACATATATTGATGAAGAAGGAACAAGCTCAACACATACATTAAATCTCGAAAACAGTTTTAGTTTTCCTACTGGTGAGCAGTTGCAACTTATTTTTAAGATTGACTGAATTATAATATTTCTTTTTTCTAAAATTTCAGCATCGTTCGATGATGATTTCTATATAAGTAGTTCGAATCAGCCATTCGAAACCAGTCAAAGTCAATTTTTCCCTGGCCACAGTTCAACTGACGTTGAAGATTCGTTTGAACCAAACGCTGCCGACTTAAAGCCGCTAAAGCCTAAATGCATATGTAATTACTACTCGTATTAGATATCTTCAATGGCCTAAGTTAATGTTTGTTTAATTTTTGCAGCTACCAAGAAAATAAGTGAAGATATATCTGAGCCGGATTCACTGGCCAACGCGATTACTTTGGACGAAGAATTAGCCAAAGCCGAGATGGACAACATGGATATAAAAACGCTCGGTAAGATATTATCGTTGAAAATCGATAACAACTCTAAAGACTCCAATGATTGTAAGACGCCGAAAGAAGGACCGCTTTCGCCTACTTTAGGCGAGTTGTGTCATACGAAACAGCGTTTGACTTTAAACCTAAACAAGTCGACGTCTATACCATCACCAGCTAACGTCACTGAAAAATTCAACAAAAATGATTAAACAGACTTGCAATATAAGTCGAAAAATATCATAAACTTGTTTGTACTTACCAAACATATTACGTATTTTTTTTTTTTGTAAGAAATACAAAATGTTTGTTTTTAACAGGATTTTTCAGTCTTACAAAATTTCGTGTATAATTTTATTTTTATTTTTTTTTTTTAATTGTGCATCACATAAGTTAGGATACAAGTTTAATTATAAGTACAGCACAACAATAGGAAATGATTGTTAATATCTTTGTAAAAGTTGCCTAATGATCTGAAATGTTCTGTTTGACGTTCCTTAATATTTAAAAATGTAAATTACAAATTGTTAGAGTAATATAATAAGTCTTAACCTATGTAAGAAATGTTTTATTAGTTACTAACATTATTATTAATAATAGTTTTTAAAACTATGTTCCAAGTGTAAATATTTGTTTTTATTATAAAGGGGAAAGGTAGACATTTTTTTTTTACTCGCCGTCCATAATCATAAAATAACTTCCCATTATCATTAAAATTCTTAAAAAACAAATACTAAAAACTAAAACATAACAGTTGTTTTTGTTGAATGTTTTATATATTTTTGGTTCAAATGATCTGTTGAGGCTCACAAAAAGTATACTAGGAATTGTGTAAAAATAATTTGACATTGTAAATATTAATATTAAGTAGTTTTTATTATTATTTTGTAATAATTGTTTATTATGTTTAATTTTTTTTTTTTTTTTGTTATACTCCCATTAGTGAATCTTAAAAGTGTTTAATGCCAAATATGTAACACTTCTCCTGTTTTATTAGTGCCTATGTTGTTTTTTCTTTTATAAAATTGGGTATATGTTATGAAGTTATGTATAACAGTGTATCTCCATGACGTGTATGATGAACGCAATTATTGGACTATCAGTATTAGATTGCCCTCATTGTTGTTTCTTTTTATACATATATTCTAATAAACAAATACATGTCTCATCGAACACACACCTATTGTTTATTGTTCTCAGTACCTGTCAATTAACTATTTAATTTTTAATAAAAAAAAATATGTATACCTAGTATTTTATTATATCCGTGTTGATATATTTTATGTAGTTAAATCTTGCATCAAATTCAAATTTACCAAAAAGTTTTAGTTTATCGTTAATAACTAAAAATAAAAACAGCCAGTACCGTGGGGATTGGTGAGGTCTGGTCTACTGGTCGACAAAAAATATAGTTCTTATTCCTGCTCATCATCAAGCCTTATTACCATTAAGCACATTAATTCCTAAACAATTACATTATCAATATTACAATTTGTTCTTTATACTTTAATCAAAACGTTTGTTTGAAAGTGATTTTATTACTCACATATAATCAATAATTCCTACAGTCCTGTGACTAACTGACTTCACTATGATCCATTCACACTATGCTGGTGTTGTTATTTATTATTCAAACTTATTAAGAAAAATATAGTTAAAATTATATATAAAATAAAATATATTATTATAAAGTAACGTACAAAAAATATAATTGAAATTGTTATTTAGATAGATAACAATATCTAAATATTGTTCAAATAAAAATACAGTTTTATTTATTATTTGAATTTCTATTTAAATAACGCCTAGGTTTGAGCGAATATAAACCAAAAAAAAAAAAAATAAAGCCAAACGACTTCGCAATATAATAATAAATAAAATTATAATACACACTATCCAAATACAAAACTCGATAAGTAAAAATAATATGTTTATATTAATATTATTATTTCAACATTAATTAATAATTACAAATATTTTTATTCTCACTAACTAGAAATTATTGACATTTCATTAAAATACTATCATTAATATATTATATTTTTTTTTTATATAAAACCATTCAAATAAATATTTTTTTTTTTGGTAACTATAAAACTGATGAAATATAATAAATATTGTTTTGTAGATATGATGCGTAAGTTTTTTAGTTTATAGTGAGTTTCCTCATTCAGACGTGGGAACATTAGGTGGGACTTCTTGGCTATTGTCGGAGTCTTCCAATTGTGCCTTTTTCTCATATATTACCTCTGTAGATCTTACGACACCGGCTTCCAAATCTAACCAACGGCCTCGCACAGCGTTTTTGGCCGGCGGAGACCACCAGTTGACCAAGTTACCGAATACCGGCACATGTCTAAGAATTCCTTCTTGCCATATTTTTTCGTCACTCTCTTTTTTCAAGTCAACTGTGGCCGTTTCAATGCCTATAAAAAATATTCATTTACAAATTAGGTAGTTTTAAAAAAATAATAATAATAAACTAACAAATCAACCTTTTTTTACTAATTCGGCCATAGAATCTATGTATTTAGTCGACTCCTCCTCTTTGTGCCCCGTACTTTGCACCAAGGATAATAGTTCTGCAACGTCAGTGTCTGCTGTGACCATACCAAATCGCACACAAGCTAAACCATCACTTCCTTCTCCTGAAAATACGTTTCATATGTATTTTAATAAGCCTAATTATCTAAATTTTACAAATGGTAAACTACCAAGTGAAAATGCAGCATCGATTGATCGGAGTTGTTGGACAATGCGTACGTTTAATCTATTCAAGTCTTGTTTCGCCTGATCAGTAGCCAACTGTTGGTCAGATGTTTGCCACTGTTGGGGTATGTATCGTACGGCCCCCAGACCTGCCCAATCGTCTACCTCCACGTACTCGAGTGACGGTAATTCGGATATTAGGTTCATGAGCTTATTTTTATGTTCAACTGTTGCTTGCAAAATTTCCTTTACACAAAATTAATGTCATAAAATCTCATGTGGATTTCAATACACAACTACTTACAACATGTTGATCTAAACATATAGAAAACGTTTCCCAATCGTCTTCGGTTATTAAAGAGTTCAATATTGTAAACGGTGAGAATGAAACAACAACGCCCAACGTTTCTATTTCACAAAGCTCTAATGGCGCTTCGGGTATTTCTCGTTCTAAAACTTGTCCTAACTGAAATATTCAAAAATTGTCTATGAATCAAAAAACATTGAACTTTTGATGTTAAATATTATCGAGGAATTCAATCATTTATTTATTGAATTCAATTTTAATAATACTCATTTGTACCCAGGAATTGAGTTTGTCGTAATAAGGTGAGACTCTAATAGTACAATCTTTCGGTACAAACTGAATGATGAGACAAGACGATAAACTATGTAACAAGTCCTAAAACATAATTGATAAAATAAGTAATTACAATCCATTAGTATACATACTAATAATACAATACATATAGATTACTCAACTGAAATGTTTTCTTTCTTTGCAATAATATCAGAAACGGTTTCCTCGTTTGATTCACTCGTGTGTCCTTGGGTTTCACACTAGAAACATATAACGAAATAATTATAAACAAAATTATTAAAAAAAAAACTTTCTAAAACATTACCAAAATTCGTAAGCAGTCATATCGGCTGACTAAATTGTAAATACGATGACAGATTTCAAACTTTTGTTGTATCCTAAGAACCAGTGCGTCTTGCCCCAATGCCTGAGATAGAATTTAACATATTATGTTTTGTATAAAAGCCAGTCAATAAAAGAAACAGCGAAAAAAATCTCAACCAATATTTTATATTTTTAAATGCCCTAAGGAGGGGTATGTACTTTGGCAAATATTACCTTAGTTAATTAATTAACTTATATCCAAAATAATATGTCTATAATTACAATTATAAAAATATTCTATCAGAATTATTCTTTTTATGTTATATACTATATTGTAGGAGTTATCGTTTTGAACAGGTAATAAAAATACATGAGTAACCATGTTTGTTACTCGGGCACCCGTGTATTTTAGCTGTGTAATATTGTAGCCTCTACTATATAGGGTATAAGAATTGAGTCTTTTAGTACAACTCTTATTTTATTATAGTTATTATTAAATAAATACATAAATTAAACACAATTGGCAAGGGCAAAATATGTTTAAAAATATGAATTCATATAAGCTTTACAACAAAATTATAAATTAAATAAAGTTTCTTTTAATTTTAAAAGAAAGATAAAATCTTTTTTTTTAATGATTTGCCGTTTAAAAAAAAATCCTAAATGACTTGTTTAAGGTTTTTATTGATTTTAATTTTTATAATCATTATATTATATATTAACAATAATTCAAATTGAATAATTTATAGTTATGATATTAATAATACCATTGAGCACTCAATGAATACACCACTATTATACACTAATAATATTTTTTTTTTTTAAATATTAATACCTTTTAACCTCAATATAACTTTTTAAATTGTGTAATTTCAGACTAATTTTTTCCCTTTGTTTGATAATTTATAGCCTATATTTACTAGGCTAATATTATATCGTAGAAATTAAATTATAAAAGCTAAATTCTGATAAAATCGAAACTTCTTACTTGAAAACAAGTCCAAATTGGTAAACTTTTGCTTTTATAAACGTTCAAGACGTCAGTACCACCATATTGCTTGTTGAATAATGTCTTAATTTCCATGTGTTAAGAAAAATATTAATGTTACTATACTAATCATAATTTTTTTTCTTATACAATATATAATAATACATAGATTATAATTAGTTTTAAAGGATACAACTACAGGCAATGCAGTAATATTTAGCCAAATGCTTGGAGTTAATGTTATACTATCAGCCAAAGAAGTTTCCTAAAATTCAAAAGATGCTTTGTTAAAATATTTGTTAATTCATAAAAAAATTGTTTTATTATTTTATACTTGAGTATTTGAGGATTTCAATGCGAGTACAGATAAATTATCGCCAGACAAATGTAACCATATATTGTATTTATTGCATAGTTCTTTCAGTCCAACTATATCGTCCATTTGACCAGTGACGTGAGCTCCTAAATTTCAAATTTGTATAAAATTAACAAAATTATGCTGTTCAATTCATTCCTTGATACTCGAAAAGTTACAGAATATGTATTAGATACTTTTAATCAATTGAGTAATAAGTAAGTTTTGAAAGTTTTATAGTCGCATTTTTCATTTTGCTATACATTTGTTAAACTTTTTTTTTTTTTATAAAAATGCACTTTTTTTTTAAATTTTATTATCTTAAGGTAAAAAAAAATGTATATGGAACTACCTGTTATTAGCATTCTTACCTGCTCTGCCAAAAACTATAAGTGGTTTCTTATTGCTTTCGGTATCATTCATAATGATTTTTTCGAGTAGTTCTAAATTTGCTTTGTAGGGAAATAATGGATTTGATACATTAGGAATTATTTGTATGTTTTTTTCATTAATTCCCATCTAAAAAAAAAATAGTATTAGTATAGTAAAAATAAGCCGTATCAATAGAGATTAAAAATTAGATACTTGTGATACAGCTCTCTTAATAGTACTTATCAACACTGGGTCTGGTGTACAATAAATCACTGGACTGGCATTTGGGTTGAAATAGTCTGGCCCAAATACACGGTTCATTGCTAAAAATATCACCTTCTCGTAACATAAAACCATGTTTTCAGTATAAAACACTCCACAATTCGGAAACCTAAGTAATAATAATTTAACATTTCAAATCAACAGTTGAACATTGTTTAGAATGAATATAGTAGTTTTTAAACAAACTTGAATAATTCAGACAGCCAAATGGTAGTCGATTTGTTTACCGGTGACAAAACTGACACCGTTTGTTCATTAGGCAAACAGTGGCTAATGTAATAACTGAGAGAATACGACGACAAACTCAGTTTATCTAACTCTTGTAAAATTGGTGGTGGATTGTCTTCGGTTTCGTTATTACTCTTGTTTTGGTTCAATACGAGACTCTTAAAAAAATAAAATCCTCGTTAGTAATAATATTATGTAATTTAACAAAAATCGCCATAACACAAAATCACCTGCAACGAAACTAAGACATCGTTGAACGACTTGGGATTATGTGACAAGTCAAGTTGTGATGCTGGCTGAACGCTTGCAACATTGTCTTCCAAGTTACTAAGGGAACTGACAAACTGTTCGTGTAAATCGATGACGGAAGAGTCAACCACCTTTAACAACAAAATGTCTAATCGGTACAGATTATGTTTTATAAGTTATAGTTTAAATAGTATTTTTTTACATTATGGTCCAGGAATGGAACGATTTTTTCCTCGCTGGTATCTGGCGATGACATATTTGTTACCGTTTGTGTGCTCTATAATTTGTTACTTGTAATACAATAACAATAATAATTACAATGTACTCGACCAGTCATGTATTATTGCTAGCCGACGAATTTAATAAACGCGGTACACAAAACGATATTTATCAGTTACTTTATTATTTAATGTCCAATAAACTCCGGGTAATTAATAGAAAAATGCAAAAGAACATGAGCAATTATTTTGTGTTAAACAAACAATATTTATGTTAACAAATTCAAAAAAATGTGTTACGTTTCAATGTTGATAACAAATTGATAACCGATAGTAGTGGAATATTATTATTTATTTTATCTATGGGGCATGGGCCCGGTCCATTGTGTTATCCACAGAGCCACTCAAACGCTGGTTATTCATCAGCCATAGACTATGGAATAGAACTTTTACATTTCACTTATGAGAACACCATAAGGATAAGGTCTTGACTCTGGTGGTTATTCATAAGTAAAACAAAATTGCAACTGATGCGCACCACACAATAATATTACAATAGGAATGTTATATTAAGTTTTAAACGGCATGAGCTGCATAAGAACTGAATGTATAGCACCTATATAAAATACAGATATATAAGTACCTTGTACCACAGTCTGTTGACTTCCATATTTACGGTTTGTGCACAGTGCACAGATTCGAGAATTTTCCAAATTGTTTTTGCAACTTTCTACTCACAAAATACAACAAAACTTGGTATATAATATTCATTGATAGGATCAGACACACTGCTTATTATGTTCATTACACTCAAATCATATTATATTTTCCTTTTACTCCTTATGCAATTCGACGCTGTGCACATAAGGAAAACCATAGATTATTATCATGTCACGCACTCGTCCGTGTCAATCACAACCGTTGTATGTATAGTCCTTTTTAGGAAGATATAAATATACCTAGTTATTTCCTTGTAAAAAATATGTACAGCAAAAAGTTATTATGCAGTGGAAAATAGAAGTTGAGAAATACACAATTTGTTTAAACGATCTACAAGTCGTTTGCTAACGCCCATGTTTGCTATACATCCATTAATGTTATTTTTAATAAGTAAAATATAGAATTAAATAGCGTAGAGTTAGATGATGCGAGAGACGAAATTATAAAAGTGTTAGCTGGATAATTGTTTAACAGGTAGTTGAAGTTTTTAGAAGGTTTTTAAATTCTGGATACTTTTGATTTTAACAGGTAATTTAAAATATATTTCAAATTAAGTAAGTTGTTAGTCATTTTTGCGATTCAATATTATTAAAATATTATATATTAGTGTTTTAAATGAGTTGAATGAAAAAAAAATATATATTTTGGCCGACTATTTGAATTTTGAACCACTGTGCGATGTCACTTTTTTTCAGTTATCGGACGACAACTTAAATATTCATTATAATTTATACCGCACCAACGCTTAAAATGTGTCAACTCAAAAAATGCGATTTTTTAATGTAAATAATAAACTTATTTAAGTATAGAAAATATATTTGTTTTGCCCTACCCCTCCCCAAATTGTAGTTTTTGATGAAATTAAGTATTCCATTTAAAGGATTTTTTTTGAGATATTTTTCCAGACGTCAACAATTACCGTTTTCCTTTTAAATGACCACTTGCCATTCGATAAAAGACCTATAAATTCTATAATTTTGAAGATGGAGAATTGGGATTTAGAATAGTTTTGAAACTTTTTTAATAAGCTCTAAATAATATCTTAATATAATAATAGGACTTTTTTATCAGATTATCAGAATTACCTTAACCAATTATGCAGTTAAAGCCCAAAGGGGTGAAATAGTAGATATTATCTAAAATATCTAGCCACCTTGGTCTTATCTATTATTTTATTATAATATATGGTGGCGAGTGGCTATTGACATACACCCACAGATTAAATAAAACTTAATTAAATTAAAATTTAATAAATTAAGTTTATAGGTCTATAGCTATTGATGGTACAGAATACACAATCGACGATTGTAAAATAATTGTTGCCGCCATTTTCTTATCACTAATAAGTTATCAATGATCCTAATTCAAAATAAAGGCAACGGATTCAGGCTTAAGGAATAAGGATTTTTATATACTTATCTATGGATGAGGATTTCAAATTTCGTCTTTTGATCATAATATTATATTTAATATAGGTGTTTCATGATTATTGAACGTTTGTACAGTTTCTGTATTTCGTCGTTATGGCCATAGAACTGACTACTAATTCAATCGAAGTCCGTTGAAACTAGATTTATTAGATTACGATTTATTGTTTATTTTTAACATTGCACTTTTTTTAATTTCAGAAATTATGTAGTGGTATTGCAGTTCAAAATGCAGTCGTTCAATTACTTGTAATTTTTTATTTTACCTTGTACTCTAGTTAAATATCAAATCGTTATATTTATAGTAGATACAATATTTACAGGGATACGAATTGGTCAACTGTCGTAGTCATAAGTTATATCGACTGGTACTTTCCGATGGTGTGTACATGAACTCGTATTTTTACTTATGCATCCAATTGAACTATTTATTGATAGAAAACAAAGTTAAATATGGAACCATACTGCGCATCGATGAATATAAATTTAATGATGGTGAAAATTGTATGAACCGTAGCCCTAGGTTTGCTTATTTCTCTTTCGTCGCTACTTTACGAGATCTTTTAAATTTTAAATGATTCTTATTAAATTGTTACAGGCAATTACTATTAATTGAAAAAGTGTCTATTTTAGTGCATAGAAATGCAATCGGTAATCCTTTACCGTTGATAAATATTTTAAAGAAAAAACCCATGTTGATTAACTTAAATTTGAATAAATCTCCAAGTAGGGCATTTAATTCTTTTGAGCAATTGGAAAACAATTTAAGATTTGTCAAAGAGTTAAATGATGCAACCAATGGGTGAGAACTCCCTACAATTACTCGGCTTGATTATTATTGGCTCTAGATTATTGTAAAAAATAAAATATCTAATAGGTATTTAAAAAACTAGGAAATGCAGCTTTGTACTGAAACTTTTAGTGATCAGAAAGTATCCGATAAACACATATAACCACTGTCAAGTTCTAAATATGAATATGGAAGATTATAGTGGTATGATACGCGTCAGTGCATTTAATTCGTTAAGTACGATAATGGATGCAATATTTCAGGTTAATACTATTATTATTCTAAATTTAACAAATAACAAATTTTGTTTCCAATTTTTAGGAAAATAAAATGTATTTTATTACGGATACAGTATTAAAAAAAAATGCAGGTAAATTTGAATTAAAGTTACAATCGTATTCAGTCGTAATAGAATGTCCTGAAAAAACAACAGCTGAAGGCTTACCAACAAACATATCAACTTTTGATACATTGTTGACAAATAATCCAAATACATTTTGTGGTAAATGATTACTTTTATTATTTATATTAAACATTTTTTCTCTTGCATTTCATTTTCAATTAAATTTTTTCAAATACAGATTTGATTGGAGTATGTATAGAAATTGGTGACATTGAAGTGTGCAACAACACGACTGAAAGAACAGAAGTAGCAAAACGTGATATTGTGTTAATTGATAAATCAATGAGAACCGTTAGTTACATGTTGTACTAATATTAATATTACCTAGTTTATTAATTTATTAAGTGGTCGAGCAGGTAATGCGGTAGGGCGTTTGCCGTTACTGTTGCTGGTTTGACACTGTCAAAGGGGGCTTTTTTTAAGTGAGAAATTGTCTAGTTAAATACAGTTGTCTCATCTGTGATGGATAAACAATCCGTCTCAGAAAACAAATGGGTTTAAAACTACCTTTTTGGAAGAAGCAGCAATGGACTGTCGCCAAAGTTAGAATATTAGACTAGACTAGTATTCTTTTTTGCTTTATCTTAAAAAAGTTGGGTTTAGCCATCTTAATATCCATACTTTTCTAATTATATGTGTCTTTAGTTAATGGTTGACGGTGATGACTTCTAAAAGAAGCGACAATTCTTGTCCTTTAACACGTTCAAACCATATTAATCACTAGTTTCTCTTTTTCCATAATTTCATAAATTTCTGCTTAGTGTATTCTAATTTATTATTTTTGTTCAGCATTGAATATCACATTTTTATAGACCTTATTTTCCTTTAATTGTTACATAAATAACAATGGACTTTTATTAAAATTTATATTACCAACTCAAATGGTTATTGAAAAACCTATAACTTTTTAGTTGGTGTTTATTTGTTTTGCTTTTTTGTTTAATTTGTTCTACTCACTTATGTATAGGCCCATCCCATTTGTATTGGATAAAGCAAAGAAGACCTCTATTATTTATTAATACACTATTATTCCTACAAAGATCTACAATATTTAAATATTTAATACGTAGTACACCTGTATATCTTATAGTTTTATAATACACATATATTTATTTATTTTTAATTTAATAACGAATAAAATAGTACCAAAGTCTAAATAACCATAAAAGAAATAATTTATTACAAGATAACTTCTTATGTATTGCTTCGACGCTCTTTACAAAAAAATACGAGTTTAAATTTTCGAACGAAAAAAACATTTCAACCCTGTGTTTATCCAAGCTGAGTGGTTATTGTTCATTGGTAATTAGAAACTTGCACGGTTTGTTAAGAAGCGTCGACTAAGTAAAAGTATTTTCAAATAATGCCCAACTGTGGTAATGATTTGTGTACTTCATATAGTATGTATATTATGCGTAAAAGCTGTTTTAGTTTATGATTATGAGATACTTTTTTTTTTTGTTGTTTAGGTAACATTGAAAGTGTGGGGTGAAAATGTTAATAAGTTCAACAATGAAAACAAAACTCATCCTGTAGTGTTAGTCAAACAAGCTATCCTCAAACAATTTAACGGAGTTAAACATTTTACAATGCAGAAAGCTAGTACGCTGTTAATCAATCCAAACACAATAGAAGCCCGTCAAATAAAAGAGTGGTACAACAGTTTGGGTTCAATTGAGGGCACTTGAGCTCAATTGTTATAGGTGTATTGTTGTTATATTGTATGTCATAGTAAAGAAATTGTGTATGTTATAAAATATGTGTTGTACATGAATTGTATAGGCAGAAATAGTAAAATAAAATAAATATTACATAAATAGAATTGTAATTGAATATAGTTTTGTTTCGACTATCAAAAATACAAGGCTTGATAGAGTGAGCACAGAGAAAATTTGTTTTGTTCGACTACAATAGCTATAATGGTCGGGGGAACACCATACGTTCGAGTTTGTCATCTCCACCCAAAGATCATTTTTCTTTAAGTCTGAATTAATGTACACCTACTAAAAGAGTGGTCATAAAATAATTCGATACATTCTTTTTTTGCTTAGAGTGTAAATAAAAAAGGCATGAAGTACATTTTTTTTGTCGAATGGTCCGATAAAAATTTGAAATCTCGGTGGGCCGAAAAGTCTCAATCCGGCGCTGGATTTTCTTTATTCCTAAATAAATTAAATTTGCAAAACTATTGACTTTTAAATTATGGAGACTTTTTGCCGTATTCTGTATAATTTCGGGATTTCGAATAGGGCCTGCCGCCTGGGTTATTGATTAATTTCGTCCGGTTAGAGCGGTAGACGCTTTCCAGTTACCGCTACCGGGATTTGGTAACTGGTTGTTGTGGTTTATGATTTGTTTTATCAGATAATATATATATATTTATGGATTCTACCTCCAGACTATCACGGTCGTGGTGCCATCGTGAAAGGTTTTAATTAATTTTCGGCATTTTACTTCAATACCGAATGCATTCGTCATTGTTCGTTTATGGCGTCAGGCGTTCCTGTTTCCTAACATGTCCGAGTTAAATATTTAAATTGCCATTTCCTCTAGTCAAAATGTAATGTATCATTAGTTGTAAAACGCCCGCTGTAGTCTAAAAGTCATCACTGTAGAGTGGATATATTCCGCGACTGTGAATCTTTCGATTTAAAATGAATCTTTCAGCTTTACTCAAAATGCCAGGCCCCAATATCCGAGTCTATATTTGCTCGATTATTTTCCTAATGTTTACTACGGGAGTGATCAAACAATTAACCGATGAAACCGGCCACAAGTGCGAGATGACCTTTATGTTTGAATATCCTCATTTTTTGGTAAGTATAATACTACAAATTTCGATTGTTCTTTGTTTGGTATAAATTGCACTTTACCTGACATCCTTTACTTTGCTATTTTTTTATTATTTTGTAGTATTTTTTACGCTGATTACGAATCTAAATTCAAAAATCTGTGGACTCCTCCAGTTCGAAAGTTATAGCCACTTAAAATTTGCATACTTCCGCCTGTATAGTAATAGGCGGCGGTCGTTGCGACCGTCGCCGCGCCATACATTTGTTAGTGACGCAAAGATAGGTTAGGTTTTGGACTCGATAGGTCGCTGACACTTTCAGAGAGGTTAGGTTAGTTTGCTCCTTTAGCCAAGCTATTTTTCCTCTGGGGTTTAGGGGTGAACGCCCTATTTACAAAGGGCTCGAGTCGGCTTCCAAAGCTAGCAGGCGTAGAGAGTTATTTTAAACAGTTAAAGATTTACTAACTTGAAGCTTTAAAACATACGAAAATTATATTGTTATTCAATACAGTATAATAATACATTATATAATAATAACAATAATAATAATAATAATATAACCAATAATAATAGTAAAAAAAAATAATTAATTAACTGATAATACTGTAGCCGCCGCCACACCATACGAGGCACGTCCAGGAAGTAAGAGTACTGTTGCCCTCTCAACCTGTGAGACATTTTTTTTCGAAGTTTGACAATACAGAGTGGTATTGGGGTTATCTTGAACACAACCAACATCGGTAGACCTCGGTAGTACAAAAACTCGTCTTGTAGTGTCCGATGGAGTGAAATATGTCAACAAGAAATCCGGCATCTCCTTCTTACAGTTCAGAACGTCTTGTTCACCTCCTCGTCAGTTGAAAATTTGTTTTCCATTTATGTGAGTTTTCACGGAGGTGAAAAGAGGAAAATCTAAATGCGTCAAATCAGGGGAGTATGCGGTGTGGTTCAAAATATTTCTACTGAATGAGTCCAAAAGCGCCTTAGTGCTAAGGTTATGTGCAGGCGGGCGTTGTCATGCAAAAAGCACACTTCCTTTGTCAACAAGGCGCTTTTAGACTCATTCAGTTGGGACATTTTAAGCCACCCCACATATTTCCTTGACTTGGCAGACTTTCATCTTTCATCTACTTAAAGACACATATGGTAAAAAAAATTGTTTAACTGATGAGGGGGTGAAGAAGAGGTCCTGAACTGTAAGAAAGAGATGGCGGGATTACTTATAGACATATTTCACACAAACGGACACTACAAGGCGAGTTTTTGTACTACCGAGGTCCACCGGTGCTCATTGTGTTCAAGAGAACCCCTACCACTCAGTATTGTCAAACTTGGAAAAAAAATTATTCCTCACAGCCCGAGAGGGCAACAGTACTCTTACTTTCTGGACAATCCTCGTTCATTTGATGGCGACGGAAGTGTGTGCGGCTGACTACAGTATTATCAGTTAATTAATTATTTATTTTTATTATTATTATCGGTTATAATATTATTATTATGTAATGTATTATTATATTGTATTGAATAACAATATAATTTTCCTATGTTTTAAAGCTTCAAGTTAGTAAATCTTTAACTGTTTAAAATAACTCCCTACGCCTGCTGACTTCAGAAGCTGACTCGAGCCCTTCGTGGATAAAGGCGCTCACTCCTAAACCCCAGAGGAAAAATAACTGGGCTAAAGGAGCAAACTAACCTAACCTCTCTGAAAGTGTCAGCGACCTATCGAGTCCAAAACCTAACCTATCTTTGCGTCATTAACAAATGTATGGCGCGGCTACAGTCGCAACCACCGCCGCTTATTACAGGCGGAAGTATGCAAATTTTAAGTGGCTATAACTTTTGAACTGGAGGAGTCCACAGATTTTTAACTTCAGATTCGTAATCAGCGTAAAAAATACTACAAGAAAAAGGGTGTCTGGTAAAGTGCATTTGTTCCTTTTGTTTTTAATGATTTCTAATTATTTGTTACTGGAATTAACTAATATTGTAGAAGATACCAGTGTCTACGAAACAGAGCAGATATAACTTGTACGCTTACTTGGAAGGCCAAATTTCTGAGACGTCTAAATCTATGAAGTTTTACGGCATACCGGTTATTTTTATTCCAGGTCATAGCGGTTCATACAAACAAGGTAACATGTGCAAATTAGATGGTTAAGTTATCTTGTATAATATATGTTTATTTGTATATGTCTCAGTTCGATCAATCGCTTCGGTTAGTCTTCGAAAAATGCACCATATACAATCAAACATAAAATTTGATTTCTTCACTGTCGATTTGAATGAGGAATATTCAGCCATATTCGGCGGCGTGCTGATCAAGCAAACTGATTTTGTGTCAGTGTGCATTCAACGAATAATACAACTGTATGAAAAGGATTTCGTTCCTACTTCCATGATACTTATTGGCCATTCCATGGTAAACTATATTATATTTTTCTTCACTAATTTTTAATGTAGTGTAATGTTAATAATATTTTGTTTAGGGCGGAATTATCGCAAAAGGTTTATTTATCGAACCGAAATTTGATCCCAGTTTAATCAAGCTTATTATTACGTTAGCTACTCCTCACAGGCCTCTTATTTTGACTGACTTGTACATGGATGAATATTATAGAAAAGTGAATGCTATTTGGGGAAATGGGTTTGACAAGCCAAGGAGTTCGTATTTATCAAATATTAGCCTATTGTCCATCGGAGGTGGCCATAAGGACTTGATGGTATGGCCAAGCCTTACTTATACGCCACACGCTGACATCAACACATTGGTACACTCACCACTTTTTATTTCTCGATTAACATGAGTAGTTGTATTTAGAAATTAAATTTACAGAGTTCGGTCGTACCCGGTGTTTGGACTTCTACTGATCATCAATGTATTTTATGGTGTAAATCGTTGGTCAAAGTTATAGTGAGAATTCTATTTGATTCGGCCGATACCGAGTCTGAAGACTCGCCTTACGAGTGGATAAATAAAGTTTCTTCTTACCATTTGGCTAATGTTTGTATAACTCAAAACGTAAATATTACTGTTATTGCTATAATTTTTTTTTTTTTAATTTCAGAGAAGCAATGGAAAATGGTTTCACAACAATTTGCATCCAAAGAATGTACAGCTGGTTAAAGAGCCAAATACATTAGAATGGAATGAGACTTACAGAGCTCAACGATTCATCAAATTGGAATCGGGAACACCAAAACCGGTTGTTTTTTCCATGCCGATAAGAACTCAGAACTATGACTATGAGGTGATGGCTGAAGCTATAAATATGGACAATCAGGATTGGGTATTTTCTTGCAAATCTGATGATGATCCGAAGAAGTCTTGGTAAATTTAATAAAATAAGTTTTAGTATAAATCATCAGTAAAAAATAAAATGTGACTATTATTTCAGCAAAATGGGTAAAAATTGGTCTGCAAACAGCACTATATCGGTTTCAAAACGTTTGAAAAGACGTCACGTTACATTAAAATGTTCGCACTTGCATGCCATGGGTCATACCGATGTAGTATTCAAAATAAAAAGTACTAAAGAAGAGGTAATATATTTATATGTATTTTAATAATGTATATTAAAACATACAAAGTCACAAACAACAAGTTATAATTTTCAAATATGTATTTTTAGACTGGTCTGATGGTCGACATGTATAGGACTGGCGACAGAACGAATGATTTATCGTGGAGTTTTTGGTTTGGTATTTTTAAGAGAATATTGTTGTGGGAAATAACTTTTTATCGAACAATGCAATACAAGACAATTATACGAGATTGGCCCAAAAACATTTGTCGTGATTGTGTATATAACGTTTACATGAATCCGATTAACTGTACAGAATTTAAACATCACGCCGTTTCCAAATTTATCGTGCCGTGGACTCAAGGAATACTCTATGGGTATTCTAGGTAAGTTATTTAGAACAAAATATGCAACATGGTATGTTTAATGGTGTATAAATTATGTTAATGTTAATAATTATAGTGACCAATCTATACAGCCATTAAGATTGACTTTGGATAGTATTCCTCCATCAAAAATAACTGAAGATCCTTACTTGCAATTTATATTGGACCCAAACTGCCTTTATCAAATTGAGTAAGATCACAACTTAGTTTTTTTAAAAACTAGCCTAACAGGAAGTAGTGTAATTGTAGGGTATATACATTGTGTAAACCCACTTGCCACTTTTCTGTACATATTTTTATTTTTATGAATTTAAAATAATTTTTTATTCTCATATCAAATGCTTTATTACTTGATAAATAATAGATGATATGTTAATTATTTATGGAAAACATGTTCTTAGTTAATTTAAAATTTATTAAATATAATTTTGTTGTATTTCTGAATAAAATATTAATCTTTAATAACTAAAGTATTCTGAATACAAAATAAACTTGAATAAAATGTTTAGTATCTTAGATTATTATTATTATTATTTTTTTTTTTTTTATTAGGTTGAAAATGTCTATTTTGGATACACTTGGAACCATAGGCCTTAAATATGGCCTAGCATTTCCATCATATATCGGAAGTATAATATTGTTTGTATTGTCGCACCAGCTCGATCAGTTGGCCAAATCTAAGCCAAAGGAATGCTCATCATTTCATAACTCAATTCCTTCGACATTTAAAATTATCAAAACTTTAGTTTTTTCCAATCTATTAATTATCTATTTGTAAGAACAAACAAATTATCTCTATTAATATATTGAAAATATTTTTATTAAATTTTAATGACTATTACAGACCCACACTTGGATATTACAAAAATATGCACACACCTATTGGCGGCATCGATTGGTTAGGAGATCCTTTGAAAACAGTGATATTCACTTTATTAATGTACTGTATCACCATCTCGTTTTTGATCATTGTGTCCTTTGTACTGTGGTATATGATGCTGTTTTGGGGGAAAATCTTGAACATAATTGGGATCAAGTAATACATTTTAACATAAATCTTATTTTACCAATTGATTTAAATTTGTTTATATTTTAAAGGATTTTAATGAAAGCGTTGAAATCATCGGAAAATTCATATGATTGGTTACTTTGGACAGTTAAAAATTCACCGATAATCGTTCCGTTATTGAATCTATTTTTGACCATTTTTTTTTGTGGAGGTGCCGGACTTATAGTTTCAGTGATTTACTATTATTTTTGGGTATGTTTATTTATTGTCTTTATATGTAACAAAATAATTTTTTTTTTTTTCTCTAATACATTATTTTATTAAAGCTTTGCGCAAAGGTACGAAAATGTGTAGTTGACCAATTAGTATACTGTCCGCTGTTTTTATTGAAAGACTATTTCATAAAAGGCGTAAAATCAGACTTGGACAATAAGCTAAAATCCCTTCATCTTCATTTTTCAATGTTTTTGTTGATGCTTTCCATCACCGGTTGTTATCTGACCTGCAGTATTGAGTGGGCCAGGAATTTCATGTAACTTTATTTCAAATTTAATATTTATAATAGTTTACAGCCAAATAAGATGTGTAAAACAATTTTTATTAATAGGCAAAGCTTCAAGTTGGATGCAGATCCATCGATGCTTGTTTCGATAGGCATAAATTTATGTACTATTGTTCTTTGGAAGGTTGACTTTCCAAATCAAAATACGTAAGTATATATTGATATGAAATTTTGTAGTACAAAAATATTAATCTCGATTTGATTTTTGCATCTTTCAGAAAATGTTACTCCAGAATGAGTTGTACATGTTTGTGTTTCTCCAGTTATCTCTTGGTGTTTGGTCCAACATCATTGTTTCGTGTTAATCCAGTTTTGGCCATTGCATTTGGATTTGTCGCTTTACACCACTCTCCTGGTAGCATGATCGGCACCGATTCTCTATTAAATGAGGGTGATGATGATATTGAAGAAACTGGCGATTTAGAAAAACAAGATTAAATAATATCACCTTACAAATAATAATCTTATTTGATTTCCATTAGTGTTCATTAGCGAAAACTATATATACTGCTTTATTTTAAATTTTAAATAGTAACAAAGTAGGTATCAAAAAAAAAAAAAAAAAATACATTCGTATTATCAATTTAGTATTAGTCATTTTAAAATTAACTCAGTAACATTTATTTATTATGGTTTCGTTCTTACAAGAGACTGATTTTATTTCCATGACATTTATGTTTTTTTCTTTCTAATTTGCATTTATTTTTTATTTTTACATTTTAACTTCTGGAGTATTTTGCCATTATGATTAGTTTTTAAGTATTTTATTTATTTATTCTAGTCATTATTGTGTGTTTATTGTCTCTCCTTTTAATTGATAATTGTAACTTTTTTGTTTAACTATATTCTAGTCAATATTAAATGATTTGCTTTTATCAAATATTTTATACTCTTTTTATGTAACTTTTTTTTTAGTATTACATATATTATATTAATAATTATTCATAAATATCTTACAACATTATAGTTAGATTAATGTTTGTGTGTGTGTGTGTGTAAACAAACCAGTATTATAATATTATATTTACTCTTATAATAAAAATAAAACCAATAATTCATCAATCCTGTGTACTAATTTCATACAAACGAATTATGAACAACATAATAATAAATTATCTTGTCAATTAAAAGCATGAAAAAAACTGCCTTTTTTTAACTTTCATTTATTAAACTAACTAATGATATGATATTACACTAAAAACACCAACTATAAAATATCACGTTTTTTTAGTATATTTGTTTTAACAAGTAGTTTTAAATTACAAGTGTTGGATTAATAATAACAATAAAATTGTTTTTTATGAACAACAATAATGGAAATTATAATTATTCTACAATTAAATTACGTTATCGTGAAGTTCAAATTTTTTGTACTTAAGTATGATACTTAGTTATTTTGGTCATTTTTTAACAAACTTTAAACTGAGTAAATTAACATATCATATTGCCTTGTCCCTCCTAAACATATTTTAATTGTATTTTAACTAAGCGTAGAGGAATGATTCACTTATGTAATTTTCCCCAAAATGTATACACAAATAATTAAATTATTAGTATCTATATCATAGAAAATATTTAAATATGAATCAATGAAACCGTATCGTTTAAAGTGTCGTAATTAGAAATATTATTCGGTATGACTTATCCTAACTGACATCAAATAACCGATAATTTTAGTTTTTTACTTAAACGTAATATTTTATGTACAGTTTGTGTAACAAAAAATATATATATATACATATATAATTCGGTATAAAAATAAATACTGAATACAAATAATAAGTTATAGGTACAGTTATGGGTATCTCGTCACAAAACAAATATATATATATATATATTGTTATGAAAATAATTTAAATTGTTTTTTTAAATAGTTTTTTTTTTTTTTTGGTAAATTAATTTTAAAATATTTACATAATACCTATTATTTTCACTTGTCTATTATTGTCAATTGGGTACACCCACTCAGGCTGCGCTGTTGCAGCAGTATATGGCTCGAGTGAGAATGACTTCGTTGTTATTTTGGATTTGCGATGAAGTGGGCCTCAATGTCGTGTTGGATACAGTGGTGAAGGTAGAGTAGTTGGGCGGTGCTGTGTTCATGTCGACTTCGTCGCTGATCGAAAAAGCTCGATTAATTACACCCCGCAATGCCTCTACACGTCCCGGACGACGGACATCGTAGGCGGGCGGTGGCTGTTCAAAAAAATTAACTATTGTTAATCACCAGGATATGTGAAAAAATGAAATTGCGCAAAATATACCAATCACAATTATTTTGGAACGGAGTGGTCCAGCGCCGTCAAAAGAGACACACAACAACATTACAGATCGGATCGCTGAATTTATTTCTTTTTAATAGAGTTAAAAAAAAAAAAACATTATTACAAAAGGCACCCGCCCAAGTAAGGCACTACTAAGTGTTCGCATTATACTAGATAAATCCGAAAATTGACGTTGTTTTTCTTCATTTATAATAATTTAGATGTTATAAATTAATTATATTATCCAAGTTAAATACCTAATAAAATTGTTGTTCTATAAACGTCCTTAAACACATTTTTACAGCTTCAGACTTTGTATCGTCATTATCTAACTAATAACTATATAATTACCCTCGAGTTATTAACAAGGCCGGGTTTTAAATGTTTTGGACGCCAGGGCAATATTTGACTTTAGCATCTCAGGTTTGTACAATGGTTCCCATGAAAAACGATTCCCTGATTTTTTTTTGATTTTATTTACCCTCCAAACCGTTGCCGAGATAATATTATAAATTGTTGACATTTTAGCCAACAAAGGCGTATAGAAGTGAGCGTTGAGCACTGAATACAAAACAAGAGATCAAAGGAACATGAATAAATGTAGTCTGAGGATGCGTCTCACCTGGTTAAAGTTAATAGGAACTTTGCGGTCTTTTTCGATTTCGTCGTAGCTCGGCGGTCTGTTTTGCATTTTCTCTTTGATGAACTCGTTCAAAGAACTGTTGCTGCCCACTCTGCTCAACGACTCGCAGCTGCAGAGCCCGCAACTGCACACACGTTTAGGTATGTATATAATGTTTCACACGCAAATTGATTCCCGATAGGCGCAACTAGAAAGAATGGATAGAGGGGGGGGGGCTCTAGAAGTTCTAATCCTACTTACTCCGTGTTTGTGTCTTGAAAATGTTCAGCATGCATATAACCGCCCACAGTAACGTTTTTAAGTTTTACCGAAATTCCGAGGGAGATTTAAGCCATAGCTCAGGGTCCCCGTGTTATCTAGTCGCGCCAATGTTCGTTTAATAAAATTGAAAAAAATAAAATAAAATGCTACACTCACTTGAAAAGAGTCTTCCTGATGACCGCCACGAACGTTATGGCCAAGAAGACGAACGCGAACGACAGGGACAACGTGTTGGCCAACTGCACTCCCAAAGTCGGAGAGTATCTGCCCCTGTAAACGACCGAACTGGCGGTTTATTATAAAACATATATTACCCGTGTTAATAATGGCGGGCGCGACGGTTCTTACAGACAATCGTCTTCCATGTCCGGCCGGCAAACGCATACGCCGTTCATGCACTCGGTCGCGTGTGGCCTCAGACAGCATTGCGACGTTTCACAGCTCTCTTGGACCGCTAATTTGATCAAACAACACACATTCGCAATCAGTATCGGGCTAGGTGACGGATTGTATTTACACAAAAAAACAAAAAGTAATACTAATTTGTCTTTGTTTTTTTTTTTAATGTCGCTTCCGACGTGTACCTAGGTATACGGTTTTATTGATACTTAGACGGTATATTATAGTTCTTACACGAACACTTGGAGCAATAACTCTTGTTGGACTCGTTGGAATTCACCTGGTAATAGCCCTCGTCGCATTCGCACCGGTGATTCACGCACGAGCTCGAACCGTACGTGGATAAACACTGACCACTATAGCTGCAGTTTTCCGGTAACCATTCTGTAATCACTACACAGATCACAATATTATATGCGTAAGTACAGGTCGGACTATACATGTAAGATGATTTAGATCCCCAACACTCAACTTTTTAGGTGCGAGACATCTGACAAGTACTCGCATGAACTTGGCTAATTATGTCACCCGACGATTTAAAAAAAAAAAACACACCTTGAATGGAACGGAAAATGACCCTCCCCCCAATTTTAAGCCCTCTCTTTTTAACGCTTGTGTCGGGTTTGTTGTCATTTAATTTCGATTAACAAAAATGTATACGCAATTTAATGTGTATAAGTAATGTAAGCGACCCTTTGTTAAACGATATTTTGTTTTTTATACAATTTACAACGATTTTGCCACATTGATTTTATAGGATTTACTCGCTAAACAAGAATTTAGTACTAAATGTTGTGCAACAAGTCAAAATATACTTTTATATAATAATATTCGCCGGACGCGGGACGCCAGTTATTAGTTAAGCAACTTAAACTAGATGTGAGGAATCGAGACCTACAAATAAACTAATTATTAAAAAACCGACAATGTCTTGTTTGTATATTTTATACTTTTTGTGAAATAAAATATTATTTATTTGTTTTGGTAAATTACTAGATAGCAAGTATAGCGAATTATGGTAGAATTTTTGTTTATCTCACAGATAAATTATAATTTTTTGATATAAGTCGATGATATTAGAGTAGCCAGCAATTCATTTATAAAAACAATAACATTATTTTACGTATTGATAAACAAAATGTTTACTATGAATACAAACAAAAAACAGTAGCTTTAACAATACTGAAATTTAATAATGTAATTTAAAGTTATTTAAAAAACTATTAATTAAAAAAAAATAGTTTGTTGACAATAATTGTATTTTAACATGTTTTTAAATAGTTTATTATAATTATTTTGAAGTTATATAAGGTTTACGCTGTTTAGAGTCCATATGTTTCTTTTATAAGAGCATTATGTATATTTCATAGTTAAGCCACCAGCAGCTTGATAATAATTCTTGTGATTATTAACAAATTATACAATCATTTAATCTACGTTATTCCACCATTTACGATTCACTACTGCAACGTATTGATAAAATGACAACACAAAACAACCTTGTCAATAACACTCGATTCTTGTTTTTTACACAAAATGTATATAAATATATTATTCAACGGAACTACGTGTTAGGTATAATGTTTTTCTTACTTTTTTAATGAGTTTTTTATCCGAACTATTATTATCCAGAAACGGTCGTTGGACCTGATATGTATACACTAACAGTTGACAGCTGTATATAAGCAAACAATTGCAATTAACTTAATGATAAAATCGAATAACTTTATACTATACTACATATATAATATAAATTATATATATATATATATATATATATATTAGATTTAATCACAAATAGCTGAACAATACACTATCTAGATTTTTTTAATAACAAACGCTTATACCAGAGGTTATACTGACATCTATCGAATAGAAACGATAAAACTTGAGTGAATGAAATTTTTGTGTGACAAATCAACCAAGTCCTATCCTACAAGTAAAAGCATCAGTGCGCAAATACAAATGTCAACGGTATTGCAAACAAATACCTCTTTTTACCTATACAGAAATATGTACATGTATACCGTACATAGTAAGTACGGTTTTGTGTTCACTGAGGTTGTTAAAGATCATACGCTAAAACTGGAAGAATTTTCAAAATAAATCAACGCGATTACATTATTTAGACTTCGTAATTATTATTTGTTTCCACTTTCCAGGTTTTTAAATTCGTTTTATTAATCTACAATCCAGCTTGACGACGGAAATAATAATGACTATTAACTATTGTAACAACTTAAATTAATTGAACAATTTTGAAAAATATCACAGATTGAATTTTTTTTTTTTTAATTTCAGTAATATACATAGAAAATTTTCGACTCCCTTGTTTTCCAATTACCCGTCAAATTCCAGCCCAGAAAAAAAAGAGTATAATTCGAAATGGTATCAGAGCTATGTTATAAACAATGAAAATTTTATTATCAATGATTTGAAATTAATTTTTTTTTTACTTTTTAGATAGTTGCTCTAAAATTGACGGCATACTATAAAGCCGTATTATAGCAAAAGGTCAAAGAATGGGTTAAAACTAATTGCTTAATTTTTACATTTACACATATACAAACTATTGTATACATAGATATATATATATATCTCGCGTATATTCAGGCATATAGTATGTAGATATTTACGAAACATTTGATATACGTACCTATGTTTCTTGTAAGCGCACAAACATTCGTCATAACTATTATTGTTGGATTATCAATATTTAAATTGTTTAACCTACTACCTACTACAAAGAAACTGTAATTCATATAATATGTATCAAAACAATACCTATATTATAATCGCTCTATACAGTTATCTCCTCACGTCGTATTGATGACTATTATTTAATTTAATTGTTACATACATTTTAATCACAGGCTATATTTTTATACATTCTGTGGCAAATTTGTCAAAACAGCGCGAGACACCAACTGTATGTAATATATACTAATTACTAATATTTATAAATACCGAAAACAGGGTGTCTTGCATAATTAACACGTGCATATTCAGTACCATTGAGTATAGATGTTTACCATATTAGCACCTATGACGTAAAAACTTTAATTGCTCCGAGCTCAAGGTCTTTAAAACGTTCATAAAAATTATTTTGCTAGACTCTTATCGATTGAGCCAGTTCGTATGGTAAAAAAAAAAAAAATTATGCAACATTATATTATGTATCCATTCCAACAAGATTTTGCTAATACGACACTGTTTTGTCTGTATTTTGCACAACATATCTACTGAATTCCGTCCACGTGCTTAGAGTACCTATTAAGAGTTGTCTGTTATCCGCAGGCAAAGATAATAATTCAAGTGGTCGGAAACAAAAAAGAGTTTTAAGTGATTGTAATAAATGTTTACAGACACAGCACGCAGTCATTTATTACGATTTAAATCATAAAGCATATAAAAAGAGGGTTATACATATTTATTATCTATACTGATTTAAAACAAATTATGTATCCATTGCCAAAATTTAACACTGGATATGTTAATAAGTTACCCATATAGTTTTATAAAGGAAGCTTAGATGAGACTAACACTAGAGGTAATATGGGATGATAACATCGATCGTACCACAATGGAATAAAAAAATGTTTATGTATATATATTTTTTATTTTTGAGATTTCAGTATTAACTAATGCTAACTAATGTAATATATTTTCATAATAATGTATACAAACGGTGTACCAAAAAGATGGTTTTCAAATTGTAGGCTTTAGCCTTTGCTTAATTATTTTTATTTTTCAAATAACGCTATTTTTAGATATTTGAAAAGCAGCCTAATCGAAATGATTTAACGTTCTTCACAAAAATGGTACGTCGATAAATAGCATCAATGTCTACACTGTACAATTAATGTTGGGTCTTTTATTTTTGTATTATCTTACTAAAACATTTTCTGCGAAAAAAATTACGTATGTATTTATTTTAAGTTTTTTTGTAGAAATGAGGTCAAATATTATTATTGATGGCGTAATTGAATACTATTATTTATGCATACATCATTAATATACAATTATTATATAGTTTGTAACATTGTTAAATGTTAATATAATAGGTACTTGCTTTTTATTTAGACCAAAAAACAATATAATATATACATTTTATATAAGGCACTCAAGAATGTCAATTTGTTTTTTTAAATAATTGTTTCCAAAGTTGTAAAAACTATACAAACAAATATAAAAGATCTAAGCTCAACATAGAATAAAAAGCTTTAAAAATATATATTATAAAACTACTAAAACGTACCAAATGCACTCCATACAGCGAAATAATTTTTTCAAAATGCCGTCATATATTTCTAAACATTAAAAAAATATATTCAACCCAGTTTTTGTATAATGTTACAAATATTATGTTCTTTACAAAATTTTGTAAAAATATTTCCACAACTAACAATATTTTAACATTTTGTCACATTTATAAAACAGTGAAATTCAGTAACAAAACACGGTTTTAGAAATATTTTTAAATTGTTAAAAAAAAACCCATTAACGACATTTAGTAAGTATTTTAATTTCTTTGCTGTATGGAACACTAAAAACCATAAGTCGGTGTTTACTTAAAACTTTATAAGTGATATAAAACCAACTAGACACGGTAGAAAAATTCCGAAACCAGACTCGGATTCACTATACTTGCACTTTGGTTCTTGGTTTTTAAAATCTAGTAGTACAGTGTATTATCAATGATATTGCAAAATATTCTCGATAAAGCTATAATTTAGTATAAGTTATTAACAATAATACTTTGTTAAAATTAAATAATTTCCGTCTTTACTGTTGATAAATTATATGAAATCAGCTTTGATGTTTTAGGAGCCCACCCACTCCTCTTTCCTCGTCAACACTGGACATACTATTTTCGACTTGCCCCGCCTTTTTTTTCCATAAAAAATTCAATTTGGTACTTACGCATTTCGGGTATCGTCGAAGCGGCCGCCGAACGCATTATGGCGGCCAGCAGAAACGCTACAGCGATCTTGTAGACTGTCATGTTGTTGGCAATAAATAATAATTAAAACATAAAAAAAAAAAAACTGAATTCAAATAAACCAAAATGTCAACAACCGTTTTCATCGATGAAAAAATATACTAGCCACTGTATGCAAATATGTTGAGTCGTACGAAACGGTCATAACTAGCGGTGCACTGTTGTATGCAGTAATAATAATAATACAAATAACACTAATACAGAATAATAAAGTGCATTAGCGCGGGACAGTGTGTAAAAACTAAATGTCTTATAGCACAGAGCAATAACATTCAAGAGATCCGATAAAACTGCCGACGAGAATCACAATTGTTGAAAGATAAAACAATCAAAACATTAAATCGGTTTGAGGTTTTTGTTTAGAGCTTCTGATAAGTACACGCACGTACATGTTCACGTAATAGTGTTAATACATGAAATGTAACATCAATAATTATAGAATTATTATTATTATTATTATATTACTGTTAATATAAGAGTGTGTACACCGTCTTATTATCGGTGGCGAGTGAAAAATACATTTATGCAAAACTCTTGTCCGGAAAAGGCAAATCGACCAATAAACAATAATAAACACTTAGATTTTTATTTATATATTTTTTTCGTTTACTTCAAAATGAGTTTGAATTTTTTTTGTTAAATATTTACAACGAACAAATACTTATTTAAATATTTTTGAAAATATATATATATATAATTTTGTTATCATTAAATTTAATTGGTCAACGCGATTAGAGCTTTAACAACGTCGCCGTGATACTCTCTGAGTGTTCTCTCGGCTAACGTTTTCGATATTTCCATCTCTTTAATCTGTAACAAAAAAAAAAAAAAGATCCAATAACATCATGATAATAATTAAAACGTCTGTATTCATTCGGTGTAATAAATGAAATATTATTAATGTTAAAGGCCATGACGCGTATACAATGGTAAAATAGTTGTCATAATACAAAGCGTTTTGCGCACAACTAGGTCGAGAAAATTAACCGTATAATTTTTAAGTGTAATATTAAATTTAATTGAGATATTAGCAGTCCTACGAAATGTCCTATTTAGAAAATAGATGTTCGGGCGATAGGTAAAAACAAAATTTGATCACGTTTATTCAATATTGCCTAGTGTATAAAACAACCTGCTGATGATGACTTGAATATAATTTAATACCTAAGTGACTGGTGATCTATCCAAAAATTGTACCTATTAATTTTAAGTCGTTTAGACTTTCTAACAAAGTGATTTTGTTTTTATATTAAACTATTAAAAAATCACATCCTTCTTACATTACTCATTTTGCAGTTAGGTTAGATTTTCTAATGAAGAGTTACATTGACAAATATTTGATTAACACTTGGATGTTCTAATTGAAATAGTGAATACCACGTTTGATAAATTATTATCTCATGCAAATAGTTGGGTACTTAAGAGTTTATGCGAAGATAAGCAAAATCTATTAATAGGTACTAGCTGAGGTGGGACCACAAAAATTCGAATTTGAAAAACCTACATTCGTATTTTAAATTTTAACATTGCATCTATTGTTTTTTTGTAAATCTAATATTTGAAAGCCCCGCCCTTAATGTACCCTGTAAGTTTTTATTTGAAAATCAGAAGTTGATAGTTTAGTAGAAAAGTAGAAGCAATAAAGTAGTAATAATAAATAAATAATATTTTAACAATCGACTTCAAAATAATAGAACATACATTTTCCTAGCAAGACAGACGTCAACATGAATTTTCATTTAAACTCAAAGGTTTTTATCGATATTTTTTAGATGACTCCATTAAAAAGGTGTTTTAAAAATAGAGGTGTTTTGTAAAATTACTCTTTAGATTCTTTTATACATACGTGATTAGCGAAATATAAATCTAAGTGCAAAATTAGATTTTGTTTATAATAAAAGTATATTTTTTAGACAATATTGCGTGATGTTTTATACAAATATCAATATATTTTAAAAATGTACATGATATTTTTTTTTTCAATTGTGGATTTTAAGACGATCATCACACGTTTAGATTACCTGCATTGACATCCTGTGGAAGAGGTGGGTTCGAGAATAGATAACTCCCTGGATTTTTATTATTTGTTATATTTACTACTACCTGCTATTACAATATTATTACTTTTGTTAAATTAAATAAAAAACGTCTTCCTCTCCTGAATATGTGTTGGTGAACGCCCTTTACTTAAACTTAAAGCTTTGTAGGTAGTATTTAAAAAAAATTTGAACATAGTTGTACCTTGCAGTCTCTTGGATTATAGGTAGGTATAATCCACTAATCGTTTTTAATACAAGAAAAAACATCGAATCAAATGATAGCCGAAATTACTATAAAATTGATCACGAAAAAAATCCTATTGTCGGCAGACAACCAAGTGGCATACTTTAAAGTGTAATAAATTAGTAACTTTCTTAGCTACAAAGATGTAGCTAATAACTCGATTTTGGAAAATCTCTACAAGAGGTCCCTTTTTGCTTTCATCATGTCATATAAAGTTTGTACTTTGGTCTTAGGACAACTATAATGTATATATAAAGATCAATGACAAACATGTAAAAGATTGCGTGTTAAAATCTACCACTGTATTTAAACGGAAATAATAGAAAAAAACTCTTATCCTTTGTATTGATTGAATATCGACTTTGTATGCAAAGTTTTTATAATAGTACTCTTAAATATTGTAATAACAATTCTGTCGAATGTGCATGTTTGTAAAGCGTTTATTTATTTTCTTCAGTACACACTAAATTGAGTAAAAATAATTTCGTGTGTCATATGTTCGGCAATTATTGACATTCTTTTATACACAATTATATTATGACGAATACTTATTATAACATATTTACCGATCATACGAGCGAGCGATCACTTATGATACATATATATATATATATATATATATATATAAATTGTCAAGTTCAAAAATACAATTTAAAAAAATGCCCTAAAAAATATCATCATTTACTACTATTTTGATATACACGCCAGAACTATCCGAAAAATAGTAGAATTAAGGAAAAAATATTTTGTATTATATATCTTCGATGAAGCTTTCCAAATTAAAATTTAAAAACCAATAAAATATCATTAACTCCTTTACTTGGAATAAATGAAAACTTTCTTAATTTATTTTTTGGCGCAGTTTTTTTAAAAACTAATTTAAGGTATAAAAATATGTTTTAAAATTTATCTATATGGGGAGGGGGTTCAAAAAAATATGCATATTAATTTAATTTATTTCTAATGACTTCACGAAACAGATGTTGTCTAGCTTTACCCCTAAGGAAAGGGAATTAAATAGCTAAAAGTAAACAAGAAAAACATTTTTTTTTTCTCAACAATGTATAGCTTTAACAAAAGACTGTAGTTGAAAAATGATAGTATTGAGTACTTAGGTAATATTTCCAGAAAATGACTAAATTCAACCAGATATTGTTTTAAATAACTGACCCGTATATTACACATAATTTTTAAATGTGAAGACCGATGAATTATTTGGTATTTGGTGAAGAAATTTGTTATTCATACAGACAAGAAATTAAGAAGAATAGCACAAAAGCATGATTGTGAATGCCTGGCAAGAAAACATGTATTTATTATTTATCATATAAGTTTATATTTACCATTAATTATACTTATCTAAATTTCTTTATTGCAAAATAAATTCACAGATAATGTATTCTATAATTTGCTTTTACCTTAAAACATAGCCTATGTTTAATTTAATAATGAATTATAATATAATACTTGAATTCCTAATTTAATCATTTATCCACTCGTATCAGAGAAGTACTTAAATTATTTTATTGCTAATACTACTTGATAACAGTTTTAACAGCCTCTTGAAATTGAAAACTAAATGAATAACTTTGTACTCAACATATTATGGTGAATGCTGAAAATGAATTTTCAAGTTTAAAATTAAGATTTGATTTTCATATTTGTTTAAATTATAAAATTAAAACCATATAATACGAGAAGATAATTAGAAAATATTTTTGGTGCAATCAGTCAAATAGCGATATTTTATCCCTGACTTTCTTCTTGTTACAAAAATAAAATGTTTAAGGTCGAGACAAAAAATATTTGTAATGTGAACATATAAATAATCAATGTAACCATAACTTTTTTGTTTTTAAACTGTGCAAATTCACAAAAAAAAAGAAATTTAAAAATTAAATTGCTAAATATATAATATATATTATATTAGAGTGAACTGTGGAAATTTGAAATTTGGTTAATAAAAAATACATGCAATTATAAGTATTTGAGCTCTAGCAATTGAAGTTTTTTCTTTTGGTGAATTTAAGTTAAAATAAGAATTGTCGACATAAGTATATCAAATTTTTTATAATTACTTTCTATCAATAAAATAAAACCTACATAATTTACACTATACTATTAAAACTCATACATTTATCATAAATTTAAAAAATACCTTTGTACTTGTTTATAGATTAATACATTTTATAAAAATAGTTTTTAATATCTGTTATGTATTGCAATTAATTTTCAATAACCATGGTTGTGTACAGTAGTTATTATTTTATAACCTATCAATATAATTCATAAATTGTCTAGAGCAAAATATTATGTAATAAGTGTTTTATGTTTATTTGAAGAACATGTTACCAACATGTGTCATATTTTAAATGATTGCTGGGTATTATTTTAAATTGTAAAACATATCCTCATTTTACAATATTAAAGCAATACACTATCTAAGTTAAAAATAATTACATAAGAACTATTTTACTTTAATAAATAGATAAAAAAAACATTAAAATCATCATCTCCACTTAAACTAAGGATAACATAATAATAAAAATGTTTTATTGTTACGCCATTAAAAGTTGTTTTTTCACTTTTTCACTTAAACTATCATCTTATAATAGTTATTAGTTATCAATAACATTTTGATATAAAAAAACTGACTTACGATTAATTCTACATCAGACTTTTTAATGTTGACTTTTTGAAGTTCTTTTTCTTTGGCCATTTTGTCAGCCGCTTCTTTTAATCTCCGGTCACCGATAATCGTCATTGCCTAACCAAAAGCCAGTATATTAAAACATAAATACACAATTATACTATATGTACTGTTAAAGTAATATACCCCTGAGATATCATCAGTAGTCACGACTTCTTTTTCTTCTGCATAATCGGTAACTTTTTCTAAGTCTGCTGCTCCACTGTCGTATTTACTGGTTTTTTTGGCATTTACTTCATCTACATTGTCGGTTTTCTCTTCGGAGCCACCCATTCCGTTCACTGCTCCTTCTAAAGACATGATTAATTCTAGGGTGGTTATTGATTTGAATTAAACAATATTAAAACAAATCAGACAAAGTTAAAAACTGGTACTAAAAAATGATGAAAACGACAAGTTCATGCTGTTATCACACTATTATCATTATCAACAGCTATGCCGCCATGCGCTATCTATTATAATATGTTTGATGTTAGCATCGAGTTATTCCGTTTTAAGGCATATCGGTTTTATACATAGCCTTTAACCTTTTACTCAAAAGGTAGGTATATGGCAGCCGGCAGGTAAGAGGTCTATGGTTTTATAAAATACCTGACATACTGCAGGTACTAGGCTGTGATCTATACAAATTACAACAACGTTTTTTTTTGAAAACCAGAACTCAGACGGCAGAAACAATTATTAATCAAGGTACTAGGGATATAATTTTTTAATTTTGTATGCTGAAACCGAATCTAGACTAGGATTTGCTATTAATAGACTTTTTAGTCCCATAATCACTTATTTATTATGTCAATATAACAATGAAAACAATGAAAAACTGAGTACAATAAAAAATGTATTAGAAGCACCGGTCAGCAATGCGGTGGTCACTGGTCATGGTGACGACACTGAAATGCTGGCAGAATGGCCATTTTAGATCATAGCTTTATATAATACCTATAATTATTTGAATTAATACATATATTAATAAATACATCAATTATAAAATCTAGACACAAAATGGATGTAACAAAAGAGCTGAGAAGGAGTAGTCGCGATAAGTGAATTGGCAACAACTGATGTTTAGAAATACCTTTCATCTTTATTTTACCATCGCGTTATTTTTTTTTTTTTAATAAGGTTTTTTTAAATCATATAAATGTTTATTTTAAAAAAATTAATTTTTTTAATTTAATTCTTTATTTTTTAGTTTGTCCAAATTGCTTTTCAAAAACCGTTGATTTTTAGTCAGAAATAGTAATTTTGACCCAAACTTGTGATATAATTGGACATTTTGTTCACGTCATTCTTCTGTACAAATATTATGATTTTACCAAGTTTGAATATTTAAATTTCATTCGTATTGTTTTTACGAGCATTTAAAATGTGCACATTTACGAAACAATCTATATTCAAAATATTTCAGTTACACTTATATTTGCATAAAACTGAAAACCCTGACTTTAAACAACATACTAATTACTACATACCCTACACAAATTTATAATCTATATTTAGACAACAAACATTTCTTCGGTGAAATAAATGGCACTGATTCCATCATTTCCATAATATATTAGAGTTAGGTAACTTATAGATACCTAGTTGTATGTACCTAATACAAATTTTCAGCTTGTATTTTATTCGAAAAATCAGTAGATTGTTTTATTATCCCTGTGATGATGCATGAAATTATAATATTTAAATTGATATTGTATAAACACCAGCACTTGATTGTTTGGCCGAACAGCTGTCAATTAATCTTAATCTATTAATGCACGTTAGGTTACCATATTAACATATTATTCTAAGGTTTGTTTTTAACATTTAAAAAAAAAAAATAGATTTAATAAACAAAAATACTTCGGGTTAATAACTTTGGGATTTCTTGTGGTGTACGTGTATTTTCGTTTAAATTACTTATGAGTAATTTTAATGTTATATATCAATTAGTAACTTTTAGTTATGTCTTATTGTAATTTATAGTATGCATCATGACAGTTAACACAGTTATTTTTTAAACATTTTTTTTTATTTATTATTAAATTATTATTTTTATTATAAACTAAATTCTTCACTGCAAGTCTATATGGCTATATCGTAAAAACTATACCACAAAAAAAGTAGAAAGTATTTCCATTCTTTCCAGGGTAAATGGCTAGTTATATTTTTTTGTATCTATTAATAGTATCTTATATATTTGGGTATTATTCTAAAAAACCGGTAAATCGAATTATACTTTTTAAAACTATTTCCGTTTTGTAGAAACGGAGCAGAATAGTTATATTGATTTTTAAATCTAATAGGTAATATATAAAGGGTATCCGATCTTTGATATAAAAAAATACTTCAATAACAGTACATTTATAATTTATTTATGAATTTTTTTGATAATAACAATACATATTAATAACATAATATGTAATGGTTGGTATTGAAAGTCTTGAAAACTACTTGAATAACATAATGTTAACAAGACTTTCAACTTTAGTCTATGGCATTTTTGATTTGTTTCTTGAATTATCTGCGACCGCTTAACAACTCTGTAATATAAAATAGAGATATTAATGATAATGATAATTACATTTTATTTGATTATTAATTATTTTATTTAAAATACTATTAAAACTTAGTTAACCTAATTTTTATTAAGTTTGAGACTTTGTAATAACGCTGATTTGCGTTAATATTAATAGAAAATTAATTGAGAACTTGACAACTTTTTAAAAGTATGCCAAAGTATTTTTTTCATAAATATAAAATATATTTTACTACCTCAATCATTACTATTATAAGAAACTATGTTGACGCGTCTGTCGGGCAAGTCGCCCAATAAAGGTTATGTGTCTCCATAATAATGAGCTGTAGTAAATGTGATAGATAGGTTGATTATTTTAAATATTTTTAGTTATAATCGAAAATGTCGATGAAATAAAACTAAGGCAAAACCAAAAATGTTCAATATTATAAACTATTTACAAATAAGTATGAACTTAGCAGTTAAATGTTAAATAATTTGATTACTGTTAGTACAGTAATCGTTTACTATGTTGATGTTTCTCTAAAAAATCTGCTTCTACATTAAAATTTTTAGTTGGAGTTATAGTTAACACGGTGAACTGTAGAACATACGATTATTCTATATGTAAAACAAAATTTTAAAAAGAAGCATAAAAAATACCTATCATTTGTAGTTTTTGTTCGGTTAGCATAACGCTTAGCAAAATAAACGCGATTTTAATGAGAACATTATTTTAATATTAATAGCTTATGATTTATTAAGTTTATTTAATTTTAAAAAGAAAATCTAAAGCCAATAAGATGTAAACAATGTTTTACATACCATAGTGTTGGAAGCTTGAGGTTGGGCCTTTGAAACGATTTTGACAGACTTGGCAGATTGCACTTGTCCGACGACAACGATGTTCATGGATACCTTTTCTGCGCCCATTTTTGATTTTGGTTTGTGGAGAACTTGTAAAAAGTAGACTAGAAATTGCAAACAATAAAAATATTAATATTAGGTTTTAATTTCAAAAGTCAAAAAAATCTAGTGTGTATGCACATTGTAATAAACCTATTTATACTCACCAAAGTATAAATTTGTATGAAATTGTGTTGTGTCTAAATAATGAAGTAACTCGCCGTTTTATATATTTTTTGTAGAGTATAATTATATATATATATATATATGTATATATTGGACGATATGGCGTGTTTTTGTAAATGTAAATCCATTGGCTGTCGATAGCATACGCAACAGATGGAACCATATTAATTGCGTTTGGTTGCATTAATTGGGTATAATGCGTTGTTACTATATTTACTATTGATTTTCATTAATCTTAAATGTTTTGTTTTGATTAAAACAAGTGTTTAAAATGTTGTTAAATACGTCTTGTTATGAAGATTAAAACATCCTTAAATATATCTATAATTGCTATAATATAAATTATACAAGTTAAAATACAAAAAACTCAACCCCTTGTAGTTAACTATATAGTTTTATGTGCAATTCGGTTCATATTTAAATACAAAATAATATATTATTATGTGCGATACAATTTTTTGTGAATTCAATAGTTGTAAGAACAATTTAACCAAATTTTGTGCAATAAACATTTTAGATCATTTTCTATTGTTGTTAAAAAAAAAAAGTTAAAAAATTTAATATAAACATCTCCCATACACATGCGTTAAATTATTATTTTTTAGTTTTTTCTCTATACAAAAATAATTTGCACCCTTTTGCTCCTCATCACTTTGATTTTCATTGGTTTTGTATTAAAATAAAAACTCAATTATTTAAAAAGAAAACAAATGATGTATAAATGTACAAATGTACAATGAACAAACAAATGTGATATTATCTAACTACTAGGTATACAATAGACGGTGGTATAGTTTTGCCTAGTTCCGCTGTGCATGAAACTTATTTTCATTAAATTGTGTGGAGCATTTCTCTACATTGCATTGTAAATAGATGAAAACTCAAGTTTTAAATACACATAGGTTTAACAATTTAAGTATATTTAATATTAAATCCCGTGACACTCAAAATAATATACATTTAAATTAATTTTTATTAGCGGGATATGTATTTTAACAATTTTTTTAATTTAAATTTCCTTTTAGTCAGAAATATAGTCAACAATATTGTTTTACCCTTTGGGAATAGCACGTGACCGCTGAGACAAATCTAGGCACTGTTAAATAAGTACTCTTCATTTTTAACCCTGCATTAGTCGCGCGTTCTACTATTGTAGTACACCGATAATAAATTTTATTTTAAATGGTTTTAGGATTTCCTTATCACAATGATAATTATAATACCTTTAAATGACATTGTATAGTTGATATCTGTTATGATTTCGGACTGGGTATATTTAAAATTTTATATATTGATGTTATACACTATATTATATTATATATAGATACACATACATAATAAATATATATATATATATGTATGTATTTACACATATAAATATATATTTTAATAATATTGTTTTAAAAGTTTCTTTTATATGTATTAAATTAATTAATATTGTACAAAATACACAATATATATTAAAATTGAATAATGTGGTCAAATTATTAATTTATGTTGCAATAATACATTTTAATTAGCAAAATTGTAATTGTTCTACATATTATGTAGACGCGCGACTACTCATGTGATATTACACCGCGCGACTAATGCAGGGTTAAGAAAAATGTAATTAAAAATATAAATTGTAATATCCTTATAAATAATGTACTTTTTACTTTAATTTAATAAAACATTATACTTTTATTAGTTAGTTTAATTATACAAGGGATGAGCCTCCCCTATAATAATAAGAAAAAATCTCAGGAGAGGATTTTTTCTTATTTGCCGCACTGCGTCTGTCATCTTATTGTAATATAACTGGTGACTGGAGCGACATTCGGCAACAGCAGCTGTTCACAAACTCTGCAAAGGGGGTCGTACGACACAAAACATACACATACATATAATAGAAATGAAGGTGTGTCAGCATGTTGTGATAACGTTAAAATGGCTGCCGGCATGCTGGGCGGCCGTGTATTTCTTACGGGAATGCACCAGCAGCCATGTTGTGAAAACTGATAACACAAGTTGTCGACATGCTTGTTTTTTGTATTATTGGGATTGGGGGGTTGATAACTCGTCTGGGGTTGTTCAATGGCCGCCAAAGCAATTTCATGGAAAAATGCGTTTTAATCTCAACAATTTATTGATTAGATTTTCCCGTGCGTCGCCATATTGGCAAGTATTTTAATTCAAGAATTTTCAATTTAATTCTGATCGGCTTTACCCAGTATTAAGAAATATCAAACTAAAGAACAGGCTTTGTAGGTGACTTGTTCTTCGCACATAGGTAAAATTAAAAAAATCATTAGACACATGACTTCCACATTTCGGTCTAGTGACATACTGCAGCAAATGGATTTCGCCATGTTAGGCACCCATTTTGCTTCGGGGCCAATTTTAGATCAAGATTTTGGAAGTATGGGAAACGGTCATTTCATCAGCAATGGTGCTCACTTCCAAAGCGACTCCAGCGATCTGGGAAGTCAACTTGGTGGTTTGCCGTCTTCGTGGCAGAGTATTGCCACACCCGGGTCCACGGTGGCTGATTACTTGTCACATTTACCGGCTACGTTAACGTTGCATCATTTCTTGAAGTATTCCGGAGAAAACTCTAAAGAAAAAGAAGACCTTAAGCCTAAGAAGAGAAAAAAATCCGAGAAACAAACCGGCACGACCAAGAAGTATTCCCAGGCACCTACACAACAGCAGCAGTATAAACAAAAACCTGGACAAATACGCATCACTAAATGCGCCGACGGCACTACAACATTTGGATGTCCTGAATGTCAAGCCGAGTACTTAGACAAACATTTACTTGAAGAACATCTCGGCAGTCACGCGACGGAACGGCGGTTTGTTTGTGATATTTGCGGAGCTGGGCTTAAACGCAAAGACCATCTGACCAGACACAGGCAAAGTCACAGTTCTGAAAGACCATACGCATGCACCATTTGTGGTAAAGCGTTTAAACGGAAGGAACAACTGACTTTACATAGAGTTGTTCACACGGGTGAAAAAAGACACGCGTGTTTAGAATGCGGTAGAGCGTTTTATAGGAAGGATCACCTGAGGAAACATGCCAGAAGTCATGCTACAAGAAGAGATAAAAGTGGACAGACGAGTTTGTAGGTAATAATAAAAAATCCAGTTTTTATATTGTTATTATTAAATTTTATTTATTTAAATCATACCTTCAATTACTGTTGCTTAAAACTAATTTACAACTTATATAAACTTAACATTTCTTCTACCATTATTTTCATAGATGTGAAGTTATTTATTGTAATAAAAATGAATATTAGACCACTACTGATTTAAGTAGTTCCGTCGTTTTACAAAAATACTTAAAATTAAATTTATAATATATATATATGTATATAAATATATTATTTTTTAGTTTGTTTTGAATATAGAGCTTAAGATTTGTGTTGAAAAGATAAAGTTTGAACAATGTAAGATAATATATCAGTAAATAAATATTATTTTTTACCACCCCAACCCCAAAGACCTTTAACAAATCCTGAAATACCTTCTTTGTTAGCTGGATTAGAAGGAGCTTGTTTTTTAAATGCTGGAAGTTTTACATGATTTAAAGCGACATCAAAGAACAATGGTTTGCATGGTACTTCTTCCATTTCGGGTGGCAATTTAATGACATTTGGATCTTTTCCGAGTATACTCAGATCTTCAAAATATTCATCTAATCGCTTTGTCAATGGCAGCTAAAATTTGTTTTAATAATAAATAATTTTAAACCGGTAAAGGGTAAAAATAACTCACTTTTAATAATTTTGTATTCTTCAAGCTGTTCAATTCTTCTTCATTGTCTTGTTCAAGAACACTTTGAGCGTGGGCACAATATTTGGAAGACTCGATAATGTTAACTAAGTGGCTTAAACGAGATTTCAAGTCTCCGTTCACTTGATTAATAACAGACGAAGCGTGTAGTAAAGCTCTTTCGTACATGGCCATAGTGTCTTTCCAGCGGTGTAATGTACTCAAACTCTGTCCAATATAATAACACCTGAAAACATAAAAAAACAATGTTAACAATGAGTAAACATAATAGCTACGTAGTTCCTAACAATAAAATTAAAATTTTAATTCAACTAAATAAAAAACTTGACTTTAAAAAGTCTAAAAATAAAAAAGTTAGCTAAAACATTTAAATTTCTTTAAAATTTGTTAGAATATTGAAATTGAATGTAGCAAACGAAGCGCCCGCTTCTTGAGTGTCGAACCAGCGACCGTGAGCGCAAACACACTGCCACCTTACCCACTCGGTCATTCCTCCTCATTCATTATTCCTTGTTCTTTTAGGGACATTTCTCCCCTTCATTTTCAATGGAAGATACAAATTACTGCAACTTTCAATATTCTAACATATTTTAAAGAAATAACTTAAATAAAATTTTTTTTTTTACACTTTTGTAAACCATATAAAAGTGCAACATCAAATAGTAGAGGTTATAACTCGAGTTTGATTATGATTGATTTCCAAAGTCCTATATTCCTATAAGGAACGAACTTGAGCTAAGTAATGGCAAAAATATTCATAATATTTTAAGGATCTTTTTAGTTCAAACTAAAATTGATTGAATGATCTAGATAAAATTTGATAAAAACCAGTTGGAAAAAAATGCAAAAAGTTCAAAAGTACAGCCAGGGATAAATTATTGTACACAGTTTGCGCTCAGCGTACTTCCATAGGTGAATATGCCAAACATCACTATTGTGTCTGAAGAGAATTATAGTTTTTTATTAGCTCTGCAGATTCAAAGATCAAATGTTTTTGCATTTTCTGCATTATAACTGTTAAAAAGTCATAGTTTGATGGTAGTACAAAAATATCGGTGATTAATACATTTTATGTATTCTAAGGTTGTACTAAACTTAGAAGTAACATACAGTATGATTTTTGAAAACCTGATATCCGAAATATATTTTAAGTAGTCAGAACCCAAATTAATAAAAACAATTTTTAATTCCCATAACTGAAACCTCAATTTAAATATTTCTAAGAGTAAGAAATAATAAGAATTATTTTGTTTTGAAAATCTAAATTATTTCCTAATACTATTAGTGTTACCTGAATGCTTTATAAGCTTTAGCTTTGATATTCAAATTTTCTTGGAATTCAGTGTCGTCTTCTAAACCTGGCAATTGCTGTTCTTCCAAAATGTTTTGAATCAAAATTTCATACAAGCGAGTTATGTCTTGAAGTTTTTTACTACCCTTTAATATAAACAAATATTATTAATTAAAATTATTCGGTCCTATATCAATTCTTTAATATAATTACAAGAGTTCCTTGTTTATTGCTTTCATTTTCTAACGCGCTTTCGATTAGCAATAAATTACGTTGGATCGATCTTTCTAGACGAATAAACGACAAATAAGTGTGAAGATACTGTAAAGACGATGCTACAGCAGTAGACACACCATCCAATTTCTAAAACATGAAATGAAATTAATTTATCCGAACAAATTATATTAACAGGTACTATTTTTCTAACCTGTTCAGTTTTAATATCCTCACGAATTGCCAGCATAGCATCCTTGCAGTCCATTAAATGCTGTTCTAACGAGTCACTTTTTTCAGCTAACGTAGTACATTTATCCAACATTGCATCAAAATCTCTATTAGCCAACAAAAATGTCCTTACACGAGTATTCTTTACCGGCACTGTACGGTTTCTCCAACTCACTTCACTCAGCGAGTCTCTTGTTTGAGCCATTAGCGTCTAAATAAATAGAAGTCACTCAATTGTCATGAATTAATTTTGGGTATACTCACGTCTAATGTAACTAATAAATCTCCTTGAGCCTGGTTTCGCAAGTGTAGCAACTGATTGACATCAGTTTCATTACCTATATTGTAGGCACAAAAACGCAAGCTAGGCTCTAATTCCTCGTACCGATTCCTGTACAAAATTGCATCTTCTTCATTCAGAGCAGATGCTAATTTTTCGTAAATCATTCTAAAACAATGAATATACATAAATTAATAAAAAATTGTTTTTGGTAACAAAATAACTAAAAAATTATTACAAACAAATATATATATTATTAATTATATATATTATAATAAATACAAAATAAAAACATTGTTTATTTACTGGGCTTTTTTTAAATTTTCTATGGCCGGTTTCCAATCTTGTAACTCAAATTGTAACATTCCTTCACACCAAGCTACGTAAGCTTGGGTTTCAAGCTGAGTACGAGCATCAAATTTGTCTAACTAAATTTTGTAAAAATACAAATAGCCAGTTAGATAGTCGGCAATTATAAATAAATGTATTTATTTTATAAACTAATAATATGAATTATACTTTAGATCGAGCATACCTCACAAAGTTTTTGTAATTGTAAAGCGTAACTAGCCGCTTTCCTCAATCTAGACACCAAATGAAACTTCTTTCGCGGCTCCGTATTGGCTTCTACTCTCAATTGCATTGCATAACTCCATGCTCGTTCAGCTAACATCAATGGAATGTAAACGGCTCTAAAATAAAATATCAATTAATTATACTAATTTCAAAATAGTCATTTAACTATAATACCTTTCGTCAATAAGATTAGCTTCTGTGATGTTTTTCTTACGAAAATTTCGTCTGTCACCTTGTTGTAAGTGCATGACTTTTCGCAAACGTCTAATGCGCCTCGAGCAATAACCTCTAAGTAGAATAAAATAAAATAGTAAATATTATGTGTCAACTCATAATTATTGTAATAGTAACACAATTATTATTTACCTATATCTTTGATAGTCATTATGTCGTAACCCATGTTGTTGTTGTGCTTCTTTAATTAATTTCAGTACTATTTAGAAAATAAGGAAGTAATCTTATTCAACTTTTTTTAACTAAATTATTTGTTTTTAATCATTATTATTGATAAACATTAAAATACAAAAAAGTATCTTAAATTATTATTATTATTATATCATCTACGCAATAAGGGTTGATCTCCTCAAATTTGACTCCGTCCCCATTCGCTTACAAATTTAATCTATTTCACTTATTTGTTTGTCGCTCAACTTTCTGTAATAAATTCTTACCTGCTTAATGGCTACATTACTACGTACTATATTATATACATTACAATATAAAATGCATATAATTTCTTAAAAACAAATTATATATTTGTTAATAAAGGATACATTCGACTGTAAATATTGGAGTTTTCTTTTCTTCGTTTTCTGATGCATTTTCCTTATTGTCTTCGTTGATAGCCACTTGAATCGACATGATGTTGTCAAGAAAAAAAATAGTTACCGAACTATTTGTTTTTAATTAATTTTAGGTATAGAACAGTCAATAATTGCTGCTGGAAGTTAAAACGGATTACGGAATGGGCCAAATGGCAATCTATTGAGTATTGTGTAACACGTTGACAACAGCAACTACTATAATCAAAAACGAAACGTGTAGAAAATCGATTTTAGAAAGTTAAATTGATAAAAAAACAAAAATTTGATAACACTCATGAGGTGATAACATTGTAAACTCTGGATAAATTAACTGTAGTCTGTTCAGTTATCCAGAGTTCAAACATACGATCCCCGTAAAATAAAATTGAAAGAAAATTAAATATAGTAAAGTAATAAAGGATTATGGATAAGAGATTAGAGGGATTCAGAGATAGAAATAAAGCGCAGTGGAGTGAATAACTTAAGTTAAATGAGAGAAATTTGTAAAAAGCGGATTTGGCAATTGGCTGGCCGACTCAATTTTTAAAGATGAAGATTAACATGAATTTCATCTATTGATGGTAGTGAGGTGTATGTAATTTGTTACCAAGGAAACTAAAATTTGAATAAAAATATTTTGTTATTCTAAATATTTGAAAATAAAATATTCCTAAATAATTAAAAAATATTGATGTTTTATAATTTAAATATTAATTAGAAAATATTTGAAAATAAATTATGGTTTACAAATTCGAAATGCCTGCTACACAAAATCAGATAGTAAAATTGATTTTCATAAGTAGGCATAAATTATTTTTGCCTACGATACTTGAACAGTGTGCTTATAAACTATAATTATAATTTTTTAATAACAAAATTTAAAGATGGATTTAAGGAAAAATGCAAATAATTTTATTTGAGGAACAATGTAAAACTTTGTTAATCACATATCACGAAAATGCAAATTAAATGTTCATCTAGTAATCGGAGGAAATGCATTTTATTAAAAATGGTTGCTGTTATGCCTTCTATATAAACTACTAGCAATTTGTTTAAGCTGGTCGAATAACCATTCTCTAAAAGAACTCATTTTCAATATCTAGATACAGCAGTCGAAGTAGTAAGGGTATATAAAATACAATTGATTACATAGTGGATTATAGGTAGTATAACAACTTTCTTAGTATCATAAATGTATTTGCACTAAATTTAACGGGCTACAAGACAAATGCGGACACCCCAATTGTAAAAACAAAAGACTCAGAACTTATGTCTCAGTCAACTGTTGCCAACATGTTTACCAGCTCAAAATTGGAGAAAATATTTCTACACACAATTATATTAATGAAAAAAACATTCATCTAATTGGGCTTACAGTTTTTATTTTGATTAGGTAAAAATACATACAATTCAAATTTATCTAATGAACAGTTAATCAAACTTAGTTTTTTCTTCCGTGTTCGTCATTCTATCTATATCAATTGGTCTTCTGAATCTTTCTTTTAAGACAATAGATTTATATCCACCAAGCTCATAATATTCTTTGTACCAAGGCACTAAAGATATCTTACCATTTGGCAGTTTTATAGCTTTATCAGTCATAACCGTTATATTTTTCCATGGTAATATCGGGTTAATATATACACACGCATATTGAGGTTTTATATTATGTTTGTAGATTCTTACGACATACTTTGAAATAAAGCTATACGATGCTAACTTGAGTGAAAACATAGTAGTAAGTAATAGAAAAACTTCAATAGCACTGTGTGGTAGTAACAATATTTCAAAGTAAGTTTTTAAATTGATAGAACCTTCACTTATCAATAGATACAAGTATGCACCAGTGAATACTGTAGGTAATAATATTAATGCACTAATAACGATTCCGCTGAGGCATCGAGCGTAGGTTTCACCAATTCCATTGTAAATAAGTTCAAACTCGTTAGAAGATATATTGTCTTTGATAGCTCTTTTCTTGTAATTGTCGTACAATGGTTCTAAACCCACTTTTTTCATAAAATTACGATGGATAGTAAATGATTTGGATATCGGTGCGATAGGTTTAGATTGAGATTTGCTTGATGTTATTTGCTGTGATGCTCTGTAAATCGTTCTACGGTACACCTTAATTGGATCAAAAACCGGATTCAAAGTTCTAATTCGAAGACAGTATAAAATATTCATATTTCTAATTAAGTAAAACGTATTTATTAACTTAAAAAACGTAAATTACTATCATAATATATTCAAATATCTTCTATAACAAAATACATAACTGACGAATAAAATTTCATTTTTCATTTTTAAAAAGTCTTGCTTGATAATGTTATCTAATATCTTAGTACGTACTATCATTGAAGCTAACCTAAGCTACCATAATGGTAGATATGGTATATCACTTTTACAAAAATTGCGCACACTTGGTCTAGGCCTACTATTATTACTCTATGGTCTAGGCAACAAAAAGTAGATAGTTACTACAATAACGGAGATATATTTATTATTGATTAGTAATTACACAAAATTAATAAATTCTCAGTACGCTTTCGCCCAGACGAATAGTGAGTACATAAGTAATAAGTATACTGTATCCCTAAACAAGTACTTTTAAAATGTTTTCAAAAAACTTTCTTGGCACCGAGTACAATTATTTATGACAAATAAAAAAATATACTTATATTTACTTCATCAGCTGTTATGTTCCAGATTCAAAATAGTACAGATTAAAATATATAACTGCAAATATCTAACTCGCTTATTGATTTTATTAAACAATATTACAAAATTATTCTTTCTAAATTACTAGAATAATTGTAAAGATGTTACAATCGTATGATTGTAATTCATGATTATATATCGTGAAAAACCTTATAAGGCCTCTAGGTTTTAAATTCACAATCCTTAACAAATGAATAATAAAAAATAAATTGTATTTGAATAGAAAAATATAATAGGTCCACTTATTAATAACTAGTTTAATAGTATATTTTAAGTACAAAAAGTATAGTATAATAATATCAACACAGGTATTTACAACTTATAAATTACTAAAATAATGCTTTCAGCATTTTTATGGATTTATTTATTAATATTATATAATCATGTCTTCCAATAAACAAAAAAACATTAAAAAAAAATAAATAAAACATTCAATTAAAAAATTAAGATAAAAATTATAGGTAAGATATTTTGACATGTTCAATTAATAAAAGCAATGTTAAAGCACTTATGTCTAATATTAAATCTGATAATAGGATAATGTTGTCCATGTGTTAATTACACAATTTAAGTGTTAATACTTATTATAGCCAATTTCGTTGCCTGAAACATAAATAAATTACAAAAATAAATTATAATATAAAAATAAAGAAGCAATGTACATTTTGTTGTGTATTTTATTTATAAAAAATTAGCTAATCTAAAAGCTTACGAATGCCGGTTATTATTTTTAACAATTTCAATTGAAGTTATGAAACTAACTAATATTATTCGTTGTTAATTTTACAGATTATTTGTCAAAACAACACTAAAACTTTGATAAATTGTTAGTTTTCATACTTTATATAAGTTTGACGCAAAACATACAAACTAAATAAGAATAACTTTTTAAATATGGTACGGAATAATATTTTACCATTTAAATTATTAGTTATGTGAGCTAAGCATGAATAAAAATGTAAATCACATAATTATGTAAATAAAGCAAAGCAAGTTAAAACAAATCTTATCATGCTATAAATTATACACAGACATACTAATTTGTTTATCAAATGAAAAATGTTCAGAACCGGAAGTAGTTGACATGTAACATATTTAACAGGAAGAGTAATTGAGCGTTAATAAAAGAGTTTTTTAAAGTTGAACTTTAATAGTGGGCCATGCTTGCTGAGGTGAATCTGCTGACAAACTAAAACTATAAAACACCTGTCGTGTTTTGTAAATGTGCAATCGTTATGCAACGACACTTTCAAAGTTGCTTCATTATTTTTCTTAAAAAAATCTTGGGTATACTATTAAACAATTAATTTTAGTGTTGTAACTTGTATGCTATTCACCATATAAAAAAAATAAAAACATATGCTGCTATTACAAATATTTCGACCTAAAAAAAAAACAAAGTCAAAAACGGCATACCGATCTGATTTAATCACTAAAATGAATTGATTTTTTTTATAAGCAATAAAAATGTTTTAGCTTTGATATTATTCAGAAAATTTAAGATCTCAACACTCAAATAATAATGAGCACAATTAATTTTTTATATATTTTACCCCAAAAAAATTTCACTTCAATAAATGATTTACTTTTAAAATTTTGCTTGCGAAGGTTATCTACCCTGTGTCACCAACTGATTATTTACTTCAATGAATTTTAAAGTTTTATTTCATAGCAGTACAGTTATTAGGAGAGTATAATCAAAAGCTGTGTTATGTATACTACAATTAAGTTTCAGTTAACAGTATATGAAGAATGAATACTGTAATATTTTTTTTAAGTACCTCATGTTTAATGTAGGTTTTTGATTTTTAAGAATAATTGTCTTATCTGTGTCTTTTGAAGTTATCCTCGTGTTTACTGTAAAATTCAAAATATTATTACATACGTTTGCTTAATCATAATAATTCAATATTTCTTTATAAATATGTTACAAAACCGTCAGGTGAAAAGTATATGTTAAGTAGAAAAACAAGACTAATGATGATGATGATAATTATTTGACAAGTATGTTATTTTTGGACATTAAAATCACAACTTGTTTATAATCTTATGTATTACTTAATATAAAATTAAGCACTTAGAGGTAAAATAAAAAATATTTAAGACGTTAAAATTATTCAATTATGCAATTCAAAAGTTATGGTTGTTAAATAATGAATTTAAATGTGAAAGTAATAAATTATTTATAGTTAATGCTTTGAATAATCTATACTTGGAAGTTTGAAAACATCACTTTTAACTTTTTAACAGATATTTGAATAGGTAACACACTACATTTAAATAGTCAAAAATTAAATATATACATTAGTTTTAAAATCGAATTTTAGTCATAAATAAAAAACCTTAGTCGACAGAAAAATAAAATAAAATAAAATGTTTTTAAAAATATTTTATAATAATTTTTAGGCCAGAGATTTATGTATTACTGGTTAAAAATGTATTATAAAATATTTTAACATTTTAATTTTCTACTGACTGGGATTTTATTTTAATTTTGTACACTTATATACATATATTAGTATTATTAATAACTTCATAACCTGATAGCACCATAAAAAGTTCAATAACAGGAATTGTTAGCAATTTTATTATTAACTACTCGTATTGTTCTGACAAACTTTTAGATTTTGATTTTAATGAGTGGCACAATAGTATAAGACTTAGTACTAGATATTGAATTTAATTCCTACTGTGAAGAAATATTTTTTACTCACATCACACACAAGCTTTTTATTATAAATAATAAATCAAAATGTATGATGTATCTAAAAATATTTGCGGTTAAGTGTATTCATACAAAAAAAATAATATGTAGATAAAAAAAAACCCCTAATTGAACACTTCTTAAAATTGAACTCAGATTTAAATACAAATTGAAATAATAAACCAATTTTAAGTGCAGGGTGGTTCATTTAGGATAAGACACACATTTTCTTTTAAAATAATTGCTGTTTTGTAGTTTATATTTTGAGAGACACTTTAGTTTATGTTGTTTTACAATATTAGACAAATTTATATTTAACTTCTATACTTTTTTTTTTTTGGAGCTCTATTAACTTTTAAAGTTAAAATAGTATATTTAATTAACATTCAAAATAAAGAATTATTTAATAAACATTTTAAATGGTCGATAACCATAAAATTATATGAACAACATTTTTTTCTTTAAGAATAATTACAAAATTGTTATTATTTTAAGAGATATAGAGTGTCTTACCCTTAATGAATTACCCTGTACATATACATATACCCTGTAGGTATTTTTTTTATTTATAAATAACAGTTTATAAAAATCATGTATAAAAATTGTTGATTTTGGGAAAATTAAAAGTTGACTCAATACTATTATTTTTAAATAAAATAAATCAATTAACTCTAAATACTTAACCTACCTGATTTAGCAGTTAGTACATTTGTGTTAATTGTTCTGGTTTTAGTAACAGCTTTGGCGAGGGAAGGGTCTGCTAGAGTTTTGGTGGCGGCCATAATTAGTGGCATATTTTCTTGGTTAACTTTCCTGTTAGCGAGTCCTGATTTATGATTATTGAAAACCACTCTTTTTCTTTGTATAACTGGCTTAGTGATTGATTTTGTTAAACAACGAGTATCAATAGGTGGTTTATTACGGTGCGGCGTAGTCGTAGCCTGGCATTTTGTTGTTTGCGCTGAATCTTGAATTTGTTTCAATACAAATGTGTTATTCAGACTTTCTGCCTGACTCGATATTACAACTGTTTCATTAGGACTAATCTCAGGAGACGTATCCATTTTATTGTTTGTTTCAGGTTGCAATGTAATATGTTGTAACTTGTCTTCAATCGTTTGCACTGGGCTCTAATAATAAAAATAAAAACAACTAAATAGAATTTAGTCAAAATATCTTTATGCGTTTTAATTACTTACAGAAGTGTCCAGCTTTAATATTTTTGTAGGTCTCAACGAACTCTCTGGTTTCGTACAGTTCCTTAAATTGTCAATGCTAAGTTCGTTCAAACTGAAATAGGTATCTCTATTGATTTTACATTGGTTTCCTGGAGAGAAGTCCCAGCTAACTGCTTTCAAACCACCCAAAAATGATTTTGTAATATTCTAAAACAAATTGTAATTTACAATAAAATGTACTGATGCTGGGATACTAATAATATTTAAACTATTTATGTATTAGTATGAAATTTGATGACTAAATAAATAAATAAAGTATTACAACTTTTATAGCTAACATAATAGTTAAAGAGTATTATGTAATTTTATTTTAGCCTAACTTGCATAGGATATTCTTTAGTTATAGAACTACTAATAAGTAATGAAATTCCAAGCTTTTATCATTAACTCCTTCTTTCAATAGAAGTTGAAACTTTTGTATTATGCTTTTTTTTGGGTTAGTTCTAAGATTTTCTTAAAGTAGTCTAAAAGTAACACTGATGGTAGATCTAGTATGAACTTAAAACATAAACAATTTTCAAAAATCTGTAGTCAAATTTTTTTTTTTTTTTTTAGGGAAAAACTAAAAAAAAAACCCCAAAAACATTATAAAAAATACAAATACTATTCTTATACAATTTTATATTGTTATTTGTTAATATTTACTTAATGTGATTTTTGTTGATATTTTGTAATTAGAGAGATCGATTTAAATTTTCATACATAATAATAACATTTTTTTAAAAATACTGAAGTTGGTTTTTAAACAATTTTTTAGTATAATATTAATTTCCTGATCGATCAATCAAATGTTCAGTAGATTATTCACAACTTAGAAGTTTAAAAAATACCTATTTACACATTTATATTGATGAAAACTTATCTGTTATAAACAGATTCACATCAAAGTGTTTATTCAAAAGTGATTTCATTACCTTTAGTGTTAATAATTCCTAAAGACTTATGACTTTTTTTACCACACTGTGATGTTTTTTTTTTCAGATGACGAGCCCTGCCTGTTAACCCTTCTACCCCTAACGCCGAGGCCTTGGTTAAAGCTGTAAATAAAATACTTACCGCATGACTTTTCTTCATTTCTTCAGTGGCTTTATTATGAGCTTCCAATAACGTATAATACTCATTTGTTTTTTCGGCAAACATAGTGTTCAGATTTTGACTAATATGATATTTACTATCCAATATCATGCCGATTTCATTTCGATGTTCAAGAAGAACGTTACTCTCTTCATTTTTAATCTGAAAATGTATTCAATAAGTATTTAATAATAATAATAAAAACAATTATAATGTTACATACCATTGAATCAAAGCGGATTATATCAACATCCAAAAATTGTTTAACATTATCTTCTTGTAGTTTATTAATAAATAACTTTAATTCATTATCAGTAGCCAATGCTTCATCCCATAAGATATTCAATTGCGCATTTATACTGGCCATACGGCCTTCAAACTGTTGGATAGCCATATTAACACGATTTAACTCACTAGCCTAGAAAAAAAAAAAAAAAAATTTTAAGTACCTAAGTATTTTGTAAACATAATTTTACTTCATGTAAGTAAATACCAACCATATTTTCTTCTGTGTTATAGATTTTAAATAATGAAAAACGATCAAGTAAATTTTTCTTTAAATAAATTCTGAATTCTGTTTTCTTCTGCGTGGACTCTAAACGAAGAATTTCAATATGCTTTTTCAATTTTGCAGTAAAAAGTGTTTCTAAGGTGTTTCTTAAATCTTCTAAATTATCTGGAGCTACGGGTGTCTTGGATTTCATAGTTTCTTCGTATTTACGTTTGCAGTTTTGAATTTCGTTTTCCAGTTCAGTAATGATTTTCAGGTAATGTGAAGGAGGATGATTGATTGCCATAACATTCTCTTTCAGCTGCAATATTAAATAAATTAAACTAATTAATTATACCCTACCTAAAGATGGGTCTATTTAAATAATGTTTTATTTTAATTTAAACAAATTAATAGTTCATACAGTTAAAGCAAGTACATTTTCATTTAAAAAACAAAATAAGTTATTTTAAACAGTTAAATACAACTGTTTTTAAATAAAATGTTTTTTAACATTATAAATTATTTATCATTTAAAACAAATTATTTGATGCGCTAAATAAAAATAACTCATTATTTTCAAATAACTATTTGTTATTTAAATAAAAAATGCCTGTTTATAATTAAAACAAATGACATACGTTAGACTTGATTTTCATAGCACGGGAAGCGTATTTCAAAGTGTTATGAGTATCTTCGTAAGACGACAAAGCAGGAGACACACACGATATCATTAATGTTTTACAATTTCCACCGAGAGAATCTTTCAAAAGCCTTGTTAATTTTGAATCACGATAAGGTATGTGCCGCAAGCCATCAGATAAATTGTTTATGCAGTTTCCTAAAACATAATTATATTATGTTTATTATTTATTTAAAATGAAATAATTGATTTTTCTCTTTCAAACTAACCCAAGGCCAACAGTGACTTATTAATGTTAGAACCTTCTTTAAAACGCATTCCCTTATTAGATGATGCTCTTTCAGATCCCGCAAGATCGACCATAGATAATTTAGCCATTTTTACTTGATCCGTATGTTTAAATGTCATTTGTATATACACTTGAAACAATGCGTGCGATCTCGACGATTCAGCATTAGCATCAGTTGGATGTTGAGTACGGTTGTCGTTGCCTCTTCGTAGCATTTCAATTAGCTCATCGACATTGTTTACCATTTTTATTGAAATTCCAGCCACAGAGGTCGTATTGCCACACTCGCGTAAAAACAATGGTTTCTTTTCGTCTACCAATAAATCATAAACCATTTCATTGTACACCTAAAACCATTTAACATATAAAAATGTATAATATTTCAGTAAGTTATAAAAGTATAATGTAGTCAAAGTATTTACTTCGAGATAAGAAACGTAAATTTCAAACTTTTTTGATTCTTGTTGTTCGTTGACTTTTTCATACAAATCTTTCATTGTCAAATACGTTATGCCATAATTATCTTCATTGCCCAACATTGTAAATGTTTTTCCGGCACCAGTCGCTCCATAAACAAAAACTAAAATATATGTTAAGCAACATAATTATTTTATAATTTATAACAATATAATATATTTTATGAATATTGTTATTAGTGCAATTTGGTAATTTAGATGTATTTTTTATTTTTAAATTAGAAATTAAAACAAATACCTACCTATAGTGCAGTTATCATAAGTACCCATTTATTAAGATTTTAAGAACATAAATCTAATAAATAAAATGTATTTATAATTCATGCATAATAACATAATAAAAGTAATGCCGTACTATAACAATGTTACTTTTTTTTGTAATACATAACTTCATTAAATTTTGTGCTAAGTAGTAAATAAATAATGTTACGTATTGTTTAAAAAAAAAAAATTAAATATGTAAAACAATTTTTGTTCTAGTTACATTACTTACTTACTGGCTTTTACTTTACTTAAAGTGATGCCAAAGTGTACAGTGGCGCAGTGATCGTGGGTCTAGGGAAAGAAGCTGTCCCTGGGCGCATTTTAATTTAGGGGGTTGTTGTACAATTTACTATACACATTAATATTTAATATAGGGTGCAAAAACATGCCTTGATACTGGATACTTTAGGCTCTAGTTACGCCACTGTAATTTTATTACTTTTTATGGAAAAATTAGGATAAAATAAACCCAGAGCTGAGAATGAGCGACAGCGAGGCCAAGTACAAGGTCAGGCCGATATTTAAGAAAGGAAAGAGGGACCAGGCTGCGGTCCACTGGGTGCGTGAGATAAACTACTTTGTGTCGTTTTCGAGCTGGAAGGCCAAGACTAAAGCATGTTTTGTGCTAAAACAAAATATATAAGTACAATCATTACCTGAACAATTGTATCCACATAAAAGTTTGTCAAGAAGATCTTTAGTGCTTTCATTGTATATGTCTTCATTAGTGCTTTCTGGTCCAAACACTCGATGAAAATCATATTTAATCGATTTGTGTTGTTTTTTGGAAATATCTCTTGGGTTTTGTTTGACACCGTGGAAAAAAAAAGGTGTTTCATCTTGTTTGGGATCAAATATCAAAGTAGTTTCATTTCGAACTTTAATCGTTTTTCTGTTGATTACATATAATAATGAAATAATTATTAAATTTGATTACAAAATAAACGTATTAGATTTTCAAACTTAGCAGTTTGTAACGGTACTACTGATGGGAATTAAAAAAATCCAGATTTTCACAAAGAATGCTATTTAAAAAATTTACAAATACTAAAATACTGTATACAATTATAAATTACAAGTTAAATATTTTTTATGAAAATGTAAAAATACACAAAATACTAAAAAGATAAATTGCTCTTGGATTTTGTATTTATTGAAATCCGAAAGTAATTTATAATTATTGAAGGTCTTTTTTTTTTCATTTTTGTCAACATTTTAATTAGGTACACAACTTTGTATTGTATTGTTATTTTGTATTTATACGATTTTTAAGTAGCGTTTTAGTGTAAATACGGATTTTTGAATTCCCTTCACTAAACAGTACAAGTATGGAATAATGATGCATGGTAGTTTCAAGGCAAAAGATAAATGGGACAAATAATTTGGCTACACTGTTTGTTATCAACTCAATTTGTTAACAGCAATAATCGTTAGTTAATTTGATTTTGCAACTGGTAACAGAAATATTCAAATACTTCATGAATTAAATTACACTTGAACAATATTCTTTTTAACAAAAGTGTCTAAATAAAGTTCTATTATTACATTAGGTATGTACATTTTAGGCTAGTTTTTCTTTGTAATATGAATATCTTTAAGAAAGGGGTTTTGTTTAACAATACAAAATTTATAAGAAGAATAACTGCAATAAATAATGATAAAGAAACACCTTCTATGACTGTGTTTGATAGAAAAGCAAAAGTTCTTCAAAAGCAACGGTCAGCATTGGCAGAAGATAGCTCAGTATACGAATACCTAAAAGACGAGGTCGGATATCGTTTGTCCGATCGCTTATTTGACATTAAACGTCAATTTAATCTCGTGGTTGACTTAGGATGTGGATATGGGCATGTCTCTAAACATATATCCATTGATAATGTAAAAGAATTAATAATGTGCGACGTGTGTGAAGAAATACTCGATAAAGCTCAAAATCCAGAACCAGACGTCAAAGTAAGCAAAATAATTGTAGACGACGAAAGATTACCTTTTGAAGATAACAGTATTGATTTATTAATAAGTTGTTTATCACTTCATTGGGTTAACAATTTACCATCTACGTTTCATCAAATAAAAAAATGTTTAAAGAATGACGGAGTGTTTTTAGGAGCTATGTTTGCTGGAGACACCTTGTTTGAATTGAGATCGTCATTACATTTAGCAGGTGTCGAAAGAGATGGCGGTGTAGCCCCGAGAATATCACCTTTCGTACGACTTCAAGATGTCGGATCGCTCATGCAGAGTGCTGGGTTTTCCATGTTAACCCTAGATACCGACGAGATAGTAATACGATATCCGTCCATGTTCGAGCTGATATGGGATTTAAAAGGCATGGGTGAAAACAATGCCGTTTTACAACGACCTTTGAGGCTTAACAAAGACACTATGTTTGCGGCTGCATCGCTATATGATAAACTGTATGGAGCCAAAGAAGATAGTGATTTGAAAGGAATACCAGCTACATTTCAGATTATGTACATGATAGGGTGGAAACCAGATCCTTCTCAACCAAAACCATTAGCCAGAGGTTCTGGGCAAATATCAATCAAAGACATCGGACAGCTCGATAAAATTGTTAAACAGTTAGGAAAATTTGAAACTTAATTTGTTATAAGAAAATAATTTTGTCAACATTGAACTGTTATGTAGAGCTAGTGTAACTTAATAAAACATATACTAATTGTCTAATTGTGTTTGCGTTGTTATTCTAATTCAACATTTATCCAATAAACTAATATTTATTTTAAAGTTTTAATTAGTAATTTATAAGATAAACAATAAGAGATCATTCAAAAAACAATGTTTGATAAATATTAAATACCAAACAATTAAAATACATTGTAAATTGTTATTTTACAGTTGTAGCATGCTTACACGTTGATAAATGTGTACTATATCTGATTTAAATAAAATAATAAAATAACTTAAAGTATGAAATGAAATTTATTATCCCAAGCTAGACATTGACTTAAGACAAAATAAATACCAAATTTAAAGAACTAAGTATATATAATACTAAATACAAAGTGGAAAATTTTTGTAACAAAATCAACAATATGAATGTATTAAAACTTTCATAGATAGAACTATTATCTAGATTATTTTAGGATCTACCCTTTGTCATTTTTTAGTTGACATTTCGAACCCATTGTAGGTTTCGTTCTCAGAGTCATTATACCACTGTCACAACTATACTGAGAGAATGGCTTGTTTCCTACCGGTATTTAATTATTTTTTATAGAAGTACCACAAAGGAAAAGTTTTAATTGAGGTTATTTGGGCGTCCAACGGCAAACCATGATTAAAATGATTGGTAAAATTGGGCATAAGTGATTTATTTAATTAAAATAAATGTTACACTTTTCTGCTGGTCCTTGTATTTATAAATATATAAATACTCTATTATATTGTACAGCATAAAATAATGTATAAAATATCTTACGGTTTAGGTGTACCGTCCTCTTCGTGTAATGGTTTAATACGGACAAACACCCTCATTTGTTCTTCTTGAACAACTACTCGACCGCGGCTAGAAGGCGCGATTTTTTTCAAATTTTCCAAACTCCTTCTGTTGAGCACCATCGTGTTATAATTGAGTGCTGAAATTTATATTGTATGTAAAATAAATAAAAAATTAACTCTTTTTTAAATTGTGGTAGATAACATCCTTAAATGAACAGATCTGTATCTCGTACTATAATAAATTCATTAATTTAGTAAATCACAAATTATTTGATTTTGTATTTTTAATCATTGTTAGCAAAATATAACAGCTTAATCAGTGACAAACGTAAACAGGGAATTACCGATTGTTCAGTTCGAAAATAACCAAAAAGATTTAACTCAGATTTCATTTCCTACGCAAATTCATACAACATCGAAATTTTTCATTTTACGTTGATAGGCTAGATATAAAAACCAATACAAAAGCTAGTACTTACTTCGAGTATTTTGTTATTATTAAAATAACAGCCGTATATCCAATAATAAACGGTATTTTTATTACATCTATAGTATCACCATATTTGTAACCATTAAACTGTAGATAACAAAATCAACTACTTTATTTTTGTCGAACTATAGTTTACTTGTTTGTTATTAAGAAAATCATGGTTGTATTACACTTCTTAAAACAAAATACACGGTTGATGGTATAGGTATTATATCAGTATCAATAATGAATTACCGAAGGAACTTGCAAGTCTAATAATTTGGATCACTGCTCACTGGCATATTATAACTTAACAAGTTAATCACTACACAGTTCCATATAGAAGTATACACTTTACACTACCGACTACACTAATTGAGTGTTGAGTATTGTCCGTCAGAAAAATACGTTATAAAATGGAAATTCAAAACCAAAGGTGTACCGTGTATCATAACACTGGGATGTCGTAAATCTGATAACAGACGTGCCAACAGACTATTTTACAGTATGACCAACCGAAAAGACAAATGTTAATGACCAATGTGTTCCCCTGAATTGATACCGCGTCTGTACGACGCCGACCGTTGGGCGGCGTTGGGGTCGAGAATTATCGGGCGCCAGAGCCGAGATTTGCCCTCACTGATCAACCTACTTCTCGGTCCCTTCTACTGGTAACTGGTAAGCGCTAAGAGGACTAAGGAGTGAGTGGTGGCTGGTGACCCGAGGGGTCGGGAGTGCCAGGAGGCGATGGGACGGATGGCGAGCTCGGGAGTTGAAACATCTGTGATCCGTCTCGAGCAGGTCAGGCTCGTGGCTCCGAGCCCTGCCAGTAGGTTTGTGAAAATATCGCAGATCAAAAATCATTATTTATTTTATTTACGTTATTATTATTTTACTTTGTTAGTTATAAAATAAATTGGTTATCTTTAAAATTATACTCAGCTATTATTATAATATTGTACATAAATTTACCATAATAAATCCGACATTATAAAAATCTAAATAAATGTGTATGCAGCTCATCAACAATTACTTCTTGTAACTAAATAATTTCCTATCAATCGTAAGTATAATTAAGTACTGAATTGTACACCGAATTACAAGTATCATATTTAAGTCGAGAGTAGTTACGAATTTGCTACATAAAAAAATAGGTATATAAGATTATTACCATTTATAAACACTCAAAGTTTAACATTGCAAGTAATTAAAAAATACAATGCAAATTATGTATTTGTTGGAACGAGTAAACAAGTTATTACATTTTTTTTTAATGAACTTTAAATGTATTTTTTTTATGTTATAAATTTGTGGTAAATATATTTAAACGTTTAATTACAGATTATATAAATCAAATATTTTTCATATAATTGTGGTTTAACAATAAGAATTGTCTTCAATTACAATATCCAACAATCTATTCAATATACTTTTTTAAGTTTTGTGCTTAAGGGGCCTCTACATAAGTGTACTTTTGGTCGAAAACAACTTATTCTACTTCAAACGTATTGTTCCTAAGAATACTCAAATTTAAGTCTTGAAAAAAACATTTGAATTCTTCATAACATTTTCAAGGCATTGAATATGGCACAAATATAAAATTATTTTTTGTTAATTAATTATTTCCATTTAAAGAAGTTAAAAATTGCAGTTTTTTATATTGAATTAATTATTAATTAACTAAAAAATAACTATAAAATTGCGCCACAGTCGATGCCTTGAAAATGTTATGAAGAATTCAAATGTTTTTCCAAAACTTAAATCAAAGTATTCTTAGAAACATATTATGTTTTTGTACAAAAATAGTTCCTATATGCGTTATAAATGTTAAAAAAAAAGTTATATCAAAATTTTAGCTTAATGTCAAGTTTAAGCAAAAAATTGCTTCTACAATGTGTCATAATAAATGCTAGTATAGAGGCCTCTTAATACTAATTAATATTTATTTTGTTGACCAGTTGTATCGTTTTTACAGATTTGTATCAATATGCAGCATGTATGTAGTGTTGATTGCTTGTAGGTATACAGTATGAAAATGATCGCTCCAGTTCTGGATAAATATAATTTGGGCATTAGTGCCATTTTAATTGTAATCATGCAGCTAATGTTCTTCATAATAGCTGTCACGTTACAATATGATAAAGTTGCAGATTTTGCTGGCGGCATAAGCTTCATTTTAGTTGCTATACTAACTTACGGTTTAGCTCAGGTGATTAAATGTGTAATACAATAATATATTTTAATTATTATCATTGATACATACAGTACCTATAAATTATATTTTTAAATAGATACAGAGACATTAAATATAGATATCCATATGATGTATTCCATCAGTTATTTTAATAAAATACCTATTTATTTTACTTAGACACATGATAATCGCCAATTTATGGTTACCCTGTTTGTAATAATTTGGGGTGTCCGTTTGAGTACATATTTGTTCTATCGGGTATTAAAAATTGGAAGGGATGCAACATTTCCAGACAGACGAAGTAATATGATTCGCTTTGCCGTTTTCTGGAGTTTTCAAGTGAGTCCACTTATAAAAAATTAATTAAAAGAGAAAAAAAAGGAATTGTCAGTACAATTGGATGGTTTTTTGAGAGTAACATGATAAATCAATTGATATGATTTTTCAGGAGACAATAAAAAATAAATAATTTGTGCTATGAGGTAATGTGCTGCATGAATTGTACATGTTAATAAAAGATAATAAAAACACATGGAGAAATTACAATGCCACCATTAAACGCGGTGCGAAATTTCCTTCAAAATTGATGTGAAAACTATAAGTTGTTAAAATCTGATTTATCATGTTTCTCACAAAAACCGTCCAATTAATGAATTCTTTATCTAATTTATTTGTGTTTGTTTGAACTAAAGGCAATCTGGGTACTCATTGTTAGTTTGCCGATAATCGTTATTAATGCACCTCATAACTCAATCAAAGCCGGAGCTCCTAAAACTATGACTACTTTGGATACTTTTGGATGTTGTGTTTTCATTTTTGGCTTTATAATAGAAACTTTTGCCGATCTACAGAAATATGCTTTTAGAAGTGAAGAATCCAATAAGGGAAAATGGTGCGATGACGGTAAGCATCAGTACTTAATATAGTTACTAGTTAGTATAATAGTTGAGATGTTTATTTGTTTAATTTTTATTACAGGACTATGGAGCATGTCGCGACATCCAAATTATTTTGGAGAAATCGTCTTATGGTGGGGTATTTTTATTGTATCGTTAAATGTTATTAAAGGACCTGAGTTTTTTGTAATTTTATCACCAATCTTTACAACGTTCATCATCTTATTTCTTTCTGGTATTCCACATTTGGAACGTGTCTCGGATCATCGATTTAGAAAGTTAGTAAAAACCATGCTGAAATGTTTACTGTAGTTTATTACTAGTTTAATAAATACATTTAAATTTTCAGCAATACTCAATATCAGCTTTACAAACGTTCTACATCGCCGCTAATACCTATTCCGCCGTCATTTTATATGGGAGTTCCCGGATTTATAAAAATGTTATGTTGCTGTGAGCTTCCGTTATATAACTGGATGCGAGCTCATCCTTCTGACCCGCCAGAAGCAGCGCCTGCACCGAAAACTTCCTAGCAAAAAAAGGGAGCGGCTGTGACCATGGTACAAATGACAGACCGCTCCCAAGAATCGCCAGTATACTCAACGGCTACGACTTATGTTTAAACTCTAAAAGGCAATAATGAGGTGAATTCATTTTAGTATTGTTAATTTATTTTCATTATTTCTTGGATAGTTTTGAAAAATAACTACATAATTAATTAAAACAACTGCCGTTCTTTTAACTTTATTGAAGAGTAGGTATGTTGTTATTATTAATTATTATCATTTAATAATTAACTTTATATTTTATATGACAACATTTGTGTTAAAACAATTAAGTAAATAGTCATTCATTTTAGAATATTAGAAATTAATTTTGTCTAACAAATCCTCTTAGTTGAAACCACATAATAATATCATTACTTGGTAAGTGGCGTAGTAAATATTTTTAAATTTTTATTCTATTTATATATCAGTCACTAAATGTCAATTCTTTTTAGAAGACTCTTTTGTAGTATACTTCAAACTAAAATTGTATTCATTAGTGACTAAGAATTATGTCTTAGGAGCTTGCGATTGTTTTTTATCTAATCAATTGTGGTTTTATGTATTAAATGGACAAAATTGGTTGATCCAAAATCGATCAATAAATTATTAATTAATGGGCTAATCATTTTTTGAATAACACATTAATTTGTAATAAAAATATGATTGATTCTAGATTATTTAAAATAACTAAAATTTAATTATTCGAAATATTAATTAATTTATTGTTAACTTATCAGTTTGTATCATGTAAAAACTAGGAAATCGACAATCGTAATGTTATTGAAAATTGATTATACTACAGTTAATGTAGGTTAATCAATTTTTCTGAACTCGAGAAATTAATTGATTCATTTTTGTGAAATTCAATTAAATAAAAAAAATCGCACAGCCTTTTATTATTTTACACATTTAGTATAGACTGAATTAGTAGTATTTAGGAAATAAAGTCATGTACACTTATTTAACCAATTAACATAGTTTACGCAATTTGTAATTCATATTGTGCTTAATCGGTTTAAACTGCCCAAGTAAATTTAGTACATGTGTACATAGGTGACTGGTGGTATAAACAGAATTAACTTAATCTGAATTAACAAACATTTTTTTCTATGTTATATCACATTAATATTATTTCTCTTGTTATTATTATAATATGTTAAATTTTTATACATAGATGCAACTTTTATGATACTTTGTAGGTTGCTGCGAATTTCGGCCGCACAATTATTGTTATTAATTTAAGATAAAATAATTAAGTACCCTTTTTATTACATGGTCCACACTATAAATCAATGCACTTAATAGTTGTATACACTTTTTTTTAAAATTAATACACATACCAAGTTACGTGTTCTCTAGGGTAGTCCTTAAATGAGACGTTGCGTTGAATGGCCATCATTCGGCTCTAAATGTTGAAAAAATATTACCCTAATTTTTCAGATTTTTATTTTATCCCCCAAGTCTCACTGTTTGCACACCAAGTTTTTATTCATAATAGAAAAATATACAAATATGCTTAAGTTTTTAATTGAGTATATTACTAAAATAATTCTTAGTAAAGCCATTAGCATTTTTGTCAAATATTTAAAGAAGTCGTACAAAGATCTAATATTAAATATGGGAGAAGTATATATTTATGTACTTGTAATATTGTTTTATAAATATATATAATGAGTTCTATATGTCACAGTTTCACATCATATTTTACTGATAACAAGTTTAATTTGGAACTAGTGTAAAATTATATAATTTTTAAATAATTATTTTTTATTGACGATCAAACTCTTCCCGTTGATGCAATAAAAAACTGAAAAGAATAAGGGAAATATTTTTTTTTAATATTTGGAGCCGGTTGATAAGTATCCAACGTAGAATTTTACAAAAAAACCATTATAAGGATCACCCTAGTGTACTCAAATATCAAATGAGTAATAAGTCTACAATAACCTAGTAATTATTATTATCATTAATTGTAATTATTAATTTATTTTTTAAAATGATAGCTCAAATTGAATCAAATCTAGTCGCAACACATAATTTAGGGGTTAAAATTTGTCAAACGTTTATTTGTGATATTAGAATTATATCTTGATCTGTGATTACTTAGATATACTTATAGGAGTATAGTTTAGATATTTAAAAAGTTTCTGTTATTATTATTATTATTATTATTACTACTATTGATTTATTGTTACAAAATGTGTGTTATAAGTGGTGTAGTCATAAGACGACTCAACGACTACTGTATGTAGTGTTGGCTGCATAATTTATTTTTATCACTATAGTCTTGAGTTGGTGTTAAATTATTGTAACATTTTAGCCATTAGGGTTCTCATTTTTTTACCTCTTGAATATTTATACAAATTTTTATATGGATATAGTTAATTATTGTGTATGTTGAATGGAAGCTATAAAAACATGTGAATAATGGTTTTGGTTGATTGCAATACAGGGACCACATGTATTGATGAAAGTTGTTCAATTTAAAGTTCAGTTTCACTCATAATTTATTTTAAAACATTTTCTTGACTTTGTAATTTACTCTTTTTCTTCTAATATTTTTAACCCTTTTTTTACCAATATTGTTGCACCTTCTAAGATTACATTTTCTTACTACTACCACAATCTATATTTTTATTCAAAGTAAAGTTAAGGTACATGATTATTTATAGTTTCACATATAATAGTACGTAAAATTAAATTTAAAAAAACCGGGAAAACTGTGATTTAGCTTTCCTAAACACATTAAAAAAAAAAAAAAAATACCACTTTTTTTCTTTCATTGTAAAAATTGATTAAGAATCTAAATTAACTTTATGCGTACATGATGATTATGAAAACAAACAGATTAGTAAAAAATATACATATTACAGATTACTTTATAATAATATGTGTAATAGGTAAATAAGATCATTCGACAATTGTTAAATTTTATATTTACTAACAAGGAACCATATCGTAGAAGTAATGTTGAATTTAATGTAAGAATATAAAAAGAATTATTATAATTATTATTATAGCAAAAATATTGTCATTTAACAAATATATTTAGAATATTTTCGCACTTAAAATCAATTGTGGGCATTTTTATTTTCTCATGCAATTTGTATTATAAATGTTATTCAGTATTCGTATAAATAAACTATATAATTATTGCCTGTGCACAATTGCAACATCATTGTTTATTGTGATAACAGCAGCAAGGTGTGTTAAAAAGTGTGAAAAGTATATTAATTATCAGATACGAGGTGTAGTAAAATTAGCAGCTCTCCGGCATGCGGGACGTCGGAGTTCCAATTCCATCGGAGCTATATATCAAGTTATATTTTTACAGTATATAAAATGGAATAACAAGCATGCAAGTGTTTAAATTATAATAAACAAAACATTTACTCGCATGAATTTGTGACAATTAAGTTCATGATATAACAATGCATAATATATTGTCTAGACAGCGAAAAAACCATCAGTAGGTAATAGGTATTAACCGAGTTAATTATACAAATTAGTCAACTAAGTTGTTAAATTAAATCACCGTGAATATTATTTTAACTAAATCTATTGTAGTCCTAAGTGAGTAATAAAACTCCTCTTTAAATGGTCTAATGTCCTTCGATTAAAGAAATTAAATTCAGAAGTTCCATTGATGTGTACAAATCTACACTCTATTTATTTTTTCCTCGATAGATCTAAGTATACAGTCAGAATCAGGAGCGGATCTAGAAATGAAAAAAGGGAGAGGCTAGAAAAAAAAATCACTTTAAATACTTAAAAAGTATAGTCATAGAGTTAAAATTTACATAGTAAAAAAATACATATTCTAATATATTATAAAAAAATAAACATAAAATACACTTGAAATGTATGCATTTAAAGTGTATAAAGGAGGCCAGGAGGGACTTCGTTACTTTATCCCCACAGCCCCCTTTCCCTTATATCCTCCTCTGATCAGAATTAGGCATTATTCGATTGAATAATTAAAAGTGTTTGAAAATAATATATTCCTAAAATTTTTAGAATAATCATACATTTCCTCCATTTATGGGACAAACATTAGATCATGGAGATTTATGGCGTATATTAATTTCTTATTTTATAAGAAATTATAACGGTTATTATTATACATAACCGGCGTTACACCTATACATTTTTTATAAAAAAACATTGCCATGCAGTGGTGTACAGCGGTTATTATGCCTGCTGTAGTTATCTGATAAAACAAATTAATTGCTGTATTAATAAATATAGATTTTAATTTTAGCTTAAACTAATATATTTAATTGACGATACTGAACACATAATAATTGATAAATAGATCATTTTTAAAACAATACCTTTTCACGAGCTAATTAAAAGGGTACACTCGAACTGCGACCAATTTTTATTATCTAAAAAAAGGTGTATACATTTAAGAAAGTCATCAATTTAGGACAAGGTGCTATGTATATAGTTATTATAATCTATGGTGTTATAAACCACACCATCTAAAAGGAATTTGAGGTGAGATATCATCCGACAATAACTATGCTGTAGAAGTATTAACACTGTTAAAATTATTTTAGATTAAAACTAAATAAAAGTCTATAGTGAAAAGAATAGCAAGTAGGTCAACAATTCTTTTTATTGTATATGTCAATTTAGGATTTCAATTTTGCAACAGTCGCTAGAAAGAGCCATAAGCAAAGTGCTGTGAAATTTATTTATGATAATTAAACAAAATGTAAATTATAAAAAAAAATTATGGATATTATTATGATAATGATAATCAAGGGAATTGCAAAAACAAGGTTAAGGTAATACGTTTAAGGTTGCTTGAGGCGTAAATCAACTCCAAATAATTATATGGAATCATATAATATTTGTACGTACACAAGGAGCCCCTCCCTATTGTACTTTTTATATGTAATAAACAGTTTACGATACCAAGATAATTTATACAGGTATAGCTCTAGTCCTGTCTATACGACGATCTAATATATGTACATATTATAGAAGCATAGCATGAAGGTCAACCAGCACCAGTACCGAGTATACCAGTTATTTTTCTTTATGTAGTTTTAATTGGTATACTATATTTTAGAGAGCAATTCTAGTTTTACACTTAAAGGGTGGTGGTGCTATATGGGATTTATGTACAGTTTTTTAAATCACTATAAAATTACTTTATTAATTATTAAAAATTATGTTAATATAATATCTTTTATTAACAATTAATTTTAGCTTAGTAGATTCCGAGTTAAAAATATTTAAACATCACTAAAATTCAATTAGAACTTTTAAAAAAGCCAATCAGTGGGAACATTCCATATTGGGGTCAAAAAGTTTACAATAATTGTATTATAACTATAAGCCTTAAAATCGCTATGTGTCATATCATTCTCGAAGCAAAAAAAATAAAACATTATTCAGTATAACGATTTTTTTTACGTCTATGGTATATAGAGTTTTCGAAATAAATAAATATATAACGTTATTCCTAATTTTCGTACATGAAAATTATTTTAAACTGAACAAATAAATAACGTTAAACGGAACTCTGTTAAAGTACTTTCAAAAAGACAATTTTGTAAATCAATAATGTATCTTTATTAGGTAGGTACAACTGTCGTTTAGCGGTTCAGAATAGCTCAACTGTATACTCTTTTAATAACTCAATGTTATAGGTATCTAATTGATAGCTTCTGTAAATTAATTGTGTATGCTACGTTATTATGCTTGTGTAATATTTTCTTTTTCAAATTCATATTTTTATAAGTGTAGTTGGGCGGAGTTCTTTTTGTATTATTATTTATTACACAACATACATAATATATTACGGTAATTATAGTATAATGTCATAATTTGGAGCAGAACACCAAGATTCCTAAGGGCTAAATTTTCTGTGTTTAGGTGTTTTTAAGTTATGGTTTTCGAATAAAGTTAACCATAGATTTTGATTGTATAAAAAAACAATTCTCTACAATTTTCTGACTATTTTTGTTAAAACTTATTTGAACATTTATCATTTTGATTCGCGATGACCAGAATTGATTTTTAGAAGTATCTACCAATCCATAATGGTATTCGTCTCGTCCAGCTTGAAGTAACATGTTTGCATTTTTATGTCTATTATAAGTACCTATTAATTGACCTATTAGGTGTCTATTGCTGCACATTAGTAAAATTCTCCAAAAAAAACATCAGCTGTACTTATAACAGTTATAATACTAAATTAGTACATTATTTTGTACACTCGCTCACATCTGCCTGATACATCAAAATCCGTGTACGATAGCGGGGTCATAAATAGATAGTTTTTTACTATGAAGTTACCTGTACATGTTTGATGCTATTATGTGTTTATAGGTTTCATGTAAACGCATGTGTTATTACATATTATATTATATGGGCAGCGCGATGACCTTGATATGCCCATGCCCTGAATTAAACGTCGGCAAAGCTCCAAACGACGGGTGTGCGCTCCTTCATTTATTACTGATAATTTACAGAATGTGGTTGCCGAGCGACTCAGCTTCTAGGCCGCAGCCAATATTGTCATCGTTGTAAACAAATTCGCAAGCATGTGATGATCGTTTTTTCCCACGAGCGGTTACCCGTCGATCATTCGAATTCGTTGTGTTCTTCAAACCGGTCGAATCGCCATCGGTGCCGTTTTCGTCCGAATTTTTCGGTTTTTTTTTTTATTCGTTTAAACGTCCTTATGGATAACTCCTCCCGAGTGCGATATTAACATTGAACACATCTGCCCGTCCGCGCAATCGCGCATCGCACGCGTTCAATTCGCCCAAAGAACATGCGATAACGTTTACAAGTAACAATTTATAACCATGTCAGCCGCCGTCACGCCAACTCCTTTGATTCAATCGTTGTCCAAAGGCCAGTCACCACAACCACAGTCGCACGTGGACACCGTCGCCATCACCATTGGACCCGCTGTCGAGGACGAAGATCTTACCGAGGTCATTGTCAGCGAAACCCTTGAACCTGCGTCAGCTGCTGGTAGGTACAATATAAAAATAGTATTGTCGCGACTAGTAGTGTGTGTTTAACCCATTTCTCGGATAGATCGTTTGCGAGGTCGGAGATCATCTATGTTCTATCGTCGCAGATTTATAATTTGTATATTATAAATATACAATCGCATTACAATACTAGATTTCACCGAGTGTTGTGTCTCCAGTTTAAACATGTTGTACGCAACACTAAGTACAACAGCTATAGAAGAATCTATTGTTGTCGCCGTTTTTCCTATGCATATTATTGTTGTTGTCTATCGATCAAACGATCTCAAAACCAAACACAATATCCACTTAATAACATATCCATAACAAAAACGACCATCTCATGAATACTTTTTGTTTTGGCAACAAAGGCATATCCGTGTACCTACACAAATTGAATGTGTAATATATTCGACTTCGGCTGTTATTGTTAAGACCTGAAATCTGAATCGATGTGTCGGAAGTGTACTACGTGATATATAATAATTATATGACAAACTTTGTAAAAAATCTCGGTCCCTGATTTAGAGTTTTTCAAAACGCACCACATAATCAGACAAAGTAACTCGTTAAGCCGGGTCCACACAAAGGTTTTAAAAAAACAAAACAAAACTGTAAAAAACATTTGTCTAGACTGAATTGACAAAAAACCTCAACAAATCATAAACAAATACTATGTTTGTGTTGTGTTTTTGTTTTTATCTATACATACTGAAAAGATTGTTTTAAAAAATGTATTTTATATAATTTTATACTAGTTATCCATTCACAGTCGTTTAGTCTGCTTTCGAAGTGCGATCTTTCTGTTATTGGTTCGTTCGTTTTTATTTAAAAAATTAAATAATTTAAAAAATTTAAATAATAATGTGGAATCTGAAAAGAGATATCGAAGACGAGGAAGGTATACCAATGCTGGATATATTTATTTAAATCTTCAAAATAAATAAAATACGTTTTTGGGTGAGACCAACGTTACAAAAAAGAAATGTGTATGAGGTCAATGAACTTTTAAAAGTTTTATGGGATCAGGGATGGTGACATTGGTTTGAACGGAGAATTGCGGTCGGTTTGAAACATTTTTTCACACAAAAAAATAACAAAAATAATTGATAAAAGAAAAATCTGTACAGGACTGATCGCTTGAAATGATCTCGACTATATTGACACAATTAATGTTTTTATTTTCAAAATACAGCTAACTATTAAAGCCAATTTAAAGTCCATTACTCGTTAGCATACACATTTGAATTAAATTCTAATTGAATTAAAAATGATATGGGATATTCTTTAGACCTCGAGTGACCTCGAGGCTAGACCCCACTATGCTCTGTCCCAAAGAATAGTATTGAGAAACCGTTTATAAATAGTATTTTTAACATGTATGCAACGACCACTTAAATAAGTAGGTATATTTTTTTAAATATTAATTTAAATAATAGACTTTAGTCGAGTATTATTGGTAAATTATCGTGCTTGAATTAGAACTAACATAAAAAAGAAGTATAGATTATAGTTATTTTAAAAAAGGTTAAAAAAAAGTGTTTGATGTGTCAACTATTAAACAATATTATAAAAGGATTTATCACTGTGTTAAGCAACCTTTTTCGATTTAATAATAAGAGTTTTTGTTTTAACTTCAATACATTGGTAAAAACTCTATTATTTGTAATGCTTGCAATTTATGTATAGCTTTATAACTTCAGTTTATCTCTATAATTTTATAATTAAGTACATATAAATAAATTACTATTTATCATGAGAGTAGAAAATTTTATGTTAAAATTGAATTAAATGATCAATAAAGTATGAAGGGCAATTCCAGAACATAATATTGTACATTTTTGGAAATGGGAGGAAAACAGTGATGTTTTAAAAAAGAAAAATTAATAAGAAAAAATATTACTCTCATTGTACATTAAATTAAAGTTAGTGTTTTAAAGTTGATATTAGTTAAAAAAGAACAGTTTTCTATCTCAAAGCGTAGCAGTGTTACAAATGAATATAAGTTTTATTGTAATTCATTAAGTAGGTCAAAGTATTTAAAAGTATTATAAACCAAAATGCACTTGAAAATCTGGAACTGTATACATATATTTTTAGTAGTGTCTACAGTCATATAAAAATATAAGTAAAAAGGTTGTGTTTATTTCACATCGAATGACCGTTCAGTCATACTTGTTATCACAAACATATATTTAGTTGTAGTTTGTAAACGAAAAACGTTCAAAGAACAAAGTTGAACACACAATATTTAGGTAACAGATATCATATTGTAAGCTATAATGATATAATATTGACGTAGAATTTTTATTATTTATAGACAGTTTATAAAAATATTATTGACTTGTTTGTAAATCACGTCGGTCCGCGATCGCCATACATCTGAATTAATACTTAAGCAATACTATTTGTTACGAGTTTAAAATTTAAATAAACTAGACTTGTTTTTATCTTTTATAGTTGTTAAGATGAATATTAATTTTATATTTTAATGCAATAAACTGGTTGAATAGATTGTAGAATCGCAAGATGAATTTAACTTATTATTCGATAGTAAATAAATAGGTACTTAATTATAATAGTCACACAAAACATAAAAAACGCGAACTATATGCGTTTATATTTTAGCTTATATGCGACAGCTAGAACTTAGAAGCTATTGTTTTTTTTCAAATTGTGATTATTCTATATTAAACATTTTTATTTGATAAAACAATTAGAAAAATTAAGTATAACATATTCGCAAAAATGAATTTTTTATGAAATTAATCTGGTCATTAACTATATAGAGTGATTTTTTTTTCGTGAACCATTCAATATCTCAATGGGTTTAGTTATTAATAGTTGAAATTTTTATTTTCATAATTTTTTTTTATAATGTGATCTCAATTTTCCAAAAATTATCATGTTCCTACCCCACTCTCAGACTAATTATTTTTACATCAACTTTTGAAACTTAAATGGTAAGTGGTATTTCAATAACTTTTTAAATTGAGAATAATGCAGTAAACATTTTAAATGGTCGATAAGTTTCAAGTTTAAAGCAGAAGTAAAAGTGAAGTTTAGTATTATTTTTATCTGCGCGCACTTTCCAACTAGTACACTTACCCCCCGTCCTAACTTTTAAACTCATAACTTAAAGTTAAGAATATTTTACTAAAAATGATGACTGGTTGACAGCCAGTTTTAAACAACTATTTTTAACATTATATAAAAAAACACCTGTTTAATATTATATTATTTTATATTTATATACTTTAACCTATTTAGTGTAATCGGAAATCCTTTCTTTAAATCCATGTCCAAAAAAAAAATAATAATAATAATTTACACTACAATGTACATGTTATTGAACATACTTTTTATTTTAAATTCGTTAACGTTATGTCATGAATACATTAGTCAACAGTTCGTTTTACCTATGACCTCAGATAATTCACAGGACGTCTATTGTACAGACAGTAACAATGCTTTTATAATAATAACTATAATAAATGCATAGTTAACAAGTTGATTGTTCAACGTTTTATTATACTCTTGGGAAATTTCACAATTTAATTCCTTTATATAAAAGGCTTATATAATAATAAGTATGAGATTAATATTTAATATATTTCTATTTTCTAAAGTTAAGTAGGTTAAATTAAATGGGATTTCTTCTTGGGGTTCCCTCGGGCCTCGGAAATAAAAAATAAATTTATAACACGATAATTGAATACAATTTTGGAACTTAACATTTCAATGTAATTTAAAAAGAACGTCATTAGCTATTAAGTTACTTGTATAGATTAGTACAGGATTTCAAAAACTATAATTTACATACTACTACTTGCGTAATACGAGTACCTTTAATCGCCTGTGTTCACGTAGAACATTTATTACAATTGGCAAAACCTGTCGACCTTGAGTGTAAAATTTAAGTTTACTTACTTAAACTGTAAAAAATAAAAAAACTAATACTGAACGTTAAAATAATCACTGAAAGCGATAGAATAATTTTTTAATTTAAAAAATAAATTTTCGCTAACTAATTTTAATAAATACGAATAGGTATAATAAAAAAATAAAAATATATTGATTTTCTGTTTTTGCAGACAGAATACTTATGAGTCACGTCATCCTTAAATATGTATTCAAATATTTATGTATGCATTGTTTCAATATAAGTTTTTTTTAAAACTAAAACGTTTCCCAAAATATGTCTGTAATATTTAATAAGGGTTCTAATGTGGATTCGATAAACGGTCTGGAGACCATATTATTTTTTAAATATTTACAAACTCGGAGGTATAGGTAATCTGAAATCACAAAGTCAGTTGAGCCATCTCGAGTCTCGACTCTCGTTGCTGTCTATACCATTTAATGTAACTTTTTCAGCATTACTAGTAACTTGAATAATAATCGTATCTACTACTAGAAATTTAGAAATTTGTTATCACGTTACAAATGTAATTCAAGTTCATTAAAAATGAAAATTTTAGTTCTATTGGGAGTAGCGCATACGTTATTGTGAAGTAGTTGTCAAGTTAGTATATTAATAGGTTTAAAATTAAATAAACCTTGGTTGGGGTACGCTATTGAAATACGGCTGAAGGTAAACATAGCTTAATATGCTTTTCCCTTATCACGTTTTTATATTACCGACCGGAAACGACAACGGGTATAAATTATAATATTTAAATAAATAATAAAATAATATGTTTATAGCTGTTGTTCACCTTTATTTTATTTGGTTTTAATATAATACGGTTACATTGATTATTTTTTACTGTATTTAATATTACTATAATAAAAATATTGGTTTTCAATGTTAAGAATTCGTTCAAACGACATTCATCTAAATTTAGTAATGACTGTTGTAACTTGTAAAAAAGAAACAGGAAAGCATTAGCGTTGAGAATAAGCAATTATTTCTGTACCGTGGATCAAAAAGGAGAATTTTCGTCAAACTTTTTGTTAGACTTCTAAACAATTAATTATTACACCCTTCCTAAAGGGGGAAAAATGGCATTCCCAGACCGAACAATTTTGCATAAATATATAACATAGCCTTATAGAAAATAAAAACTTGGCAAAAAACTGAGGTTGGTCCTTTTTGACTTGAAATTCAGGTACACAAGGTGATTTCTTTAGAGTTTAGGACAAGATATTTTTAATTTTTCAACATTTTTGAAATAAACCGAGAACGTTATGACATAATATGACGAATAACGTTTTAAATCTATTTGCTCCGAGAACGTTATATTACAATGAGTAAACATCACTCCCAAAAATGATGTAGATGGTTGTTTTTAAAATCGATACCGAATTTGAACCCAGTGGACCTAAAAATAAAGAAATCGACCAATTTTTAAATATTTCTTGTAATTAATAAATAAAAAATAGGTAATAATTATATATATATACAAATTTAGAATACAAATATATGATAAAAGTTATTTGGGTAAACGTTTTCTAGGTATTTAAAAATGAAATGTATAATATACTTATAAGTTATATCACTTATAAGTCGTTCTCAGAGCAAATACAATTATAACGTTTTTTGTTAAAATTTTCTCAGGGGGAGAGGGAAGTTGTAACATTGTTCCTTATTACGTTCTCCAAACATATTCTAATATTTTGTTGTGTTCCGTAAACTTTAATTTTTGAAAACAATTATATTGTTTTGCTATTTGTGATAGTTTGATTTTGGTACCGTAAATTTGTTACATATAATGATTTTTACTATGGACAAATCATCAAATTCAGTATTATTTTAATTAGGTATAATCAGGCTTTAGTATAGGTTCTCAGTTAATAAATGCATGTAGTTAGCCTTCGTTCAATTATTTTATTATATTTTAATTAAACATATTTAACTATAAGGAGTATGTAATTATTATAAATTCTGCTATACCAACTGGTATTATCAAGATTGCCCTTGAAATTGTATGAAAACATAGGACTGCGTATTTTGCGCATGCTCGCTGGGATAAGTGTGTAGTGTTAGTGGGTTGAGCCGGTTTTTCATTTCATTCTATAGAATATCCTGCAGTCAAATAATCCAACTTTTGTTTTCATTACAATAACAGCAAACGTTTCAATTACTATATGCTCATTATACTGTGTTCGCGTTGTAAACAATAACTAAAAGTGATATTTATTTACATACTTTTTTTTAGATAGCGTGTCTCATAAATTCATCCACGAATTTCCCACAACGCCATCAAGCAACAACACCGCGGCTTCGTTGACAGGTATTAATTATATTTCAACTTATTATTATTCACTATTGACAACACGATATATTTTTTTGCTATTCATAATACTTATACTTCCGTGTAGCAAATTGTGTAAATAAATTACTTCATTATTTAAAAAATAACATCATTCGTAATAATTGTAGGCAATATTCTTTTCAAGTAATTGCCATTAAACGTTTTTTAAGGATTCATACATTAACATTGTATTATATTAAAAGATTTATCTTTAATATAAGTAAATAACAATGCTATTTAATTAAATAAAAATATACCGTTTACATGATATAGGAAGTGGTCATTGCTCATTTTTTTTGAAATAAAGTTTTTTAATTTTTAAACATTTTAAAAATTGTACAGAAAAAGGACGTGCCTTGGATTTTTTAACTTTTTGTGCATAACCCTAACATCAGCGGTTATTATTTCTATTACGGTTTGATGGATTATAGTTTCGTTTGTAAAAGAACATGTACCATTTAAAGTAGAGGAGTAGAAATCCGATGACATATCAATTACGTTTTGTCCCCTTTTTGCTATTTGTAATGCATAGAATTTAGGATGCCCCACGAATGTACATTAATTTTTCATGATATCATATTATACCGTTATAAAATAAAAGACACCCCTCGAAGGACACTGGACAGTTTATATATTATTTAAGTGGATATTTTTGAAGACTTTTTATTATATAATAAAAAACTATTTTTTTTTCTCTACTATCCATGTCAATACAATTCCTTTCATTGTGTGTGTGTGTGTGACCTGGTCGATCGCAATGCCCTTCAATACTTCAGGTTTTATAAAGTTGCAGAACTCGGAAGGAAAACTAGTTTATGGTTGGCATATACGAGTGAAAAAATATTTAATAATCCAGACTCTGTATATACTATTTAGTACGTATATATAAATATATATTTAATTATACAGGGTGACCCATCTGATGTGTAAAGCACTAATTTTCTCGAAAAATATGAACATTTTGAAGAAGAAAATAATTTCTTATACTTGTAGATTCATATTTTACTATATTTTTCAACACTTAGAAAATTTTTATCCTCACCCCCTTTTACGGAATAAGACTATCAACTTTGTTTTTTTTTTTAATGTAAACACGACGTGTTTCCTAAGTCAATAACTGGGTAAAAATTAAAATTTGCAATTATCGTTTGAATTTTTCATTTTCAATAATCGGTTTTTAAAGAAAGTAATACTGAGCGAGTTCCCATTAAATAATATAATTGACCTGTCGATAACATTGTCGCTGATAATCGGACATAAATAACACTCGTTTCGCGTTTTTACGACTTCTAGTATTAGTAATAACGATAGAATATTGACAAAAGTTTGAAGAAAAATAAAAATACTTACTAAGTCGAAGCAAACGAAAAGATTAATGAAAATTCTCAAATATTTTAGTTGGTACTATAAAAACAACACATTAAAAACACATTATGTTGTTTTGTACAAACAATACACAAATCGACTGGACTTGTAAAAACAATAACAAAAATTACTAATATGGTTCAAAATATATATTATATTTTTATTGACTGTACAAAAAAAAGAATGTACTATTTGCATTACATCTAAAGACTAAATTGTATCCTAATTTAACATTCAGTTTTTTACTAAATTGATTGGAATAACAACAAGTAACTACTAAAATTATCATTCCAGCAAGTAGGCATAATTAAATTTGAACAGAACTGCAGTAAGCTAATCTTTAGAAACCGTTTGCCAGTCATGTATCAGTCACAGGAAGGTTACTGGTTAGGTTTACGGAAGGTGATTAATGATTGTGATAAATTTATAGCGTGATGAGACAGTTTTTAAAAATTGCAAACAAAAAATGTCCTGTGTCGTCAATTTCAGGAGCGGGGAGAGTTATGACCACCAGCCACCTAACCCACTTGTGTTTTTGTCCACCATTACATTTAGAGTTCAATAAAATTTAAAAGCTAAAAACAATTAATAAAACTTAACACGTTGATTGCCAACCGACGAGATGACTTGTAGTTGTGGTACTTTGAACGTGTTAACTTATAAGTAATAACGTAACAAAAATGCAAAAAAACGTACCTAGGAAATAAGCATTGTGTGCCCTGTCACAAAGTAACACCAATGTAAAATGAATATAATTCTCACCGAATTTCGTGGTCATAACACACATAAAATCACTATTAAAGTTCTCCGTGTTAAAGTATCGAAGTTAATTTTTTTAACTTTAAAAAAAAAAATTGTATAAAACTCTTAGACCTAATAATTTTAAAATTACAGGGTAATTTTGTTTATTTTATTTAGTAATAACACAGAACAGACCTAAATTATCATAAAGCGATAAATATTATATATATTTTGTCGTGTATCTATTACCTAAATGTTTAATAATAATTAATAATACCAAATCAATATAGCTTTTTTTCACGTACCAAACTAAATAGCAAATGCAATAACGTTTGTAGATAAATGTTAACAGTAAACACGTAAATTAAATTTAAAAAATTGATGTCATTTATTTGTTTAGCAATTGAATTTTGGATGCAAACCTATAATAATCATGTATTTTTGTTGCGTCCATTTCGTTATTTAATAACAACAATGTATAATAACAATGTATTGTAATATTGTCGTATTTTAAATGTCCGTAAACTTATTACTATCTATATAATATGATTAACAGCAGCTCATAACAGACATAAATTATTGTAATTAATGGTAAATTAATCTGGCAAACATAATAGTATTTAAGAAGTGATAACACCGTGTTATCACTTTTACGTAATCACGGGCCAAAGTCGGTGTGGCGCCAATGACGTCGGCCTGCCAATATTACTTCCTAGTTCCTGTTGTTACTCTTGTCTCTGTCCCCACTGTTGCACCTTGTGAGCGGTGAGGCTGTTAGTGTTGCTCGTTAGGTTGTTTAGAAAATAGTTTATACATAATTCTTAATTGGATTAAACGTATTTTTTGCGATCAGTTATTCGAAAGTCCCACGTTGTGTATCCGTCACTTGACACGGAGTTAAATACTGTTTCCATAAATATAAAGTTTTCATTTTAACTAAATGTGTATAACAAATTTATAAATAAAAAGATCTATGTATTAAAAACTATTGACTGTAAGTATAAAAGTTTAAATTATGTATACTTTCTATGACAGAATGGACCCTATGGGCGCATTACTCTCTACGCTCAACACTTGATGCACATCACTTTTTTACCCAGAATTTATAATTGAACAATTTTATAAATTGAATAGTATTTTTTTTTTTAATTTTATAGCGGAGTACTAAAAAGTATTATTTATTCATCTCAAAAAAAAAAACAGCAACTGTGTACTCTGAGAATAAACTACCAACGTTTAATATATGTTGTTTGTATTTTTAGGTTTACCAGTAAATGAAACAATGGCTGACTTTGGTGACGTATGTTTTCATAATTGTTATATATTATCTAATATGAGTTTTGTATAGTTAAAGACTTGTGCTATTATTTTTTATGTAGATTGTAGAAAAAGCAAGGACTGCTTTTAACAGCAATCAAACAAAGTCATTACATCTCAGAAAACATAACTTAAGACAACTTCTGAAACTCTTAAATGAAAACGGTTCCGACTTTGAAGTAGCGTTGGCATCAGATTTGAGAAAGGTTTATTTGATTAACTATGATAATATGTACATGTGAAACTTCTAAAAATGTTTATACGTGTATATTTTTTTTGTATATAGAGCAAACAAGAGGCAGTTATATTCGAAATTGATTTTTTAAAAAATGAAATTTTAAATGCTTTAGATTCATTAGACTCTTGGATAAAAATTGAGCATGTATGTTATATACATTTTTTCATACTGAATTCAGAGTTTATTGTTAAATTTAATGTTCTGTTAAATTTGTTTAGCCCGATAAACCACTCATTAACTTTTTGGATGACGTTCTAATTCATAAAGACCCTTATGGAGTCGTATTGGTAATTGGAGCTTGGAATTATCCGTTGCAACTAACCTTGTTGCCTGTGATCGGTGCTATAGCAGCTGGTAACAGCGTAGTTATTAAACCATCAGAAATAGCGCCGGCTACTGCAAAATTAATAGCCGAACTTGTGCCAAAGTATATAAGCAGGGATGCATTCCCAGTTGTTTTGGGAGGAGTTGATGAAACTACTCAACTGCTCAAACAGAGATTTGATTATATTTTTTACACTGGTTCAACTGCAGTTGGAAAAATTGTAAGACAAGCAGCTAATGAATTTTTAACTCCCGTCACGTTAGAATTAGGTGGTAAAAGGTATTGAATAAATATATATATATATTTTAGTTTTAAATAATTTCACCATTTCTATAATTATAAAATTATTTTAGTCCTTTATACATTGACGGAACAGCCAATATGGATATTGCCGTTAAACGAATAATGTGGGGCAAATGTATCAATGCAGGACAAACATGTATTGCACCAGATTATATACTGTGTACAAAAGAAGTTCAAACTAAATTTGTAGCTAAAGTTAAAGATACATTAAAAGCTTGGTATACTGAAAATGTGAAAAACTCTCCCGACCTCTGTAGAATCGTTTCTGAAAAACACTACAAGTATGTTTGATTAACGTTTATATACTTAAACTATAAATATAATTTATTAATTACATTTTAGGCGATTGGTAGAATTAATGAACACGAGTGGAACAATTGCTATTGGTGGTGGACATGACCAAAAAGAATTATATATTGAACCAACAGTATTAGTCGATGTGAAACCGACTGATCCCATAATGAAAGAAGAAATATTTGGGCCAATTTTACCAATTATGATTGTTGACAATGCATATGATGCAATCAATTACATAAATAGCAGGTAATATTTTGTAAAAAAAAATGTGTTAATTACATAGCATATTCCATATGGTTTATAAAAATCCATATAGTGAGAAAATGACTTTGGCAGAGTTATTAATTTTTTTACTTTATGGGTTTATTTACTTTAAATGAAAACTTGAAAACTACATTTTTTTATTTCAACACGATAAGACGAAAGGATTTAGAATAAAATTGTTTGAAAATTCAGAAAACAAATAATTAAAGTTGAAAACGGCAAATAACAAATTTTTATGTTTTATTATACTTCAGGAGTAAACCATTAACGTTATATTGTTTCTCATCTGACCAAGAAATGCAGAATTTATTAATGAGACAAACATCTAGTGGATCATTTGTCGTTAACGACACTTGTAGCCATTATGCCGGTAATTTGAAAAGATACATTTTTAAAGATAACAATAACTCCATTTACATGCAAACTACTTTACTACAAATTATTAGCTTAATTAAACTATGAAAAAATAACACATTGTAACATTGCTTGTATATATTTTAGAATTAATATCAATAGTATTCAGTGGCGTAGTCTTAATAATAATATATTCTATGTACATTTTAAGTTACTTGAAAATAAATATTAATTCATGTTAAATTTTGTGCTGGCTTACGTACGATGACTAACCATAATTACTGATATGCTAAAAAGACTAATTACAGTATTGTTTGTTACGTACGATGACTAACCATAATAACTGATATGCTAAAAAGACGAATTACAATATTGTTTGTTACATATCAAAAACACATAACATTATGTTTTTCGATAGAGTTAGTTTAAAAAATTTGTATAGTATTTGTTTTCAAAATATGGCCAAATGAATGGTACTGAAAAATGCCAAATGAATTTTATGGCGATGGTATTTACTATTTATAGTACATACTATTTACTAAATTTGTGCAGAAATCATAGTCCATTGGCTTTATACATATTTTCGAAAAACAAAGAAACTATTGACAGTGTAATCAAAAATGTGAGTGCTGGTGGAATTTGTGTCAATGATACTATTACTCATGTGGCTGGTGAGTAATAATGGTTTTGTGTGTGTGTGTGTGTGTGTGTTTGTGTGCAATTGCAATTGGTTTTCAGTTTTAATTAATTTTATAAACTAATTTTGGAATCATTTTGCAAAAGTTGCAGGCCTGAAATGAACGATTGATACATAACTGAGTATCCACATAGGTTCCATTTCATAAATATATCATAGTATAAAATTTGTTTTGCTTAAATTCAGTTAATAATTTTTGCTTCAGAATTTTATGTAATAAAAAGTTGATGTTTAAATGTTAAAACTTTATTGTTGGTAAATTTCATAATCCTTCTAATACATATTTTATGGGTTAAGATCATCCAAAGTTGTGTCTGATGACGTCTCGCTGTGAGATCTATTAATATTAGGTCTGCAACAATTTCTCTATTATTTGAACACTCAATCGTCTAACATCACAATTTTAATATCACTTACTGCAAGATTGTAGTTTAAAAATCACAATAGTAACACAAATATCAGTTTCTCACTTTTTCTTATTCTATTAAAAGTAACAAAATTTAGCGGATTTAATTATTTTTTTATTTTAAGTTGGGTTTTTTTGGGTATGCCAATAAAATCAGTTTTTCAAATATTTGTGTTCATTAAAAAAAAAAAACTGCTAGGTTGGGTTTTTTTTCGCCAACTCAGTTTGATTAACTAAATATATGCTTATGTATATTTGTGCATGCCGGGTGTATACTTACTTGTTTGATCTAATTCATTGAGGTAAGGGGAACAGAAAGCGCTATTTATTAAAGGCCAAAAGATAGGCAATATTTGACAAAAATTATTCTTATAGCCATTTAAAATATGCCAATTAATTTCAAGGTGAAATTATATTAAGTTTTTCTAATTATAATACTTTAAAAAGTTTTTTATTCCCGAGTTATGGCGAAAGTTAAGATAAAAAGTGACTTTAGTAGAAGTCATTTTCTGGCGTATCTGTTAGACGCATTTCAATTTTTTATTTTTTTTATTGAAGCTTACTATTTTTTCTATGGGAGCTCAAAGGCCGATTTTTGATTTAGCAATTAGAAAACTAGTTAGATTTACTATAAAAAAGTAAAAACATAAATGCTTATAAATTTTTTTGAAAATAAAAATAATAAATCAGTCTTTAGCCCCAATAAGAAATGATGTTAAACTATATAACAAAAAAAAAAAAAATTTGAAATCGGTTCGGTAGATACTTCAGAAAAGTGACTGCGTTTTTAAAAACCTCATTTTTTCATTAAAAATATTTGGGTTTATATTTTTATAACAATATATTATTGATGCATGATGTCAGGCTTACTAAAAATGTAAAGCTCTAATGCGCTTTGTCCACAATAGGAAGTAAAATCTCAAATTGCTACACGAACATTTTACGACTAGATAATGCACAGCAGTCCATCTAATATTGATATTGTCACGAATGGTGTATGTGCTACTACAATATTTAGCTGTAACATCTTTGTTTTTTAGTGCTGGTTATTTGCTCGCTGGGGTGGACAAGACTTAATGGACAGACTTTTTATTTATTTATCTTATATGTATGTTACTAATTAAAAATTTCAGTTGAAAATTTACCATTTGGAGGTGTCGGTCTCAGCGGAATGGGAGCATACCATGGAAAAAATTCATTTGATACGTTTACACATCGTAAAAGTGTACTTGTCAAGGATTTCAATATCATTGGAGAATCGTGTTCATCGTTAGTATTTTTAAAAATAATTGATGTGTATCAAAGATTTTTTGTTTACAATTTATTTGTTTGTTTTAGAGCAAAGTATCCGCCATATTCAGACAAAAAATTAAGTATGATATCTTTTCTGATGAGAAAGAAACCACACTTGAACTTCAAATTTGTGCCGTATTTGTTAGTTTTCGGTCTTGGAATTTGTGCGACTTTTGCGTTCAAACATTTAAACAAGGTAAAATCTAAGCCTTTTACCCGCTTTTAAACGGATCGCCCATATATTAACTATTGGTTACAAATGTGTTTAATCATCCAATTAATTGTAAGCCTTAATTTAAGCCATAATATGTTATTTTAACTTGTAAATCACATAAACTTGCATGGAAAATCGCTTTCACAATATAGTTTGAAATGATAATCATACAACCATTTGCATATTCTTCATTATAATATTGTTCATTGATTCAACTGTTAAATAAAATTTAATTTTTAATTGTGTATTTTATCCCTATATTATTCTTGCTATCATTATTTGAGTTCCAATTGATATCTATATAAAAATACTTCAGTAATAATATATAAACATACGATTCTTGTTATTTTTAAAACCAAACATATTTAGTTTACAAAGATAAATTTGTAAAACAAAATGACTGCCCACACACAAAAAAAAAAAAAAATAGCTTGGTGCAAAAAGTTTTCATTATAATCAAGTATTAATAAAAAGTATTAGATTTATTGCCAGTTTTTTAAAGGATATGATTAACATGGTGTGGTTATGGGATTTTTTAATGATATAAATGAAATATGAATGCTTTGATTTATAGTACATAGGTAATAATAAACATTAATCATCTTTTAAAATAATACACACATTTTTCTTTTCTATATTTAATTATATACAAAGTAATTGAGAATGTCAAATATGTTAAACATTAAAAAAAAAAAAACCTAATTTTATTTTAAATATTAGTCTTAGAGTTCATAATATATGAACTCAAAGACATTGAATTTTATAATTCGTGAATTATAAAATATAATATTATTTTAATAGTATTTTCTAAATTTCATTGAACATAGTATATAAATGTTTAGCTGTCTCTAAAATTAAAATTATGTTGATTTCAGGAAGCTGATGGAACTACAGAGTAAATTGTTAAAGAATAATACATAAATATATTATTGATTGTTTTTTAAATGTATAAATATTTTATAAACTTCTGCTGCTTTTATCATCGGCAATAAACCCAATATTGTCATATAGATGTCAATTGTGATTGACAGTGTATTATTAAACTTCAAAATCCATTTTGGAATAGTTTTTATAATCAAAAATGTAATTTTTAATTTAATAGACTGAATTAAACATTAAAAAAAAAGAAAAGTTTTTTATGTCATAAATGAATTAATTACTGTGTTAACTATTTATAAATATATTTTTTGGTGGTAGTTAAGACTTACTTATACATCATTACATTTTTAAATAACTCTATTAACGGAGTATAAATATTTTTCAAAAAAACAAAAGCAGAAATCAATATTAATTGTTAAATTTTATCATGTAAAATGATGATGAAAAATAAATTGCTTAACAAAAAACACTGTTACCAACAACAAGCAATCGTTTTATAATTATTTTTAATTGATACTTTTTTTACAATCACAATTAACGTGTACAAGGATTATATTGTATGTGATAATAAATATAAATGATAAACAAATAGTTCTTAATATTTTCCCCTCTCTAATAATTTTACCATTATTATTATTATTGAAATAAAAGAAAAACCTTATACATACACGACACAAAAAAAGGAATGGTTATCCAAGTCATAACCATTTTGGTCTAATAAATATACAGACATACATATATATATATATATATATATATATATATATGTATAATTAGGAAAAATACTCTGTAAAGATATTTTACAGCTCGGAGTGGAAATCTGAATGAAAGTCAACTGGTTCGTCTGTATGAATAAAAATTCCTTCCTTAACACGCCAATGTGTAGAGAATGGCCCAGGGTTCTTGACAGCAGCAATTTCTCTTTGACCGCTAATGGGTCGTCCGTATGACAAACTGGAAGCCATTAAATACCTAAAACAATTTCAACAGTTTCATAAGAGTTCAGTTGTGATAGAAATTTATTTATCTTTTATTTTAAAAATTAAACTATGATTTATTCAATTTTAGCAAGTTGCTTAAATATAGTATACATATAAACAGCGTTTGAAACACGTTCATTAAAAAGTTGTAACTTAAGTTTTTGCTAAGCTAAACTAGTTTAACTTTAACACCAAAATAAACTAACGTGTTAATGTTCATGAGATTAAACCTATACAGGACATAATGTTAATGTTGAAAAAAAAGGATTAAATATTTTATGCCGACTGTACTGTGCTTTAAAAGTGTTGTTAAAATATTATTACAATATTTCAATAATTTAATAAAACTTTCATAACATAAAATATTTTTATAATGTTATTAAACTATTTTGACAACAATTATTTGTTCCCTATAAGAATGAATGTAAAATATACAAGTCAAAAATTGTTATATTCTATAAAACATGTGGTTTCACAATTAGTTTATGAATTCATTCAAGAGTTGGATCAGTAAAAAAGGTAAATGCTTAGAATAAGTTGTTCACATCGAAACTAATTTCAAGAGACACTTAAAAGAAATTCTACATAAGTGTTTCATTATTGTGAACATTTGTGTGACAGACATCAATGAATTGAGGAGAGGTTGGAATCAGTTGGTCATGAATGGTTCGCAAACAAAAGTTAATATAAATAATATAATGTAAAGTAATAAATTTATAATTTTTTATGTTATATTGTGAAACAATGTATGAAAATGACTTTCTGCACTCTATATATTTCAATGATACAAATTAAACATTTTTAGATTACACTTTTAGTTATACTCAATGTTTTTTTAAAATTGTATTTGTGCTTATACTCAATATTTATACTTATACTGAAAATATTAATTTATTTATAGTATTTATACTTACGCTCCAGTGTCTACATGTCTTAATTGTACGTCATCATCTCTTTCCCAAAAATCTCCTCCACAATCGACGAACCAGTGATCTCCTGAATCACCTTCCCCTTTATTGCCATAGGCTGAGACTTCTTGGTTGCCAGATAAAGGAGAACTGAATAAATGGGAATGAAGATTTTTTTTTGTCGTCAAATGTGTAAGTCTGATAATGTCCCCACATTTTATTGGCTCACTATGGATTTTTATAACTCCAATTAACTATTAATTTAATAAAATACAATTATATTAAAAATTTACCCTCTTTTGCAAATTTTTTTGGTTGCTGCTTTTATTTCCCAATGTGAATTTATGTCTTCGGCTAACTCTGTTCCTGTAACGGATTGCTGGCCACTGCCAGCCCCATATTTAACGTCGTGAGAATGAAGTCTCACTTTAAGATCAGAATTAAACAATTTGGCAACTGAGCCACAAGTAACATATTCCACTTTTTCACCTGTTAAAATCAGAAAATTAAAGTATATTATTAATTGTAAAGTGAATATTACCAGTTTCTTACATTCAATCCAGTTGACGAACAGAAACGTCATGAAAAACAAACCATACTTAATATCTAAGAAGTTCACCATATCAATAAATTAAAGTAACTTATAAAGTGTTTCAATTAAACTATCTCGGTTGCCTAAATATAGTTTTTTTACAGTTAATAATTATAGTCTCGCAGTTGTGAATCACAGAGGAAAATTATATTATGATGTGTACTTGCTTACAGACTACGGTACTAGTGTTATCAATTATCAGCGAATTTAAAAAAACCACATCATACAATTTTTTATCACAAAGACTTGACGCCGCTAATTTATGAAGTTAGCATCGAGTTTTGGTTGTTACACTGTTATTGTAAATCATTGATTATAAACGTAACTAATAACAATGATAGTAGTTCTGAGCTCGGCCATACGCGGAACCGGGGGCGGCGTATCTCTGAAAAAAACGTGTTCTATTAATCTATTATAATAATAATACGTTTTTATAGTACGTTTCACGTTAATAGGCAATATAATAATCCTCTATTATATCCTTTCGATTTGGCATTTTATTATTTTTTTGACACTGGGTTAAGCACGATCAACATTCTTTTGAGTTTACATACAAATGTAAATACGTTTAAAATATCAATTCGTTATTTAAATTTGGATAATGACACCGAGTTTAATAGATATTTTTCGTTGTTTTAGATATGGAATTAGGAACCTAACTTATTACTATAATATGGAAAGATGAATAAAAAACCAAAAAGAAATATCAACTCGATTACAAGACGTAGAATTCGTTCTAAGAAAATTATAAATTTTAACAAATGGTTTAAGAAAGAACACGATTACTGTTTGCCATATGAAACTAATGATGAAGTAAGCAAATGACACAATTAAAAGTCCCGTTAGCAGTGCGCCGTGGCATTTGCACTAATTTTAATCTTGTGTGGAAAATTTTTATTTTGCCTGTTGTATTGATAATCAACGAGAATAATCCTGCTAGATTTGCACATTTATATGCAGCGAGTTGTTTTCAAAAAATGCTGTGTAAATCGTATGGGTGCCACTATTAATAGGTTAAACAATAATTATTTTTTAGATAATTGATGAGAAAAAAGATTATGACGAACTAAATAAGTCGTTAGATATAGATTCCGCTCTTTCAAATAAATCTAAAAACACATATTTAAAAAAGATAAATGTTAATAACAAGCTATCAAGTTGCAGTTTATATGCCATAGATTTAACAACCGAGTAAGTTGTATAGTTTAATTTTATATTTGTTTATTAAATAAACCTTGTAATTATAGGCGATTAATCAATATTCCTGTTACGATTAGGTTACTTAAAGATGCTTTGTTAGAAAATCAGAAGAAACAAAATCACGATCTTTCATCAAAAACTAAGGATGTAAATAGTTCTACGAAACAAAATATGATTAAATCTGATATTGAAAAACCCAATATCATACAACATATAAAGTAACTATTAAGTTCATTTAAAATTTATCTGCTAAAATATTACAATTGTTGATTTATAAAATTTAACTTTATATCAATTCTAAGACTAGAAAATGAGAATATTCTTCATACGGTCGATGAAAGAAACCAAGATTTATATTTATTTGACCAATGTACACCTACAAAATTACTGTTAGAAAATGATATAAGTGGATCTCCAATGGAAATTGATGAATTGGGCAGACTGTTTCCAATTCTCGATTATCAAAGTGAACACTGTTTAAAAGAGTAATATATATATTACTATATATTATATATAAAAAAAAAAACATGCCAATTGAATTCATGAAATGTTTTATTATTAATATGTATTTATTTTTTTGTTTAGAAAATTGGACGATAATGAATTGTACAATACCAGTTCTAATCAACATGCAAGCCAATCTGAAATCAAACCTCAAAAGGACTCTGAAATTTGTACAGTATATGACGTTCATCCTAGTTCACCGAGTCCATTATTTGAAACTAATAATAGAGTCGCCAAAAGTTGTATTAATGTTAGCAAACCTGCTGTTCATAATAACTTACCCTCACCCACTAGACCGGCATTAATTCGATCTCCTTCTCGGCAGTATTTGAATATATTTAATCGATATCAAGTAAGAGAACATTTTAACTCTAGTAGGAGACTAAAAGTTGGAAGATATATTACTTACCTAATCTTACATTGCTTATCCTCATTGTAGGGGCGTACCAAAGAATATTTTGTTGAACAAACTGAAGATCCTAGTACTGTACTTCTGAAGGACCTTTTATGCGGTTCCAAGCCAAAAACAATCATTAGTCCATACACTCATCGGTAACAATGAATTACTTTGATTTTTATTTTATAAAACTTCCTAGTTTAGTTTCCTTAACTATGGACGCTAGAAGAAATAAGTAGATTTTGCGTATTGTGGAGGTGAACAACCTTTACTCTGCTATATTTAGGAATTAAATCAAATATTTCTAGTATCATGTTTGATGGTCTTTAATTAACTGTGCCATACAGGTTGACAAATTAAAAAAAAATTGCCACCTTAGTCAGCCTATGGCGTAATTCCAAAAAGTCTTTTTTTTTTTTTTTTAAATTATGAGGACAAAAGGTATTGATTGATATAATACATCCATCCATATTTTATTGTATATTATTCAGCATGAACAAATTCCACTCCCATAGACATTAATGATTTTATTTTTTCGTTAACCTGTAAAATTTGATATTTAGGTGTTAGGCACGTTTCACACGAGCCACTTTCTGTGGTATCACAAAATGTGGCGTGACTTAACCTAACCTAACCGACCACCAAGACTCGTTTGTGGTGCGCCATTTCTGTGGCGCGACATCATGTGAAACCATCAATTCAAAACAATGTGTTTTTATCAGTGGCGCCACAGTGTCTTCTCTGTGGCACCACAGAAAGTTGCTCGTGTGAAACGAGCCAAAGTCCAATGCTAAGTAGGCTACAGTTCCCAGAACTCTACCTAAAACGGAAAACTCATTATTTTAAATACATTTTTTTTTAGATATTTGAAGCCTTATATCTTTAAAGATCCAGACACCAAACCCTTATGGTTGCAAATGCTCAAGGATATAAGAAAAAACTACAAAATTAAAAACAAATTGCCTGTCGGTACAGAAACTGAAACAATTGACTATAGCTATGTACGAGCAAAACATATTAATTCTGTTAACTTATTAGCGAGGGAACATTTTTGGCCTGGTATTGACAGTAAGTCAACTGTAATTGAAGTTATTAATTATAAACAAAACAACGTAAAATAATTTTAAATATTTTAATACGGGTTTTAAATTTTACCTTATTATTGTTTATTCACTTACTAGTGACTGACAGTCTGCTATACCCGGATTTTAGTGTCGTCGCACTGTACAAGAACTTAGTTGTCGGGTTTGGTTTTATGGTACCTGATATAAGTACCAATGAAAATTATATAACATTTTTATTCACACGTCCACACTGGACAAATTGCGGTATTGCTACATTTATGTTATACCATTTAATTCAGGTATTTTATTTGTTATCCATAATAATTTTATGCCCCCCCCATATAATTTTTTTTTCTTCTTGCAGACTTGTATGACAAGAGATATTACTTTGCATGTATCTCCTACTAACTCTGCATTATTTCTCTATCAAAAATTTGGATTCAAAATAGAAGAATTTGTCCAGAATTTTTATGACAAATATATACCAGGAGAATCTAATATGTCAAAACATGCTTTGTTTTTACGCTTACGTAGTACTTTACGAAGTAAATAATTGTTTCATAAACTCTAATCAAAGAGTATCAAGTTATATGTTATGTTTTTTATGTGTACTTAATACTTTTTATTTTTTTAATTATTGAGTTTTTTTTTTTTTAAGTACTATTGTGTTTAATGTATTAAAATGATGTGGTGAAAAACCAAAAGTGTACAAGCGATTTTCGTTAAACTTTACAAAAAACCTTGTTAAAAAAAATATTATTATGAATGAATATTCAATAAATATTTATTAGTTCATTGAATCTAGTTATTAAAAAATAGTTGGAAAACAAATACAAAAATTGTTATCATTAATCACCGTGTCGGGTTTCGAATGCCAGCTGAGAAGTTATAAAACTGAAGGCTGAACTACGAAGCGGTTATGGTCGTGTCACTCGTTTCTAACATCAATCGGTAACCCCGCGGCCCGAGTCAGTCTGAAACATTGCAACCGCCAAAAGTATGTTATTGTTCACGTTCATATTTTATTGTACTAGGCAGTCGGAGTGTTTTTCATTTGATTTTAACTTTACCACTTATATAATAATATTATTTCCTTAGTTCGGTAGGAATTATTTACGTTTTGTATGGTTTATCTGTTGTGAGACTAACAGGCCAATAAATATCTGCTGGGTTTTAGTATTTATCATTAGTAATTACAAAAAAAAATATCCGAGTAGTGAGAACCGGGAAGCAAATACTTATATAGGTATTTATTTTAATGTAATATCAGTTTTTTAATATTTCCGCTAAGTGATAAACCGCATTTGCAGCAATCACGTCGCATGTGGTTTTTTTTGTTTACCTAGTTGTGTTTTTTAATTTTCACGTATAATTGTTTTTGTCAGTATTTGGCCACGACAATGTCGGATAAACAAATATATTATTCGGAAAAATACTACGACGACAAATACGAATACAGGTTGGTGGAATGAAGTACAAATAATACGTATAATTACATTTGATCTGGGAATTGCAAAATCGTTGTTAATTAATCTACACTGCAAGTGTTTGTGTCTGGTGATACGAATATATTATATTTATAATAAATATATATTTTGTCACTTCTTTTAAAATTTGATCATTTTTAAATTTTAATTCGAAGATAGAGAGAACATAAGTGTAAAAGTTTTTCTTATTGATCATTTTTTCTCTATATATTATTACATATATCTCATGTTTAGGAGCTCCAGCTGTGCTGAAGCTCTGAATGCCTCAGAGGCACCCGGGCCCGAGCATTTAACACTATATGTAGGAATTGCTAGGGGAAAACAACTATAAAATTTACAAATCATATTTTTTTGGAGGCCCTTTAGTTAGGCCGAGGCCGAGCTGCATTGCAATATGTTAGTTTTAAATTATTTTATTATAATTTATAATTGTTTTGATAAAAGTTTTTGAAGATTTATGGGGTCTAATAATCTTGGTTATGTTAAGGTTAAATGTTCATCGGAGTTGGGTTTTATTTATTATCATTTCATATTTATTGGGAGAATAACATAAAATGTAATAACATGTTTAATTAGAGGTTTTTCCATTTGTATACATTATAATTGTATATTATATAAAAATTAAACTATTAATATAGTAGGTGATTATCAAGTATTCCATGTAGACCTACAAAAACAAAATGTACCTACAAGCTCCATTAAATTTGACATACTCTTCATTAAAAAACATCTGTGATCATGTGATTAATAATGATAACTCTAAAAACTCAAGTGTATGCTAAATTTTACATAAACCTATACTTGTAGTAAACATTAACAATGGTAAAACATTGTATTTTATAATTTATGACTTAAATGTTTTTAATTTGTATTTTTATAGACATGTAGTTTTACCAAAGGAAATGGCTAAGACTATACCTAAAACACATTTGTTGTCGGAAGACGAATGGAGATCAATTGGCGTACAGCAAAGTAAAGGATGGGTACATTACATGATTCATGAACCTGGTAAGTTCTCGGTCAAAACAATTAAACCTTAAAAGGCACTGTAAAATGTATTTGTTTGCATATTTAGTTGGGTTTAAACATGTATAATATTAAGTTTGATTTTCAAACTAAACAATTTTGTCACATTATTACTTTACATGTAATAGAAAATTATTGCTTCATGTATTGCCTCTTATTTATCTCTCCAGTGCAGACTCATCGTTTGTTAATTATAGTTTTTTTTTATTAAGTTTCTTATTGGCTTATAATTATATTTAAGTAGTGTATACATATATTATTATTTGTTGTTCTATAATATTATGTATACCTGGGACCACTATGGACTGAGTAAAACATTACTCATTGATATTATCATGTTCTCTTAATAATATATGTATTATAGCAGCGAGTAAATAGTTGAATATTACTGTTAAATTTTTAGGGCAAAAAGTCTCAGTATCTTTTCTAGTGAATGGATTTTTAAAATTTTGGATTAATTTAGTTGGGTTCTAATAAAAAACAATTTAAAAATGTATTAAAGCTTAACGAAAACTCAAGTAAATAAGAGTAGGAAAGTAGTCATTCCGTAGGAAGTATGCCATAGAATTTAAATTCAAATACGATTAAGATATTGCCTATATCCTAATCTCCTAAAGGAAGACATATTCCAATCTCTAAAGGTTAAATTTTAATAATTATTAGTAATTTGTTTTTGTTTCGTTTCCAGAACCTCATATTTTGCTGTTCAAAAGACCAAGAACAAATTAAACTGCTAATACTCATTGTTTTTATGACTATGAAGTGTTACTTGAAAAAGGAAGGAAAATATATGAAAGATGAATTTCTTAAGTTTTCTAATGTTCTATTGTACATAAAATCCAATGAAAATGCTGAATCTAAATCAAATATATTTTAATTATTATTTAAGGCTAAAAATTGTTTGTTTCAGCTTTTTCTTGACTAAATATTGTTCACTCTGTTATGTAATATTTTTAAAAATTATTGAATTTTTTAAAAGTAAAAAAAGTAAATAATAATAAAATGAATTGAACACAAAGTCAGCTTTATTATAAGTAGCATCATAAAATCATCTTAAGCTTACTTGAATATCTGTATATTTTTAAAAATAAATCTAAAAAATATTTTATTAAAATGCGTACTTAATTTAATTATATTAGGCTTATCATAATACTATAACAATTTTTTATTAGTACACATAAGGTTAGTTGGATACTTTTCTGGTGTCTAATTGTACTTCTTGTTGCAACTTTGGTGGCAGTTCTCGGTAAATGGTTTCAGGTATATTATCTAATACAAGGTAAATAAATGGGATTTTTAGTATTTTAATTAAATAACTACTAATAATGTTTCGCTTACCATTACAACGGTAGACCAAGTCAGACCATATGATCATTTCTTGTGAGAAGCAGAACACACCCAGTCGACCTCCTTTGAAAGTGTAGTCGAATACATTTCCTGAATCAGTGACCATGTTTTGTCCTTCAAAAATTCTTAGTCTGATAAGACCAATTTTAGGTCTGTGCAATAAAATCCACCTGTAAGCAGTTTTGCCTTTCCATCCGATGTTACGCGGGTCTTTCCATAAGAGTTTTACCTGAGGTTGATGATAATATTTGAGTAAGTACTTTTATGACTAAATGCAAAACCAGGCAAGCTCACTTGTTTATCTGTGCTATCGGTGTTCCATAAGGAGTTGCGCAACATCTGTCCAGGTCCCGTCTCCGAGTGTACTGCTTTGATCTGGATACCGGGTTCAGCTACAGCTCTGAACGGCGTTGCCTGCCAGTACGTCTGCGTGCCCTTTTTCCACATGACTGTATAAAATTTGTGATTGTCTTGGTAGCTGAACACGAAACCCACATAGTCATCGTCAATGTCTGTGTCTACGAAGAATGTACCCTCGAAGTCAACACCTCCAAAGGAGTCGTACCCTGAATGTATAAACATCAGTAGGTAAATTATTTGAATTGTACATATTTTTTTTTAACATTAAAATGCGGGGGGTAACCTAGAAACGAATGCTCTTACCTACAGCCAGACCGGGGTCGCTGTTCATGGTCTGTACGAATTCGGCTCCTTTGTTGTACACCACCCAGTTAGGATCGATCTGAGAATCGCCTTCGGGGTCCAACACAACAGTCTGGTACGTTCTGAAGTCTGTGGTAAATATCTTTGAGTTGTTCGGGCAGTTGTCCAGATGGTTGGGTACGGTATCCAGATCGAAATCGTCTTGGCATACGTCTCCGATACCGTTGCCTGAGCGTACACCGGAAGGGTTTTAATTAAAATTGTTCAAACAAACTGGTCGCAGATTAATAATGGTTACCGTTTTACTGACCGTCCAAATCTCGCTGGTCCGGATTGTACACTAGAAAACAGTTGTCCGCCGAATTGGATATGCCGTCGTTGTCGCAGTCTGGATCGCACTCGTCGCCTTTGCCGTCTCCGTCCGTGTCCAATTGATTCGAGTTGGCCACTTTAGGGCAGTTGTCGACGCTGTCTTGGATTCCGTCTCTATTATAAAATCAAATAAACATTATAATTTTCTTGACGACTCAAGTTGGCAGACTAATTGACGCACTTGTCTCTGTCGATATCGCTGTCACAAGCGTCTCCTATTAGATCCTTGTCCGTGTCCGTTTGGGACGGGTTGGCCATGGTCGGACAGTTGTCGCAAACGTCGCCCAAGCCGTCGCCATCCGTGTCCCTTTGATCAGGGTTCACTTTTTTCGGACAGTTGTCCGCCAGATTCAACACTCCTAAACAATAATAGGGTTGAGATAATTACCAAGTTTTAGATGAATTTAGTATTAAGTATCATGTTTATTATCCAATGTTATCTGAATAGATTTAATAACTGTATATTGTTTGGAGTTTTACAATGTTTATCGACTGATTTCGATAGATTTTTGGTACATTGTGTTAAAATATAATAAATCGAGAACTTATTTAATAGAATTAATTTGGTAATTGTTCGTTATATCTTGTAGTATTTTTTGGATTGTCTTATTCATTTACATATAAGTATATTGTGTAAGTATTATTTGATGTAGTCTACTCTTATAAAATGCATTATTTTATTATTTATTATCCAGACGCTCGTTTAACGCAGTTGACAATAACGATCAAATCCAAAAATATCCAGATGTAATTTTTTTTAATCCAGCAAATTTTTTTTATTTTATAAAGAAAGGATTATTTTGGGTTTATGTATATAGGTACTTAAAACACCCAATTGGGTCGGATATATAATTTTAGAAACCCAGGCTTTTGCCAACTATGGTATAGCGCCTAACATTGTCGTTTGTCAATACTGTACCATCGTTGTCTATGTCTGCGTCACAGGCGTCTCCTATACCATCTCCGTCCGTGTCATGCTGATCCAAATTGGGTATCGTTGGACAGTTGTCGCAAGCATCGCCTTTCTTGTCCGCTCCATCTTGGTCGGAATCTAGCTGGTCCGGATTGGACACCAACGGACAATTATCCTGTGGACGACCAATGAATGTATTTTCTATTTTAGTATATTGATAATTTCGGATCGCTCACAAATTCACTAATTCTTAAGCGTTTAGAAATCTCTGACATTTAGTTCTAAACACTATATACTGATCCCCGGACCCGTGATAAACCCATTAAACTTGTTAATACTAGTTGATTAGGTCAAAAGCTCACCGGAGTGTTTGGAATACCGTCGTTGTCGGCGTCTGGGTCACAAGCGTCTCCAATATCGTCGTGGTCGGCGTCCTCTTGTCCCGAATTGGGTATATTCACGCAATTATCCTGTTATTCGAACACAATATGAATAAACTACCGTATTTGTTGGCCGCAGGTCCTATTCTGGAAAATGGATGAACGTACCTTTTTACAGCGCGTATCGCTGCATCCGAGGTGCGAGTCCGGCCATCCGTCTAAATCCGTGTCCTGTCCACATACCTTTCCGTTTCCTGCCCAACCGACTATGCACTATAATCATAATACAATTGTGTGATGTGTACAACATATAAATACACAAAGTAAAATTGTATAGAACGATAAATGAAGTCGGCAATGGTGCATGGAAGTGTAAATGTGCAAGTGTGTATGAAATAATTGTGTGGAGTGACTAGAAGTATATGAGTGGTAGTTTGAAAAAATAAGAGTTAACAAGATAGGAATGGTTTGGACATATCGGCAGAAGGGAGAAAAATAAGTTAAGAGATTGCGGCAGAGGGATTCTGAAGTGGAGGTAGACCGACGATAGAGCTGTGTGGAATGAATAAAAAAATTGCAATAGATATAGATTTCTAGAGAGAGCGGATTTGGCTAGCCGACACCATTTGTATGAGATAAGGAGAACAAGAGTAACTCTTTACAAACTACTAGTGTGTATTGGCGTAACCAAGAATCATTTTTTCGGGGAGGGATATGTCGGGAAACAGATACAAGACAATTTTGGAAGGGGAAGCTATAGTTCTAAAACCTTTCTGGTTGCAATGCTTGTAAAACCAAAATAGGCAATTTTTCGAATTACCTCGCACGAATATTTTCCTCGGGTTGATCTGACGCATTGGCCGTTTCGGTCACATAGCGTACCGTCTGGACATACCCACGGAGTTTTTACATAGTTTCCCACGGACAAACAGCCCAACGATTGATTGCCAACGAAGCCGGATTGACAACCACCACAGCGATACGACCCCTACAACACATTATAATATGAAGTCATACCGATTTACAAATTTGTTTTTCTCCGGGATAAAATTATTGCACATGCGAATGCATCAAACTATTACTTCGGTATTGATACACTGGGAGTGCATGGCACATCCGCCGTTATTGCCGTCGGCACATTCGTCAATATCCACGCACTGATGACGACCAACGTCTGTTCTTTTAGTACCTTCGCTTCCAATACCTTGAGTTGGACCCACGCTGGTATAGCCCGGCGGACATTGACCGCACCGGTAACCGGGTCTTAGGTTGAGGCATTGTACTCGAGGGTCGCATGGCTCATCAAGGTCACACTGAAAATATCTTGTGATCAGCCGAGATAGACATATTTTATTTTTCAACCTAAAAAGTTCTTATAAATATAGGTGGGTATGTCTTACTTCGTCGTAATCCACACAATTCGTTCCGTTTCCGGTAAAGCCAACTGGACAACTTCCGCATTTATAGTATGGAGGTTCTTCGCAAGGTGAGCAAACCACCCCTAAAACACGCACTAGTTGAGTAGTTATCCTGCGTATTTAAGAATAGTTGATTGCTATACCTCAATATAAATTATAAACGTTTCTCACGTGTGTTCTTATAAGTCATACACAGCCCAACAAATCCCAATCTACACTCCCTCATATTTTCTGACACTTAGCTTATCCACTTATATATATTTTATTCTTTATCTTATTCATTTTGGTCATTCCATACATTCACTCTAACATTTTCATCTCAGTAAGTTGAAATCGGTATATTCTGTGCCTCATCTTTATTCTCTATCTAACATCCCGCGAACAGTAAAATATAACAGGACTGGTCTCCACCTTATTATAAAATCTTCCTTAAAACTTCGTTGATCAATTTTATTTGAGATACATAATTGTTACCTTGAGAGCATGGGTTCGCATCACATCCACGAGGACGACATGTTTTGCCATCACCAACAGAACCATCTGGACAAGGACCACATTGGAATCCTTCTACCGTATCGTAACACTTAACGCCTAAAATTATCAAAAGTGTTTTCCGTCTCCTTAAGGATTGTTGATATTGTAGTAGCAAAAAATACTTACCAGGAGCGCAAGGTTTAACCGAACATGTTCTTCCAGGCTTGCAAGTCTTACCGTCGCCTACTAGTCCTTGAGGACACCGTCCACACCTTGGACCATCTGGTGAGTCTCTACACTCCGATCCGGGATAGCAAGGCGATGGGTTGCTATTACAACTGGGTCTTGGTGGAAGAACAATTGGTGGCCTTGAACCTAGCATAATACACACAGTTCGTTTTTGAAACTTCTTCATTTGTTTTTATTAATCAGGGACTTATAATCAACTACTATATGTATAAGAATTGCTATTAAGTATTCCATCCAAGGATATTTACACACACAATTTAGGTATAATTTCTATTACACAGGTGCACAGGTTATAATATTTTTACAGGGTATCATACTGTTTACCATTTTTAGTTTTTATTCAAACGTTTAAGTTGTGTGCTTCTTGCGCGGATCGTACACAGTATTTTCAACATTTTACCAAAATCGCACCTCCGATAAAAATATAATAACTATTTTTTAAATATATTTTTAGTATATAAACATTATGAATCATTTTACGAAATTTAAAATATATTTTGTAATTTTTCTGTCACTAATTACTACCGAAAGACAAGTTTACGGAATATTGCGTGGATACTACGACTCCAAGTTTACATATTATTATGTATGTTTTATTAAATTTGTTCACACAGGTTGTAGTATTTAAACTACCTACTAAATTAATTTTAATGTAGGCTGATTGTCGATTGATACAAGTTATTGAATGTAAAGTGTGAAATACTATGAATAACTGAAAACTGATGAGTGACGAACGTTTTAGTTAGCAACATACAAAATGAAAACCACCTGATAACATCAACCAACTATGATTTTTCGCAGTTGTATAACATTCTGAGACATCTTTACAAACATTGTAAGTTTTATGTGTATTAACTACTTAGGTATTGATTACCTAAATAATGAGAAGTATAGTTAATATAAATAACAAAGTGATAGGTACTAAGGTACCAATTGAATAATAATTAAAATCATGATAAAACAAATTATAAGTAAGATTAAAACGATTGTCACTTATCTGTCTTACTAATATTTTGTACCTAAACTTTAGTATAAGTTATAACTTATAATCGAGTAACATGACATCTGTGTTTTTTTAGAGTATTATAGATTGGGCTTTGTAGTTTACAGTCAATGGTTAATGTAATAAAGTTGTTATTGTTCAATATAGAAAATAATAAAACTATTGCATTTCTTAGCAACAGGGAAAATAGTTACAAATGTTTAAAAAAAAAACATGTTGGTTCGGTAAACTCTGAAGCCCGGAGAGTAAACAAGTAAGTACTTAAGTTTGGACTACGCATATGGTATAATACCTCAGTAAAATGGCTTAAAGTAATATATTTATTATGTATGTCAAAATAAAATATTAAACATTTTTGTATGTTTATCGTTTATTAAATTATGTATTTTTATGTGTTACATACATCTATAACAAAATGTTTGTTATTATTCATGAAATACAAAAGTATATTACATGTCTATTATATTCATTATGATTTTTATAAAAAATGTTTCTGAAATTCGTGTTTGTTCAGATAAATTTAAAAGTACTTGTCGGGTGGTGTATTAAATTAAAAATATGTTGAGGTTAATGCTTTTTCAGTGTACCTACCTAAAGTCTAAATTTAAAAATCAAATTTAAAACAATTTAATTGACGCTTAGTGTTTAAATTTTTTTGCGATATTTTCTATTATAACAGCTAAAAATTGTCAAAAAGCGAAAAAATGATAGGGTTTCAAAGTTTTAAACATTTTTTTAATATTTTCTAAACAGCTTGTGTTCAAAAATTCAATATTTTAAATGCTGTTAAAAAATTATCAACATATGCCAACTACATTTGCTGTCTGTGATAGGTAGGTAATGTGTAGATATTATTTTGCAAGCCCAGAAAAGACCAGCCTTGGATCGAAATATTTACACGTTTAATATTTTATTCTACTTATAGTCACATAGTTATTTACACATACATACTTATTAACCAAGGCTGGACTTAGTGGGTGTTTAATTAAAATAAATGGAAAAAAAAACAACTATGCAGAAAATTAATAAAAAAAAAAGTTTTATTGCGATAAAAAACACAACGTTTCATTAGGATTTAGGTTACAAATGAGCAAAATTACTACATCCGACTTTTACGTATATTAATGAGAAGTTAGTAGTAGAATTAAAATTAAAAAAAAAACGACGGTTTACATGTAAACCACTAATTATTGATTTATAAATCAAATAACTAGAGTCGAAGTCCAGCCCTGGATCACTGTGAACCTATTTGCCCTTGTTCATCATACCTGGCCTGCAGAATTCATCGCATTGTTCTAGCAGCTGACGAAGTTTGTAAATTTCGAGACGCTATAATATAATACATACACAAAATTCCGGCTTGATTAATAACACATAAACCATTGTATGTTAATATTATACTGTATAAAATGCTACTCACTTGAGCTTCGACTTCTTCTTTAAGTTTTTTCACCACTTGGATCAGGTCGTTAATGGTTTTCACAAAGAATAAATCTGAGAGCAAATAAAATTAAGTTTTCTTAGAATGTGTGCACAACACCAAGGCTCAAATATTTGTTTAACACATTATACTCACCATCACAATCGTGATTGAATGGAATGTCACCTGTAAATGTATTATAGTTTATTAGTATCCAGTGTAAAGTTAAATGTATGTATAAAAAAGTATAATTGAGAATAAGTATAGTGGAAATCAGAATGCATTTATGTTGCTATTAATTTAAAAACATAATTTGTTTAATAAACACGAGTATACCATGACCATTATTTAACATAATTATGATCTCCATTTCGTGAATGTGTTAAGACTTTCATGGATTGAACTATTAGTTTGATCATATTTGGATCTATCCATGTTGTTATTAGTTTCTTGAAGTTTCGAAACCACTGCAAAGTCCGTCTTAGAGAGACAGTCACTCTGAAGATGGGGTTTGCAATGAGTTTGAAACGTCAGTTTAAAAATAGTAACATGGATAGATCCATTAATGATGAAACTAATAGTTCAATCCATGAAAGTCTTAACACATTCAAGAAATGTTGACTATAATAATGTGTATTAGACAAATTATATTTTTTTAAAGTGAGAACATTTTTTTTAAAATTGATAAGTAAGGCTTTTACACTTTATATGGATTGCTGGTGTAGATACACAGAGAATATTAAAAATATTGAACATTGTTTTGCTATCGGTAAATATTATAATTATAATTTAGTAGCGGACCTAAAACTTAAAAGTTCCCAAAAAGATTGCATATTATTGTAGATTATAATTTATATTGTTGCCCGTTGGTTGTGTTTACTATTCTGTTATCATACCGATAAAACATTTAAAAAAAAAATTATTACATTGTAAGATAATTATCTACACAATATAGTTCTTTTTTTTTGCTAGCTCACCTCTACCACTAGGAGTTAGTCTAATGCCACCTGGGGTTTCGTTGGCTGGTTGTGCTTGCATAGCGGCCATCTGTTCCGTTTCCGAACTACTTTTATCATCGACCGGACACTTTTGAGCTGACAGGGCAGTTTTCCAATCGGTGTCCGGAAAGACTTGTATTGTAAATCGTTTGTCGTGGGTCTGCAATAAAAAAAAATTAAAAACATAGGTAACCAAATATTTTTGTTTAAAATTTTACTAATCGTCATCAAGTCAAACTTTTAATAGCAAAATTGTACTGTACACATTACACAATAAAATATTCTCTACAAAACGGATGAGGATAGGTACAGACTACAATATACACGATGTATACTATTTACTTTGAATAGCACATCTGTCGATGGATATAATATAATATGATGTGTCTAGGGTACAGTCATGTAAATACATAACACAATAGAATAAAAGTTATGGAAGTATATTTAAAGAAAAGCCAAAAACGGTAATGCTTAATTAAAAATATATATTGAAGGTCTAAACCAAACTTACAAATCGCATATGTTAATACAGTGTGTGTTATGTAATTGTAATGGATGCTACGTGATCATAAAAATCCAAACCTATACATTGTGATGAAATATTTTTTTTTTATTAGGATATTTTTAATAGGTAATTAGCGATTATTTGTTGCTTAACTCTTTACACTTTAGAGATTAAAACAATTATAACTATTAGTGTAAACGACGGTCAGAAGATTTGTATTGAAACATAAATAAGAAGTTCGTCTGTAACTTACCATTTGCAAATGAGGATCTTTCATATCGAAATACACTTCTCTCAAGGTTTTGATCGTGTGGAGTGTGCCGAAATGTTCGCAGTTAACATATAACGTCATGGTGGCTCCAGGTTTCCTCTGGTCTACGGTTAGCACGAGAGTCTTTACAGATGACAAGCTGGTCAACGTTTTCACATTGAAATATTCGGTTTGTATGTCGCCGTTACTCTTAGTAGAAACAATCACTGAAAACGTGGAACAATAATAATAATACAAATAGACAAAATGCGTTATACGGCAATTTAAAGATAAAATTGTCAGCTTCAAAACTAAAAAATATCGAAAAAAAAGTTTTAGAGGTTTAGTACGGGAAATTATAGCGGAGCTTAACTACCGTACATCCGATAATAATTACATTTTGTTCTATACTAAACGATTTTTAGAACCTATATTTTAAAAAAATTTCATTTCTGCTCCATTGTGTATGTAAAATTTGAATAACTTATTATTTTTTTAACATTTGATTATTAAGTAATATAAAATATCACTATACACTCAAATATTGTCTGGGAAACTTATTTAATGTCGTTTAGTTAATACCTTATTTATAAATCTAACGCTTCGGCAAGCCTTAATGATATTACGTTCGGGTTATAACATAAAACATAATATTATAGCATGTAATTAATGGTGTAGGATAAATTGTTGGGCGCGTGTTATAGTGTTATTCAAATCTTGTGTAACTATAATGATAAGTTCTGCTTTGTCTTCAACCACAATACAATACAAGATTCTTCGAAACGATTTATTGGCAATTTTTCCTTCGACCACACCACTGACGTATGCGATTTTTTTGCTTCCAGTTGTCCGTCAAGAACTTCAATAGGCTCGAATGCACATTCGATGTCGTGGGATTGTCTGGTGGTTTATCCTTTTAAGGACGTCCGGCTAACTGGATTTACCCGGCCGGAATTTGTCGGTCGGCGATGTGATTTTTTATTTTATTTATCCTTTCCGCTGTTGGTAACTTGGATTTTTTTCCGATCTCCTCTGTTCGGCGTGTAATATTGATAGGGAAGTACGCGTATAGATTGATAGAAAACGTGCCGGATTCTGTTATCCAGCAAGTTGTATAGTGATTCGATACAGAACACCTATTACATTTAATAACGAGGAAACCTTCTTGAATATCCGTCAAAAGAAAGTTACTCTATGTTTATAAAATTATGTAAATGTTTTTACTAGAAAAACGTTAAATCGTAAACCGCCAAACGCATCCGTAAATTTAAAGATGTTTTTATTTTTAAATCGCATTATGTCATCGTAAATCCGATTATTGGAAAGTCTTAGAAAGTTCGTGGGGGGTCGTTGTTTTTTTACTGTTTTAAGATAACGGTGTACGTGGGCTCGTTAACTTCATTATAATATCGTGGGTGCTACGTATACTAGATCACCAAACAATGAAAGATGTAAATCAAACTATGGCTAAGAAAGAGAAAAAAAATTGTGGTAACATTATAACGTCAAGATTGTCTCGGTGCTTTATTATTTATTTTTTGATACAAATTGAGTTTAAGTCTATACATACTATTATAGTCGTTTTTTTTTTATAAATATAACCTAAATAAATGGATTCCTATTTTCAAGTATGCTATACACATATTATTAGAGCTATTTTTTTCTAGACTCTGTAGGCTAATAAAACCCTATGACAACTATATGAGTGTATGGCAACTTTAAGAAAACAAAAAAAAGTCTGTTAATATGATATCCCCGAGAAACGTCAATTCGGTTTAATAACGGTACGTTGGTTTTGATCGTAAACAATAGCCTTCATTATGTATTACCATATGAAAAAAAACTGCGGTGAACCGATGCAAGTACCACACTACACCATTCATCACCATTATTGGCGACATTTTTTTTTGTATGTCATCGGTTCAAATAAACCCGGACTAGCCTACACAGAAAGTAAACCTACACATAAACGCCGCAGCCAGTAACATATATTGTATATACTATAATTTCGTATCGCTCATGTGTAAGGTACCTTGTCCTTCGTTCCTGTCGATTTTCAACGTGAACTGATAGTATCCAGGAAAATCAATGGTGGCCACGGTTTCTGGTTTCCGGCGTTTTTTTCCTCCCGGCGGCCCTTCATCACGGATCACTATGGTGAACTGGTCGCTGGCCACCGCTTCTTCTACGGCCTTCGTAGCTTCTGCGAACAAATTTTTTCACAGTATAATATACAGTTAGATTAACGCAAAAAAATATGTTCCAAACGTAATCAATAGCATTGTCCCCGAATTAGCTTAAATTATATTATCCCACATGATTCGGTAACACCATTTTACATTATAATATCAATATCACCGTACGTCAAATAAAAATAAAAATATAGCGCAAGCAAAATATAAAAATATATTACAATACTTATTATTATAAATACATGCATGGCACTGGGACGGTGAATGAGACACGCGAGCGTGTAACGTAATTAGCCCACGGCTCTCAGGAATGACCTTCGATATTATCGTTTAAATATATAAAATAACATATTATAATTTTTGGATGTACATAAATGTACAAGTAAAACAAAATTTATTTTTTTATTTTAAAACTACAAAGAGCTTTGAATTCCGAATTTATTTGCATAACTTATACTTCAAATTATAATTGAATAGTAGATCTGATATTTTGATCATGTTACTTTTCGAATTGTCTAATAAATAATACCTAATAACATTTATTAAAATTAGCATATTATTATTATTACCATATTATTTTGAAATAATATGTTTATTCGTCATCAGTCATCACTCATACTGTTTTTGTATGGCATGTAGCGAGTGTTTCCAATTATTATTAATCTCAATATAGTAGATAATTTATATCGTGCATCTGATATTAATTTTAATGGCAAAGCGAGTAAGAGGTCATAGATTCGCCATTCGGCTATAAAAAGTACTAAATAAAAACAACTAATTTTTCCTTTCCCTTTGCGTATCTTGGTGGGGACATGGATTCTATTTTTATGTTTAATTTTACGATGGTTTCGCTGTGTAATAGGTACAGCTGTCAGTGCTGGATAGTAAATCAGGGGAGCGATAAATGCAGTGTGATGCACCAAAGTAGCCCCTCAATATTGTGGATTACAACTTGTATAGTGCACAGGTGTTAACGTTTTTAAAATATTTGTTTATGATGTTTAGAAATGAAGTGTACAGGGAAAAAACCAGCAAAGTCACTTTTTAAAAATGACAATTTTTTGTTACAAAAACGAATCTGTTCTTTACTTTTAAGCACGATTATAAACAAAAAATAAACAATATTTTTAAAAGTTTTAAGTATTTATTTAACATTTTAAAACATATTTTAGCATTACTTAAACATGTTTTCCTTAGATTAGAAAAAAGTGACTTTGCTGTTTTTTTCCCTGTACCCTTTAAATATATAATTATACATAGTTCCATCAGTTTAATGGACTTGACATGGTCTCTAGTAGGAATAATTTTGATCATTGGCTTCATTCACCTTCTTATATCGTTAAGCATGTCCCTCATTCTCTTTAAGTCCGTCGTTGCTTAATCTCTCTGTTTCTCATTAGCCTATTGATACATAATATTCCTGTCGGTAGGGTTACAATTGTCTAATTGCCGCTCATATTTTCTATTAAATGATTCTCGCTCTACTTCAGAATTTTTCTCCTTAAATTCGATTCGATTCACCTCCTCTTTCACTGTCCCTCATTCCCCTATATCAACACGATTCTTTAACCAGCTTAATTTCTACTCAGGGTCTATTTGAAACTGATGGCAGTTTGCTGTGTGTGTGAAAATTAGTTTAGCTGAAGACCTACTCAAGAATCGTTATTTTGGGTTTATTGTATACAGGGAATTAGGTATTTATTGTACAAATGGGTTTTCGTGCGTTCACCGCATCGTGTCATCTATGAATAGCGATGACTATTGTGACTAATGAGATGTACACTTCCGCCGCCTTATTAGGTGAAAAAAAAATACAAAATCGTATTTCAAAAACGTTGCTTAACCACACATTGAGATGTGCTGTGAAGCTAATGTCTTGCCGAGCGGTCGAGACGATTGACACTGCCCACGCGAGTCAATAGTGAGGTATAGTAGGTAAAATTATTGTTGTGACAACCATAATATCTATATATTTATTATTAACAGATAGCAAATAGAAACTCTTGGCTTTCGTAACAGATATTATACGCGTGATGCGACTTAATTTATTTTATGGACTGGGCCAAAGTCAACCGAAAACTCGTTTTCACACATAAACGTGCTAACGTAAACCGAAATCGAGCCATGTGCATTTTGGTTTTTATTATCTTCCATAAAAAGCGATGTATGTTTAAAAGCAACGTAGGTATAGCCATGTGAAGCTGATTATACTATAAACACGATTTTTCTATTTAAGATACATATTTATTACAATAAAAGAGGCTTGGTTTTGTTGTTATTGGTCATCATTTGTTTAGTTTATGGAAGCTAATAAAGCGTTTGACCGGTTATCCTCTAAAATTATCACTGCATTCTATTTGCATGCTATCGAACCTTATTCGCTTCTGTTGATTAAAATAAATTAACAATAATATTATTAATTCTAATGCCTACTAGACCATAAAAAAAAACTAGCCAAACTGCTTAAGACCATCTAAAATAAGTTGAGCTATCGATTGTAAAACAAAAAATAGGCCACCTAAAACTTTTGATAAAAAAAATAAGGCGTAATAGTGTTAAAACTTAAAAATAAATAAATAAATATAAAACATTATAATATAATATTCATAATATTTTAAATAAAAACTTAAATACTTAATAGTTAAAATTGGAATGAAATCGTTAAACAGATATTAAACTTTTTAATTTAAAGCGCATGTCTGTAATATTATAATGTTTAAAATAAATAGGCCAAACAATGTACACATGGCCAGTATTTTATAATGTAATAGAATATATAATATAATACATAATGTATGTATAAGTTTTTTTTTCATTGATTCACAAACTGGAAATCGTTAGGTATACTTGTTATTCGTTTAACGAGCTAAAAAGTAAAATAGAACCATAATGATCATCTTGATTAGTCGAACCTAACGAGTTATATTGGCAATCGACATAGGTTAAGTTTGAAAACGAATTGCTTCAAGCTTAGGACACAATCATTAATCATTGGCGGTCTGACGTGAAATTTAAATACAATATCCAAGGATCTACGTGAATAATATGAATTGATTTGTTAATTTGTCAAATAACACTTCATAATTTATTAATTTTACATGAATATCTTCTGTTACATAATGAATACGATGTGGACGCTGTCCAATTTACATATGCTACCATAAGCAAAATTATAATAAAGTAAAAATAAAAATAGTTTGAATGTTAACGCCACCTGTTTAGTAATGAATGCATTTAATACGTATCATTGATTACAATTGATTATAATCCATGTACGTATGTTAATATTTTTTAGAAAGTTTTTAGTTATAGGTGTTAATTTTATAAAAAAATCCTGTAACATTTTTTGTTAGCATAGCTTTCAATAATTCTTTCTCTCCGATCGTGTCTTTTTGTTAGTACATTAGCGGTCTAAACCCATCATAACAGATAATCTGTAATAATAATTCATCTCATAATGATTCTCTTAATGTAGTTTGGTCGAAGAGTCGTTGGTTGGTTAATACTTAAGTTAAATCTTATAGACATTACATTTGGTTATTGTCTGAATTATAAACAAATATATGTGATATGTTGGGGGGGGGGGGGGTTCGAAACTTTTTTCTCGAAAATAGCACATGTGACATGTCATAAATTAGATAAAATCTTGATATTTCGGTTTGTATAGATGTCTTTTACGTTAAAACAATTAATTTTCTCAGAAAGGTGCATCTTCTGGGTAGTGACGTAGCCAGGGATGATTGGAGGTTTAAACGCCTCCCATGGCTCTTTATTTTTAGCTTTCCTATCAGGCTGTTAAGGACCATTGTAACCTCCTGAAAGTTTCTGTACCTACATAATATTATATAGTACATACATTTTTAGAACCCCCTCTAACAGTGCAAACTTAAGAGATGGGCGAAGAAGACATTTATACTTATTATTTGATACCCTTATGAATGTTATTACCTAATAAGCACAACAAATTGTATAATTAAACAATACTAAAATCGTAGTCTAATAATGTAGGTACATATATTAAGGTCCCTAAATTTCTCCCAATTAAAAAATTATAGTGACTAAAGCAAAATATGCAGAAGAAAAAATCATAATCTAGCGTACGTACCGTTATCGACGGACGCGGCGTTTAAGGCGAGCAGAACGCCGGCGAGGGCGACAAAAACCGCCGTTGCCCGGATCATGTCGTCTGGTCGTCCTCACGGTGGCCGGTGGTGCGTTATTATGCCGAGCCTCGATCTGCGTGTGAAACCGCGTCGCAGAGCCTGAAGTTTGCGATCACCGCTGTGCCGTCGTCCTCCTACTCAAACCGGTCGGCTGCAGGCCGTATGGAGGACGCGCCTACGCGCGAATCTGGCCGACGTCAGCGCATATGGTCGTCGTTTTGACGGTTTTCATTATTATTATTATTATTATTATATTTGACTCTGCACCTATAAAGTACTGCGGCCAGCGTCGCGTCGCTTTCTTCCCGTAGCCCACCCTCGCAGGTCCACGCACATTAAGATGATATTATTACAACCGTGTATGTCATCTACATTCTACAAATTACAATATATAATATAATATGTATGGCCCACCGATATGGGCATTCGGGTCTCAAGCCGCTCGTATCGTCGCATAAAAAATACAAATCAATATGCGTCTCGTTTTTTGGCCGGCGACATTTGCTGAGTGTTGAACGAACGTTGAACTTTATTGTATGCAGACGAGCATACATCTTTGGTGACAATAAAAACTATTACTTTGACAGAGACAGGTCGAATGCGTCTACGGTACAGAGATAACTGAAAGATGTATTATAATAATATTATAAACCATCATTTTATTTTGTCTGTATCTGTATCGATCGTAAAAGTCTTAACATTTTGATGATATATTTTATAAACAAAAAAAATTAAATTAAAAGGCCAGGAAATTAAAATATTCATCTTAGCCACCCAAAAAAGTGTTCTGCTAAGTATCTCCTTCTTCCTTTCGTGTCCGGTCATAGTACGGTAGAGCTTGTCACATATATAGTAGTAGATGTTGGTTGACACAAACCTTGTTTGGTTCCTTGAACCGTGTTTAGAGTACTGTACGGTTTATGAAACACTAAAGTTTTGTCTAACCAACTATTATAATTTTGATCTAATGTTCAATTTTGTAAATGATTCGAATATTTCCCATCACTACTTTATACTAACTCTTCCACTAAGTACAGACCAACCACCCACCTCAATTCTCATCCATTAAATCAATGGGGTATTTATCTCACCACACAATCGTATTCGGCGCTACTGATAATAACAGATAATGGTGCATTATTTGAGTGAGTTACCTTTATGTAGAACAGCTGTTTGTTATTTTTTTTTAGAAAAATAAAATTATTGTTTTATTTACAACCTCATTACACTATTACGTTTACTTACGTTCTGAGTAAACAATATGTTAAATGCATTTTTATTAATCAACAAATTGTATTCCTGATCAAATTTCGTGACACATAGTAATTAAAAGTAACCATTTGAGTAAACTATTGATGTTTATCGTCTACGATTACACCACCCCACAATAAAAGTAGGTATCCCGACGGACTAGACTAGTAATTCTTAAGTATTTTGAAACGCCGAATTCGAATCCTAGGTAAACATTCCAAGAAACTCAAATAGAATTTTAAGATACTACTCTTTTAGTAAGGAAAAAACAAGAGCTAGCTTCGGAATTTCGACCTCGTATTCGGGTTTAGCGACTCAAAATACTACGTAATGATTGATTATTCTGGTCTTTCAAAAAATTAATTTTTTTATGTTTAAACCTTTTTAGATATTTAATAAAAACTATAATAATTTAATTTTAAATTAATTTTCGTTTACAAAAATAAAAACTACTTAATTTAAATAACCAAGTTTACTACTAAGTGAGCATTTATACTCCTTATTAAATTTAGGGTAGGCAACTTAATTGCCACTATACTTTTAATAATAGCTGTTTTTATATAAACTCAGTGTAAGATTCTCAACTAAGAAGAGGGGTCACATCATTTTTTTGTATATTATATTAATACCTAGAGGAGAAGGTGGTATTACTTTTTTTAAAGTGCGCCTACATTATAAGATAATTTCACTTATTTTAGAAATCATTGGTCTCATATTATGCTTATCGTTTATGGCGGCAACATAGGATTTTCCCCATAATGTGATCACAAAAAAAAGTGAAACCGCCTATTTTTCTCAAAATGTGAGTTTTATGGTCCCCCATAAATCCAACAGTTTATTCGTTACAAATTAACTTTATACTGAATTAACATAAATTGTTATACATTGTTGATATTATTCAATTGTTATTTATAATATTATTGAAACTCGTTTAAAATATAGGCGCTTCTTTACAATAAAATGGGTCCTATTACCTGCAACTTTTTTAGAGAATAAAGTTAAAATTCTATGTTATTGTTATTTCGGTAAGACATTACAAGTATTAATACAACAACATGGCCCCTGCATGAATTCTATTTGTTATACGAAAGAACCGAAGTTCGATTACGTTATATTGATCAATTAATGTATAGAATTATAATATTTTTGTTGTACTTATGTTAAAGGTTGATCTATTGTATCAATAGAACAATTCTACACCGTCGCGGTATTGCTCTAATAATTCATTTGCCGTTATATATATATATATACAGAGTGTTTCACAACGATATGACAAAGTAATAACTTTTGTTCTAGTATTTTTAAGATTATTTTTTTAAATTGATCTATACTCATTTGCGCTATTAACATCACTTTAAAATTTAAAAAGTGTAGGGCTTAAATTTTAACCTGTATAATAACTTAAAAAGTAATTATCCAAAACTGGTTATCGACCATTCAAAATTATTCCTAATAAAAAAAATCAGAATAATTAAAAAAAAAGTAACAGTTCTTTGATTCTAAGTTCTATGAATATTCATTTATTCATTTTACTTATTTATTTTCCTTTATCCGGTGCTTTTAAAGCAGTCCCAATTAAAACGAAAACGGATGTAATATTTATTAGAAATTTTAATTTAAAAATTAAAGAAATTATAATAGAACTATACAAATAAATAACAAGTTTTGATATATACAAATAATAAACGTTAAATATTTTAAATATAAAGCATAACAATTAAAAATAATAAAATTAAAAACGGAAAAATAATTAAAACAGATATTTTCCCTGCGATTCCATTAGTACTAAGATTGCCATTATCTTTAGTTAACAGGTAATTCAATAGGTGGTCGTTCATTACTATGTTGTTATTTTTTTTCAGAGCTTTGACTTTCTGTTTTTCCTGCTTAAAATAATTTAGAAAACAATTAATATATTTCATTATACTTAAATACGGACTAGTAAAAATAGCGTTACAATAAAAAATCTGAAAACCAAAAGATAGGTACAAAATGTAAAATAATATAGCCCTTGACTAAAAATCGTTTATTAAAATAAATAAATTATATTAACCTTTTTTGCCCATTGTATTTCTTCTTCCATAAGCGAATGTGTCTTACTTTGATTAGCCATCTGAAATCATAGTGGATTTTGGGATAACAATTGATGAATTTCAAAAATAAATAATTTTCGGTGAATAAAAAGATATAAAATAAAATAGAAACTTAATAAGTTATTAAGTTTTTATATTTTATTTTTAAATTGAAAAAATTGTTTTTAAGATAATTGTGTTCTTATATTAGTTATAATTTATTAATCTTATTGGTTACATTAAAAAAAAGTATTAATATTAGCTAGATAATACAATCCTAATTAACATAAAATATTAAAGTTAAAAGATACGAAAACATAATATATTATGCTAGTTATAAAAATGTACTTATTTCATATTTATTTATTTTCTTTTAATTGATTTATAAAATCTGTTTTAAATAAGGCCATTTGTATTTTTTCTTATCCAATAAAAGTTGTTTTTTTTTATTATTAATTATATTGATATAAACTCTAAAACTATTAATGTAATAGTTATGGTGCATTCTTTATCACAGTAACATGACCTGATCTTTAATACATATTATTAAGTTCAAAATAATTTGCTTAGAATATATTCAACGTACAAAAGCTACATAGCTCAATTTAGTACATAATGTAATAATTATAAATAGCTTTAACACGCACTTATGGGTTACCTACATATTTATTACCAATTGATAATTTTTCATCAGCAAACCTTGCTTGTGTATGATTAAAACTAAATTGTTAAGTTTTTAAGCAGCGCTAGACATTTTATTATGGACATAATTCGACAACTATTTTACCCAGAAGGGCATAATATAATCAAAATAATCTAATAGCTATATAATTTTTAATTTCTCAAATTGTAGCTGAGACCTAGGATACTCCTAGAAGTAACATTAAATGTGTGTGGAGCTAGTATTACCTAGCCTAGCACTGGCTCTGTCTAGAAGGGAAATATTCGAATCCCTCTGTCTTTGACAAAATAAATTGTTAAAATACTGACTGAACCAATTTTACAGTCTTTATGAAATATAACATAACATTACGTAGTGAAAAACAAAAATGTAATGTTAATTTTTTGCGGTTTAAATATATTGTATTTTTTATATATAGGGAGGAAATGGCGAATGGGTAGACATTGTCCGGCTTTTATGTGAAATAATTATACATAATAAATGTATAGGTCATTGATTTCCGTCTACTAAATTTATGTGTTGGAATTTCCTACAAAAAATATTGAACAAAATACTTTTGTTACTTACAGATTTTTCATTTTTTGACAAATTTGACCACCAAATTCTCATCTTATATATTTTATACTTATGTAAAAAAAAAAAAAAATGTGAACGTTCCACAACAGAATAAAGTTAAACTGAACTGTATACTGTGACTGTAACTGTGTACTGTACTGTACTTAAAACTGCACTTATGATACGAGCGTTCTATACAACCTTTGAACAGTAATATGGGTATTGATCAATGAACAACATAAGGATGGGATTGTGTTGTACTAAATGTATCTTATCTACATTTTATGTGTCAATTCTGTTTCGACATACCTAACTCGAGTTATTCAATTGTAAATGTATACACATTGTATTCCAAAAATACATTGTTTTGGTTAATTCACTCATTTTTAAATTTATATTCTTCTTCAATAGAATCGTATAAATTTTCTTAAACAACGGTGCCAAGTAATATGGTACAACATGGATACGTTTCCATGCGTTTCCTGCTTTATTTTTGTTAAAGGTATATGACCTACCAGCCTGTACACAAATTAATAAAAAAACGTGTTAGGTTGGTTTATAGTACAACTGACCTCAGACAATCGAGTATTGTCTTTTGTATTTTTCGTTTAAAAATTGTTTATTACTTTTTATTAATTCTACATTAAAATATTATTTATTTTGTTTGCAATATAAAATATAATAACAATATATAAAATGTTTATTTTGTATATAAACGAATTTTAGTATGATATGACATAAGTTTGTTCAGTTTCTAACGAAAGTTTTAGTGTAAATATTGGTTTGTATAAAACTATAAACAATAGATTTAAAAGGTTATCTTAGACCCAATTAACTAAATTTGTAATATTTTAAAAGTGACATAGCATGTGCAAAATACGTTACACAGATAATGTTAAATGCCATGCTATTTCATAAAATTATACCTTAATAATCAAAATTATAAGTTTGAACAGGCATTTATGCATTAAAAACAGGCAGTAATCGCTTAAATATAAAATAAAAAATTTTAAAATATTAAAAAATGTGCACTAAAAAAATTGTATGCAGTTTTATCATAATACATAAATAAATTCGGATACATGAATTCGGGTTGAAATATGTTATATCAAGCTTTATATTAAACTAAATATTTTTAAAATTAGAATATATAACTTGGGTATCAATAGGTAATCTAAAAAAAAATGTATCCAGGATATATTTTCCAAAGCCTGCAATAGATATTTCATATTAATGATTTGATAAAAAATATTCAATAATATGCGATAAAGTTCAATTATATAAAATATAATTTCGAAAAGGTATAAAACAAATTTCGACCGAACGAATTCTTTTTGAGGAGTAGCAAAAAAACATGCCAATGCATTAAATTAAGAGCCATAGAAATTCACTTAAAAAGAAAGTAATAAATTTAAATATTTTTTAGCGTATATAGTTTAATTTCCAAATTCGATTAATCTATAAAATTAATTATTGTTCAGAACAAATTTTAGCTCATACTAATTAATTGTATATTTAATTTGTTGTTTAGGTACTTACTCGAGTTGAGAGTTTGATATTTTTTCTTAAATTTCCAAAAGTCGAATCCAACTTATTTTATGTAATGTAACCAGAATTTTATATTACTTTCGAGTCACGCGACGTTCACTGTGTTCACCGCATGAAGTAGTATGATGCTTTCATTTCATGACAGATATGGATAATGTCATAGTTATTATTTTGCAAAGTCGACGTCGGTATTTACATAGTTTTATTGAAGATACCATCTAATTATCATGTATTTAATCGCTTGTTTGAATTTTATAGGTGCATGGCCTTGTTTTTTTTTTTATATAAGGTTTTTTATGCTTTATGTAATAAATAATAATTATACTTTGCACTGTTAAAATGAAGCTAATTCAAAAATGTATAGTAGTTTAAATATAGTGAACATTTTATAATGTAACAGACAGTAATTTTTGCATTATTAACATATTTTGTTAGAAAAACAATGATATAAAATACGCATAATCGTTATTTTTTTTATTATGGATTCAGTGCATTAATCCCCTGTCCCCAGAACTGATGAAATTATGCATAGTTAGCAATCTATTTCCCACCGCAGCCATGATTATTGTTTTTAGCTCATTCTTTATTTATTTAGCTGACAATAACTATATAGTTTGGAGGACTCAATATATATAATAAGGTACCTATGAGAAACATGACAGGAATCATACAGAGTACTTTGAAATGAACTATTATGACCTATTTGTTGTACAATCATTATCGTAGGACCTACATAAAAATATATAAAGGTGAATTATAAGTAGATAATCTGAGAGTAAAAAAACAATTAATTATTTTTAAATTAAAGGCCTTGTGATTGAATTCTACTACACTTAAATATTAGACAAAGTTTTTGTTATCAAAATGGGAAGGAGGAATTTGTTATATTTTTAATGGCAGACATTACATGTTGTAAAATTAATTATTAGATAGATAGGTACATAATATTTATACTATAAAATGTTACTTTTTTTCCCTTCATAGTATGATTTTCCAGATAAATTCGTTGTAATAATATTTAAGTTTTCGGTTATATTAAAAACTAATCGATCCGTTTATCTTTAAGAACACTCATGTTTAATTTTACATGGTATATGTCATCACTGAAAGCAGATATTGTATAAACTATAATTTATAAGTAGTAGAATAGTATTATTATTAAAGGTTAACAAGTAATTTCAATACATAGACACGTATTATTAAGTAATTTCATTATATATACATATGATAATGTATAATGACATATAATAATGGAATAATATACCTCATAAATCATTACGTATAACTATATATGTAAGTATATAACTATTAGTTCAACTAATAGTTATATACTTATTCAGTTATTTGTAACTAATTTAGTTGCATTAATAGTGCATTTGCATTGTAAACAAATATCAGGGAATGGAAAGAGCCAAATTTTATACAAATAAAGACTAAAACTCGGTTACTATCTAAAATCGTCAAATCCAATTTCAAAAATGTTTGTTTTGTTTTAATGTTTAACCTTTCATTTAGGAAGGGGGGCTGAAAGGCCTAGTTTTATATTTTTACATATTTGTTCTTTTTCTAATAATTTTAAATATTTTTCTATGAACCACATAACTCTATGTGACTTTAGACAAATGTATGTAATAAGTTATTTCATAAGTATTGTTTTTTTTATCATAAATAAGCTTCGACTACAATACTAGGTAAATTACAATTGATACATTATGATAAGAACATAAGTAAGAACATAAGTATTTTTGCATTGTTTTCATTATTTTATACATTTAGTGCTCAAAAAACATCCAAAAGGAAAAATAATTTGATTTAAATATTTATTTTGGCATTGATGTGTGGTCAATAGAGAACATTTAAATAAATTAACCGCAATACGGTTTTAGTTATATATGTACATACAATATGTATATAATTGACAACGCTATATAGTATATATATTTAATACGTGACACATTTGAGAAAACAATCGTAGTGTAGGTTGTGGGTTATGCTTCAGGAGGTTTTATTAGTTTAATAATCGACTAGTTTTTTTTTTTAGAAATTATGTGTTGTTAAGAGTCTTAATTTTGTTTTGTCCTTAAAATGTTGATTTTTGGTAATATTTAATATTATGCTTTTTTAATGTTATATTAGGTATACAGTAAAAATTGGATTTTCTTAGATCCACTTAAGAATTTATAAATAATATATTAATTAACAAATCTACATGGTACAAAATTAAAATTAGGATAAATGTGCATTTTATTGTACGTTTTTTACGAGAGTAATTTTTAACTTTCCGAATTATTATCATAACTTTTAAGGACGTTCACATAATATTAACCATACTTAACCGTTTATTAATTGTTGATTGATTGCCTAACGTTACTGCTAGTAATTAAAAAAAACCTTGTAAAACACGTATTGCCTTGGTGTCACGTAATGGTCGACACCTAACTGTAAATATAGTATTACAGTATTATTAAAATATGTAAGATGCGGTCAATGGTCATCACTCGTCATTCACCTGTCATCAGTCCAAAGACAGAAGACTTGTAATATTAATAACATAACTTACACATCTATTCTTTAGTGAATAAACTGTTATTTTTTAACGTTATTTTCTAAAAAAATAATAGACGTTCTAACCAAAAAATGTAAAATTTGCACGTATTATTTTTTAAAGTAACAGTTTATTCAAAATAGCCACGATTTTTTAAAATTACATTCTAATATTTTAGATAGTGTATCCTAACCGGGTTCAGGGATCAAATTTAATAATTCAAGTATATCTCATAATCATCACGTCCTAATTCACACTCAAAACCTCTTCGTATTAATAAGAATTTGCAGTTTTGGCTTTTAAATATTACATCTTGCTTTATGGTGTAATATTCTTTTAAACATGATGTGATAATAATATTGCTTATACAAATGTTTGGTAACATTTATGATGGCACTTAGCTGGTCTTCATAAAATGTAAACACTGTTTAATCAACAAATGTTAGACATCAATAATGTGTCCTTAACTTTTTATAATCTTGACCAAACATGATACCGAAAAATGTTATTGTTGATTTTCGTGTTGACTCGTCCACTATAAAGTTGTTGTGGTCAAAATATGATAACATTTAAAATATACAAAATACAGATATAGTCAATTGCGTCTCAAATCTTAATTTACTTTTGTTGATTCAACATTCAATCTTTAAAATATATTAAATTAAGACCCAATATATATAGTAGAACCTAGTCCGAATCCTTTATTTAAATACCAAAACAGTTATTTTCCCTTTCGATTTGTACTGGTTTAGGACTGTCGTAATGGAGCGCTCATTTTAATTTTTATTAGTTAAAAGAAGAAAACTAGACAATTTTAACGGTATCTATAAAAATACTTCACAAGTTTTTCTAAAAATAAAATAATTTTAATAGTGTTGACTCGTTTCAAAAACCAAAAATTACTAAAGTACAATATGGATTGGTTGTAACGTGACAAATTGTAGGGAAATACAATTAACAAAAATGTACCTTATAAATTATAATAAACTATTTTCTTCACCTATGGATACTAACATCAATACTAAACATTTTTAGAGCCAATATTTAATTTATTAGTACTAACTTATTATTGATACTGAACAGCATTGCCAGTGACTAGTCGCCGGCGTCGAGTGTCCATCTAACCATACTATGTAGTAAAGCCGTTCATAAAATATGTAAAAAACTGTACAGTGGATAAAATAAGTTTTGTAACTACATCAACTGTATATGTTTTAAATTACTTTGTTTTAAATCTGTGTAGATACATCAATACAAATTTTCTAAATCAACTTCTGCACCTAAAATGTATAAATCAAAAGGTTAAAATGAATAGCAAAGTGCTTTTGCTAGTGTCGTTCGGAAAACCAGACAGCGGCTTGGTGTGAAGGCCAGCAACGGGGCATATACTAATGTATATGGTACTGGTGGTACCGGGTTTTTTTTCAGTTGTGCTTTGTATGCAGCCATTGACTGTTGTGTATCGCGTGGGAATAAGTTTGAACGTTTATTTTTTACAATAATTGTCATTTCAAGCCATGAACAACCGGAGCGTTAAAAAATGTGTTTATTTTTCTTAACCGTCGACGTCGATTTTTAACCGTGTATGGTGTTCGCTTTTAAGTTCATGGAGATGTCTGCAGAAACGGCTACCGCCATGAAGCCGAAGAGGTTTCCTTCTATTTTCAAGAAAATCATGATTTCAAGTTGGTCAAAATTTGATAAAATCATTATTATTGTCACACTGTATAGTATATTATTGACTAGTATAAAGAGCAAATATACATTTTAGTTTGTTAGACGAGAGTCGAGACTTTAATAATAATAATAATATGTATATATCTATTTAAAGTAGTGGTGGCAACAAGAAAATCCAGATTTTACTAAAAAGTGCGATACATAGATATGTGTAGAAATACAAATTTGATCACAATTAGTGATGTGATATAAATTTGAATGATCAAAGAATAAATATTTCAACTGCTTCAGATGTTAAATTAAGAACTTTTTGAAAGTCAAATAATTTCCATCACTAATAAAAAAAATATAAGACCAGAAAGAAAAATCACTTTGGAATTTCGGACTTGAGGTTTTAAAATATGTGCTCGGTAATTTTTATTTTTAGCATTTTCAAATTGATGATACAAAATAACTATAAAAAGGGCTAAAGCATAATAGTTGTCCAACATTTTTCGAAAATACAAATAGGTGTACATTTTCTTTAAGAACACACATTTTTGGAATCCCGTCACATATTTTTAAGCTGACTTAACCTACACCTAACCTTACCTAACTGAGTTCTAATCCGTTTTAGTTTGAGTACCTATGGACATATTATAGTAATTGACCGTCAGTGAACAATTAAACTGGAGAAGTGCTACCTACTATTTAGAAAGTTATATTATTAGATTGAGATCATACCTTAGCACATTGTCATTTTTTCTACTTTCTGGAAAAAGGTTAAATTAACATATTTCTAAAAAGTTTAAAAATGTTTTATACTCACTGATATTTTCGAGCACATTATTTTTGCTGTAAAATGTGACATAATATAATTGTTGAAAGAGGTTTTAAAAACTCGTTCAAATCTTTATTCGAATAGCAACAACAATAATTATAATGATCATTAAAACGTTTATTTAATTAAGCTATACTTGGGTTCCTCTAGACAATAGGTATATTTCTAATTACAAATAGCTGGTTTGTTTTATTTTTATTTGACAATAGACACCACAAATCATATAATTTAGGTATACATTTATTGTTGGTTTTATAGGATTATAATAGTATTATAGACATGGACATAATAGTTGTGCAACTAAGCTGTAATGTATCCTTATAAGGTTTTAACAACTATAAAACTGGATTCTATGTATGTGTATTCCAAGCTACGAGACATCATATTATTTAAATAATAATGCAATAAAAATACAAAAGTAACAACAAAACCATCTAGATATGTAATATATAACGTAGGTACTTCATATTATTTAAAACTTTATCCACAACATTGTGGATTGTGTTTTTAAATATAAAATGTATTTTCACAAACGACTAAGTTAAATTTCACAATATAAAATAATGGTTTGACTGCATTTATTTTTAAGACATTCAACCTTATTTTAATGACAGAATATTCATGTATTTTTTCATAATTAATTTAATTGATAAAATATACACTACCAGATAGACCGTTTCCAAGTGACATGATTAAATGATTAATGAATAATTTCATTATATCATGTATTTGAAGATTTGGTTTAATAAACGCGTTAAAAAGACTTACCTAAACTGTAAACAATGTTGCTCCGGTCTTCGTTTAGAAGCTGACTTATTGATTTTAAAAATCAACAAACCCATAGTAACAGCATATTAATAGTAATAAAACTGTGTTATTACATAAAAGTGAAAGTATAATTTCACGTTATACTTGACTTTACTTAAAGTGGTAAATAATAGTAATTAATAGTTTACTGTAAAATCTATTATACTTGATATCACAATGCGAAAATCAAGGTATTCTTTGCAATTTAGTATGAACGTAAACTACATTTTTAATGGAATTAGGAATTATTTAATAACCCTGGTCTCTATTAATTAGGTTAATTATAATAATGTATGTTGTAATTAATCTCGGTAAGGTAACAAAAAAGGCGGATAATTAATTCTAAGAAAATCAGCAGTTAATAATTATAATTTTCTAGCTAAAAACTATAAAATTTATTTTTATTATACACATTTTGATTGATTATTTTTAAATTAAATAAAAATGTACTACATTTAACCACCAATAACACGTTATTCATATTGAATTTAACTCGTTTAAGCTAAAAAAGGAAGTTATAATGACACTCATTCTGTCCATGATAATCTATTTTTTATTAAAATATAACATTTTATATACATTAATATTAATATTTAGTTATAACTTATATATAATATGAACTATTATTGTCTCTGACGGTACCCATGACAAATAATGGATTCACGTTTAGAAATCATGAAGTGTGAATAGCTAATTTAACTTGTTTAGGAGGTATAATAATATAATACTGTGTTCATAGAATATGTATATAAAATGTTTCGTTGGAGATAGAAAATTCTATGTTCGTGGTATACTAAACATAAATGTATAATGTAACAAAATTTTCATAATATTATAATACTTATGAATTCTATATTATATTAAAGTTTAGTTACATACAAGTATATTTTTTCGAAGGTATACTTTTTAAAAAATTGTGTTCATATAGATATGTAAGAATATCCGAAGGAAAAAATCACCATAATTTATTCATATACTAAACAAAAGTAAATCATCTTTACTTTTATTGAAACTAATATATTTTTGTTTAAAATATCAAACAAATACCTAATACTTTTTATTTTTACACCTTTTTGATCTCTAATCGTTTATATATTTTCGTTACATTTATTATCGTATTTTCATTGTGCCTCCACAGTTTACCACAATGCAGCAAAACAAATGAATTATGTATCAAACAAATAAAACAAATACTGCAAGCATGTATAAATAGCATGTATATATATATATATATATTTAATTCAATACTTATGGGTATATTTAACATTTAGTCGTATTGTTCGATTTGTTATGCAAATCAAATGACCGACGCCGTTTAACGGTTTTACGCTATGTACTCGCTCGATTTTTAATTGTTTTTTTTTCTATTTTAGGGCTAAAGAGTATTTCGAAAGATGCAAATTCGGCCGTGAAAGCACCGAACAAGAAAACATCGGCTAATAGAAAACCACAGCCGCCGCCGCCGCCGGTCACTACAGTTGAAAGGGATTCGGACCCCAAAAGATTTCAACGGCCGGCCACGGCAACACTGGATAATTCGATGGTCCCGCAGGACAACGGGACGTCGCGGCCACCGGTGACGCCTTCGGTAGTCAAACGTCCGTCGGCGGCGCATCACCAGCAGTTGAACAGCAGAACGTACCGGATCAAAACCAAAGACCGGAAGAGCGTGCTGAGCCTGCCGGAAGTACAGGCCAAAGTGCAGCAACAGCAACAGCAGGCGTCTAAGAAGAAGAGTTATTTGCCGGTCAAGGTCAAAACGGGCGTTACCAAAAAACAGGCGCCGCAGCCACCGGTGCGCGTTCAACCGACAACGGCCGCTCCCGCTCCGGCCGCCGCTCCAGCACAGGAAACAACCACGGGATACAGACCCGAAAATTGGGTACCGACGGCCGTGAGTTCGGCCAGGAAAAAGAGACTAGTCCTGTGCTACCTGTGCGGCAAGGAATTCGGCACAGCTTCGTTGCCGTTCCACGAGCCACAGTGCCTTAAGGTAAAAAAAAGTCATAGTTGATAAAACAAAAAAAAATAAGTTAATTATTCTTTCCCTTGAAGGAAAGCTACTGGATCATGAATTTGTTTTATAATCAGGCAATTTTCTGTTCCCTTCTGTAGCATTTCCGTTTCCTCCCCCACTTCCTATTTTTTTTTCTCTCCTCCCTTCACTCCATAAATTAAATCTTATCACTAGTATTTTGTAACTTATCCCTTATTAGCTGGATGTAACGTGACATGAAAATGTCCACTCAAACAACCATCAGACATATTCATGTCAAAAACATATATCCGTTGTATAATATAATATCCATCAGTATATAAACAGGGCAGGACTAATCCACTGTGATATTATGATACATACTCCTGTATCGACGAATTATTACTCTTAACCAGGGACTCTCGTTTGATAATATTGGGGAAATAATAACCGCCGAGACGACCAATTACTGTCAATATCAGCTGGTTAGATTATCGTTAAGTCTTGTGTTGCATTGTTGATAATAACTTACGTATTTAGTATACACAGAATAGTATTATAAAAATATTTGTTTTGTTTTTGACAATAATTATCGTGCGTGGTTGAAGGGTGAAGGTAGTGGTAGAACGGCCCTGGCTTCTTTGCGTGTATTGGTTTTACCAAATGATGAAACTGAATTTAAAATTGAGACAAAACATGCAAACTCTCATATATTATTATAGTACTATTGCGTCGTCGTTGCTCTACAATTATCTACCGCCTACATATGTATGTATTTTCTATGTGGTCGTGACTCGTGTCCTTGGACTTGAAAACTGCGCGTTTATCGACTGCCAGCTATTTTTTTCTGTATAATCCTGTCGACAACAACCCTTTCGTCCGGCGATTGGAGGCCGTGATGATAATAATTGATTATTACAACCTACAATGACCGTATACGGTAACTCGCCATAACTATCGACAGTATTTTTTTTATATTCGTTAAAAAAAAACTAAAAGGCAGCACAGTAGGTTTTCCGGCACTGCTGGGACGCAACAAAATGGGGGTCGAGGTACGATTTCCGATCTACAGAACTACGTAGAAAAAACGGGTGCGGTGATTAAAAAAATATCGTGGTTCAAGAAAAACACAAAAAGAAACGAGAAAAAAACCAACATTGTAAAAAAATCAACTGAACCTTCTTAGTTTCGCATCGGAGTTGGTAAAACAAGAAAATTTCATTAATCCCAATCTTCTTTATTTCCCATTTTTTGAGGCGTAGATTTTGTACATATATCTAGTGTCGCACTGCACGATACTGAGTTTTTTTGATATTTTATAATTTTACCATCAATTTTTTTATCGGTAGTCTCCTGGGGGCAACTCCGCTTTCAGGCTTTACTGCCCCTCCACCCTTCGTCGGTGAAAGTAGGGGAGGTACCGTACTCGCCGACGCATGTATTTACATAGTAAACCATATAGAAATATTATGGTGCACACGGTGTAGCGGAAATTCCAAACGAGCTCATTACGCTAATGTGTATAGTGTCCGCGTTAAATAGGCTAAACGTGGGAAACGCTAAAAAACGGTTGCATAGATTCTTGTCGTCCCATTTTCCATTTTAATTGATGAGAAACTAAACCTTATTTTGTATTATTCGTTTTTTTTTTGTTTCCAAGTCGGATTTACGCTGCCGGGCAGTAACACAATTACTTGCACGTAAACAACAGTAATAATAATTTATTATATTATAGCAATGGGTGTGTGTACCACCGTCACCTATGTGAGGGATCCCCTTCATCCAGGAAGTGCGTAATCAGTTTTTAATTCCGTTTTTCGGAGCGGTACCGTTGTGCCATTGTTCGCCAGAGGATGTCATACACAACTGGCGGTTTGTTGTTTTTTTAAATGTTTTTGCTTTTTGCAACCGCCGGCTATAGCCGTATACGATCGATAACGTACATGGAAAAACAACATTGAACCGATAGTATAATAATACCGTAATCATATTGTAATAATTGAATAATTGCGGTTTCAAAGTTCGCGGGAGTTGCCCACAAACATGTACATATAATGCAATACATGCAATACAGTACCCATATTATCGTTTACCGTGTTAATATAGTGGCATATCTCATAGACAAAAATGTTCCACTTATTGTTAATTACAACCCAGATTAATAATATTACGCGATAAGTCTACCTATAATTCCTATATAAATTGCTAACTGCAGAAAGAGGGCATGTCCATTTTGTTTTTTTGTAGTAGCAATACTTAAGTATGTAAATACTTTGTTCATTGTAGAAAGGGCTTCTTCAATCTAGCGGGTACCTAATATGATAAATAAAATACATTTGTATAATTTGTGTACATTAATATTTGTTGATGTACCTACGCTGAAACCTAATACATATTTTTCAAAATTTATTCTTAAACACTTTTTTAGTGAAGTTTTTTCACAGTAAGTGATTCATACGAAGTAAAAGTATATTATAAAAATCGATAAATTGCATAATAGTGGTATTTGGAAAGTCATAATCGTTTGAACTTTGTACAATACATTAAATATTTAAATAGACATTTTTATAATTTACGAGTGATTACTCATCAAATCTAGTATCAGATGTTGTGGGTTGTAATGAATTTCACTCAGTTACACAAATTGTATTGTATTACATAATGAATAATTGGTCGAGTTTGTTGTGCAATACTTTTTATACTTTTCTACAACAAATTTGTATCGATAAACGTATACGAATAAAATTAATTTTACGTTTTTTCTATTATCAGAATTTGTATAATATATGTAAGAGTTTAAAATGAGTTGGTGTCTTTGGTTGCCTGGTATTTACTTAATGTATGTACATTACAATATGACTTGTGGGTTTGACCATAAAATTGTATAAGCGACTTAAAATAAATAAAGTATACTTTTGTTTGTTCGGCTGTGTTTTGTTTGCTTTGAAAGCTAACGTTTGTGCACGTCATGTGAAGTAATAATAGAGGTCAATATGTCACAAACCAAATTACAAATATTGTAATACTCAAGGGGTGCGTTCATTAAGGGACCAAGTTCAAAAACAATTAGGCTAACAGAATATCATATTAATAATTAACATCAACATTTGTTGTTGCTATAACAAATAACGTAAATGTTGGCTAGGTAACCAGGTTATTCATACCTGGTTCATGGCAACTATAAATTCCCAAGGTCATAGGCTTCCTGTAGTATAATTTTCAATTTTAATTCAAGAAAAAAAAAAGCACGTTATTTTGTCCACAACTCGACGTTTTAAAAACGAACGTTTCCACAATCGTGTTCATTTACCATTGAGAGTGAATAAATTATAGACTTTAAACTCTACATTTTACTGTTGAACAAATTATAATTAGCAAAAATTGAAAATTAGTAAGTGGTTATTTGCTTTGTGAACTAGAGACTATAATGAGTTGGTGGGTTTACGTTGTAATTGAGTACCTACTTCCTTCTACCTGATTCAAATTGTGAAGTACTCAAATTCTCAATGCCTTGTTTATAATATTATAATGCGATTTCGACAAAACTCAACCCGACCGTTTATGTTTTTTTTCTTTTCAGAAATGGATCCTGGAAAATTCTCAATTGCCGGAACATTTACAGAGAGCGACCCCGCAAAAACCGGAAGGAAATGAAACGGTTTCGGCCGAAGATTGGAATCGGCTTGCATGGGAAGCTACACAGGTACGTTGTTGGAGCAACATAATATAAAAGGTTTGAAAATATCAAATTAAAATGTGTTCAAGTTCGATGAACTGCAGACACGGTCAGTACATAATAAAAATATATATACCTAACAAAATCGAGTAGGCAGAACGCCTGACTCATGATGCGGTTAATTCGTTTATGGAATGATCAACTGTTATAAATGGTTGTGCACATATTAATATAATACAATATAACACACACACACACACACATATAAATACCTAATCTTATATTATATACTATACTAATACGCCCAAGCATTTTAATGTTCTCCTGTGCACTTCGGGCGACGGAGGTGTCACGAGTCTGCTCGGCAAACATTATGACAAAAAGTCGTTTAAATTTAAAAAATGACAGCGCCGTGACTATGGAATACTATAATATACACATATATATATATATATATATGTGTGTATATTTTTAACACAAACGCATCGGCCCCACGCTTGTAATAAAAATGAAAACTTAATTGATCGTTTAATGTGTTGTTATTTTAGCTTCGATGCGGAGCTTAGTAGGTTTTCATTTACAATGATGCCTTTTTCACTTTTTTTTTATTGTGTCTTATTAAACCCGAGAATTCTTTATGTAGGCAGTAGGAAGTTTATATTTAGATCAAAAATCGTACCCGAAAGGTTCTCCCGTTTCATTTAAAACCGAGAAAAACGTCAAAAATGTACAAATTGTTTCAATTATATTATGTTTAGCTTCAGTACAATAGCTGAGAAGGTATTGTTTTTTCTTATCCTCATATATTTTTGTACTTTTTTTTAGAATATTATAAATTTCTAAAATCGACCAGTCAAAATTCTCTATTCAAAATGTTTATAAAATGTATACATTACCGTTACCGTTAAAAAAAATATATGTACATAATATAGTTACTTTAGTTTTATTGAAGAAACCTCATAAATGAAATAACGCGTTTATAACACATTTGTTATCTATAAAATAATTTATACTTAATAGTTTTTACAAAATTTAAGGAATTCAAAACAATTATAATTATGTAATTAAATCTAGTTGAAGTAGTGTTACTGGACACCCTCTTCTTTCACGTTGTCCTGTCATTGTATTATATTTTTTTTCAAATTTACTTATTGTAACTAATATTACAGATTGTAAATATATTTTTAATTAAAAAAAAATAGTTTTTACCGATTACAGTTTCGCATTATAGCGTTTATTTAAAAGTGATTTTATCACTCTCCGCTATTCCTCGGCTTCACTATGTTGGCTTTTTTTTTTGCTATATTATCAATTTTTGGTTTCAGTCAAATTTGGTGCCATGTGATTATTGCCAACGCAAGTTCCTAGCAAGTAGACTTGAAGCTCATACCAGGGTTTGCATCGAAGCCAAAAAGAAGTACCACATTTCATCCGTGAGTCTAACAATAATTGTTTTTAACTGACGTCAATTGGCCAACAATGCGGTTCATTAAGTTGTTTACATTTATCTGCTGTCAAGTTAAATCTACCAAAACAAGCCGCACCTATTATAGGTTTGGTAATAACTACAAACTATTTAAACAATAATTATAAAACGCGTAAACTACTTTTTATCAGCTGTACCGTACCTAAAGTGGCTTTTTTAGAATCGACAATTGATCGGATGAACTCTGAATTATTTGAACATTTTGGGTAGAGTTTCCATTTCTTTTGATTTCGTGTACATTATTTTCTTTAAACAGTGGCGGGTCGAGTCAAATCGGTTTGCGCGCGCTTATTTAATTTCTAGCAAATTCAACAGATTTCTTTTTTACCTACTTTTTGATTGTCGGCAGAACTATTTGCCTAGGCGTGCTTTGAAAACAATATAAACGGCTAATTGACTACCATATTCTTTTGTAGGTACCATTCGCAAAGCATAGGTACAATAAGTACACCTCGGCGACGTCCTATATATTTATCATTAATCAAATACGCTGTCGGAGGTAGTCACTATGAATGAACACTTTTTTATATTATTTACTTGTGTTAGTCTAAAATAATTGTTGTATTAATATTGATTTGCAGTAGGGACTTGCAGTAGGTACCAATGCGCGTTTTTAACAACGTCTGCGGCAAAGGTTGTTTATTTTTTGTCTCCAAGTACGCATGTAATCGCCTGAAATTTAGTAGGTATTTTTTTTTGTCTAGGTAAACAAATCACAGCGGCCGCCGGCCAAGCCTTCTATGGACAAGCAACCGAAAAAGAAGCCACAACCGTGCTATGTTTGCGGTCGCCTGTTCGGTTCGGCGTCCATTGGAATACACGAACCCCAGTGCTTGATCAAGTGGACCAGAGACAACGATAGCTTGCCGCCACATCTCAGAAGACCTGTGCCCACCAAACCGGAAATTATCATCGATGCAGGTATACCTCAAGTCCTAGCAGATGGCGTAGAGCATAATAATATGTTGAGTTGAGCACACCTACTATAGGATTTTGTAATGTATTCCATGTTTATAATAATGATGGTATACCGTACAATACATCTCGACCGAGTGTATACCTGAACTTTGCCTACAGAACAAAATTAAAAATAATAGCAAGAGACATTTGTTTGACGGTTTTTAATATGCGATATAATACACCTATAGAACAAAGTAGGTAGGTAGACAAATTGAACAAAATACAACTTTTCTTTTATACATGTATAACATCCAATCAATAAATAAAATCCCAATAGTTTTTTGGTTTTGAAAATATACAGTAGGTATTGCTAAAAAGATATCTAAACAACGCTTTTGTTTTATAGTAATACTGAACGAATAAAACGTACAAAATTTCATAGATTTTTTTTCTTTCAAGTTTAACAAATTTTATTTGATTAACTACATAATATTATAATAATACAAATGTATTTATAATTATAACACAATGATATAATTATTTTTTGTTGGAAAAATCGGATTTTTGTAGGTATTCCAAACCGCGCGATCCTGTACGTATGCGTTATTTTAGTTAAATAATTAAAAAAATTATCTGTAAACCGAAATAACTGTATAAATTACCTATGTTATGCATTTAGTTTAAAAGCTCGATTTAAAAACATTACAATTTTCATGTCAATTGTGATACCTTAAATGTTTTCGATCCAAGTAGCATTCTACTCATGTCTAGATGAAATTCTATTTGATCTCTATGCCTACTACATAATTGGCTGAATTAAAAAAAAAAAAAACTATTGCTGAACTCAGTATGACAATCTTTCTACATTTTGAAATGGGTCACGAGTTATTTATGAAACGAATTTAATTTTCATAATTTGTTTATAGCGACGGGCCAAGTGGATCAACAGGCCACTAGAGAAGAATACTGGAAGACGTACTTATCTCAGCTGGTGCCGTGTGATCGATGCCAACGGACTTTCGACCCGGACCGTCTGGAAGTGCACCAGCGGAGTTGTAAAGGAATCACGACCAAATAGAAAACAATAGAACAGCTATTATTCCAATCGTGCACAATAGCATAATAATATGCTTATCGACAAGCGGATAATCGATGCTGACCATTCTACACTTGATCGACATTTCCTACCTTCATAACGGTTACCTATACAATTACTTGCAAGAGTTTTCATCATGCCACTATTATAATTTTAATATTCAATAAAATATAATATAAATAAGATTTACTCCTACAACTCGTCTTGTATATATCGCCCACTGGATTTTTTGTTTTTGAACATATTACTCCTAACTTACTGTTAATTGGTAAAAATATTATTTAAAAATAACATATTTATAAATTAAATTATTTTATTTATGGCCAAAAAATAAATACAAATAATTTAAAAATGTTCGTCAACTAGGCTTCAAAATAAGTCATCAATGGCAAATAAAAATTATTGTAAAACTTATGTTCTGTCTAAGGTTAATAAACTGTCATCCATTCTCCTTGAGATTTGTTTTTTTATACTTAAGAAATATTAACTTTTAAAATTGGTTTGCTGTATGATATTGAAATACCGTGCAATACTTGTTTGAAATGGTATAACATGTATTGCCGCCTTTTGAAAATATTTAAATTTCTCTGCTACCAGAGTTACTATATAATATATACTGTGGTTGAACTATTTCCAGACTACGCTACGATTGTCAATATTTTAATTTCATAAAACTGAATACTAATTTGTTATTAATAGGAAATTCATAAACCTACATATTATAGTCATTTTTATTCAGTGTACCATATGAATGATTACAAAATACACGTGCATATAAATTTGTGTTAGTCTAAACCACATTTCAATTGTAAAACAAATTTAAGTTTTAAGAGAATAAACGTATTTTATTGACGCAGGTCCAAAAAAAAAAAAAAGGTTAGTTTAGTAGGCAGTTGGAAAATATTTTGTTTTAAAAATGTGTGTCGTTTTGTGGTTTTACTTGTTGGGGTCAAATCGAATAATATAGAAAATAATCATTACATTGATCACGTACATTCACAGATTCAATATCAAATGACACAGTACTCATACAACTTTCAACAGTTCCATAAGCATAATACTGTGTTAGAGTCGTGACCAATTACACAATGTACATTATTACTGACCTAGTTTTCATGTAAAACAATAATTACCTATGAAACAGCTATTTTAGGCTCGTAGAAAAAATGTATTCAAAATTATTACTGAAAGCAATGTGGTTCGACGCATCAGGTTTGAATTTAAATGTTAATATGTTAATGAAGTTTTGTAATTGAAGGATTATGTTAACCGTAAGAAATATGTATTAGAAATTATTGCTTGTAAAACAAAGTTATTGGTAGTTTTTTTAACAAGCAGACACACACATCATTGGTATTTAAAATTAGGTAATATCGATTTAGGCTAACTTTGTATTGGTATAAACGTAAAAACAATAAAAAATAAAAGGAAATAACAAAATAGATTTTTGTTTTATTAGGTATTTTAGTGGCACATGCACAGCAATACCAGACTTTATTCTTTGATGTCGCACATAATATTATCTCGACGAGAATGTTGACCGAGAGCAAGACAAGATTAATCTTAACAGAAGTGATGATAAAATATTCTCAGATTCATAAAATTAAGTAACTATTGAACATTTGGAAAGAGAGAAAATATAAACCAGTTCATGCTGAATATTTCTAACAAAAGACAATTGGTTTTTTTTTTTTTTTTATCAAAAGTCATAACAAGTGTTGTTCAAAATTAAAACCAAAAAATAATATTTATATATGGAAATAAATACATCAAATTCTCGGTACTATTGTGTTTAACAATAAAATAATAAAAAAAATATATGCGGAAATTGTAGAGTTAACATTATGTTTACAATTTATCGAAGTAATTGTTAATGTCTGGTAATCCTTCCTTGAGACCCTTGCGTTTACGTGTATCCTACAAGTAAAAAATAATTTTAGTATTTTCGCTCGTCAAGTATTGTTACTGTTAAGACTTACCATAACAACAGTGTATGTCTTAGTTCCAGGTTCGCACGGATCACCAGGGAATACCTGCCAGTGGTCAAACACACATTGTGGGAAAGCTTGTCCACCAGTATTGCTGCGCAAATCTGCTGTGAATCCTGTGTATAGAAATGATAAAAATTAGAGCTTGTTACAGCTAGACACCTTTTTAATGTAATTAACACCGAAGTACATTATGTTCCAGCTGATCATAGCAAAATGTCGTCATCGGACATAAAGATAGAGGTCCTACAACAGCGTTCTGAAAAGCTCGGTTATGTTTTCTATTCTTCCATAAGCACTATCAACACTGTCTCCGTTCACAGACGAATAAAAACCCGCCCGCCAACTACAGAGTGATGCATTTGTGCTGGAAGTTTTTAAATACAAGAAGCATACATCATGCAACCAGAAATAAGGATCTCTTTGTGGTTATATGAGTGTATTGTACCAGATAAAAAATTTGGTCAACATAGCGACATACACCTAAAATTTGTTTTAGCCACTAAAGGAAAGTCCAACACTTTATTAAATGAAAGTGAAAGAGGCAAAAGGTGGCCAAATTTTATCCTATTCAATTTATTATGTCTTAAATTTTTGTGATAATATGTGTGTATTGTATCAGATAAAAACCTGATAAACATAGCGACATCTATCTCAATTTTAATTTTGCCACAAAAGGAAAGTCCGTTACTCTATCATGTGAAAGTAGCAGAGGCAAATAATGGCTTTAAATAATTTAATGAACAAAATAAGCAAGGAACAAAACTTACCGAAAGACTCATTGACAGGCAAATATGCTTTGACGACAAACATAGGAGTTCCAACTACTTGACTTTCTTCAAATACGTGTCCTCTACGTCTGTTCAAAACACTGTAAATTCCACCAACTGCGACTTCGGGACACTGAGAAACAATAAAATACATTATTCAAGTAAATTGATTAACAACAAAAATTCTATTAACAAACCTGAATTTCACACAAGTACACCGGCTCCATAATCCTGGGATGGGCAGATAAAATACAAGCGTACATGCATCGACGAGCGGTTGGAATAATTTGACCACCTCCTCTATGAATGGCATCAGCGTGTAATGTAACGTCGTGAATATTGAATCTAACTGCACGCATGTTTTCTTCAGCCAAGACTCCCTAGAAAAAAACAATATAATATTCATTTAAAATATTTTTATAATAATTTGCATTATATTTTTTTTAGTTAACACAAGCTGTTTTAAACACACTCAGACACTTTCAGCCATCACTGGTAATTATTACCATCTGGTGGAAACCGCGAAAGATATATTAGGGTATCATCATAGCACATTTATTATCCAATTATGCAGATTTTCTCAACTTTTAAAGTATACTGCGGAGCGAGTTTTAAGTAATAAGAGGTATAAAAACGTATAAAACTAACGGCTCAGTTGGGGTTCGAACTCTAGACTTCCTGTATGCTGAAGAGCTGCACTTCCACTACACCTCTATCTGATATGCATTTTCATTTTTCACACCTTTTAAACTGTGAACACACCTCGCTGCTGTTATCACGATAATGAAGTTGCAATTGTATTTATTAAACCAAGCACCTAGTATATATATATTTTTTTATTGTGGTAATTATAGGTTTTGAGTAAAATATTTTATTTATTTTAGTAGTTATATATATTTGTACTCAGACACTTTCAGCCATCACTGGGCAAAGCCATCTGGTGGAAACCGCGAAAGATATTAATTATTATCATCATAGTTATAATTCAATAACATGTCATAAAAGTTTTCTGCATAATTAAATGAAAATATCGCTAAAATTACAAATTTAAGCTTCGGTTACACTAGATAAAATTACTAGCTAGTCGTTTATGAATTCACCTATTGCTACTTAACTAGCTCCTCGTAATAGGGACTGTCATATCAATAAACTGAGAGTTAGCCATTCACTTAACCGGTTAATTGTTTCACACTTTTTAATCGACACTCAATTAGATAGTAAATTCAATTAGTATAATCGAGGCTAAAAACATGTTTATTATAAGTCAGACACTTTCAGCCATCACTAGACCAGCAAGGTCATCTGGTGGAAACCGCGAAAGATATAATATTGTATCATCATAGTTTTATTTAGTGTACATCCGTTATTTTATAAAATTGTATTGAAAAATCAAAAGAAATAAAAACTACAACATTGTAGTACTCAGACACTTTCAGCCATCATAGTGACCTAATAGGCCATCTGGTGGAAACCGCGAAAGAATATAAAGTGTATCATCAGTGTAAGTTTATAGTTTAATTTAAAGTTCTTATTTTGTCCATAATAGTATTTACTTTGCTCAGACACTTTCAGCCATCACTTAACCAGAAAGGTCATCTGGTGGAAACCGCGAAAGATATAATAATGTATCATCACGGCAAATGAAGTTAATAAAATATACAAATGTATTACCTCTTTGGTGGCCCATTGGAAACCAGCAACAACGGAATCTTTAATTTCATTAAGATATTGTACTCCCTTTGTGACGTCAATTAACAAGTTGGGACCAGTACCATCTGGACCGAAAGCCCAAATTTTACGTGCTTCAGTCACATCGTATTCATACTTTTCTCCTAGATAACGGGCACGTGCTTTGAATTCATCTCTAGGATTGACTTGTCCCTAAACATAAAATTATTTATTAGATGATCATTCTTTATCAAATTAAACATTTTTTACTTACACCTTCGATGTCTTCAGCCAAACCGTCTGGGAAGGGTTCACATTTCATGAACAATCTGTTGTGTTTGTTGGGCGATTTTGATAAGCACATAATTTCTGATTCTTCATTGACAGTTTCTCTGTATGACACAACTGGGTCTGATTTCTTGATTGGGATACAAGCGTGGTCTTCTTCCAAGTCCTTGAGGCAAATTTCCAAATGTAATTCTCCAGCACCAGCAACAATGTGTTCACCAGATTCTTCAATAATACATTGGACCATAGGATCAGACTTCGCTAAACGTTTAAGTCCTTCAACCAATTTGGGCAGGTCAGCAGGATTTTTGGGCTCAACAGCAATGCGCACCACAGGGGATACACTGAACTTCATCACCTTCATGTTGTGGGCATCCTTAAATGTAGTGATCGTTCCAGTTTTCACCAAAAACTGATCAACGCCGACCAATCCACAGATGTTACCACTGGGAACGTCTTCAATAGCTTCAGTATAACGTCCCATCATCAAAATTGTTCTTTGGATAGCCTTTTCGTACAAATCTTCTTTCTTTCCTGGAGTGTAGTTGGGTCCCATGATACGAGCTTTCATGCCAGTGGCAACCTAAAATTTATATCATTCACATTTAAACAACATCCTTCATAACAAAAGTTACATTATTCTTTGAACATATAACTCAATAAATATTGAAGACAATCATTTTCAACTTTTTTAATAGTTCTCTTTTTACTAGTGATGTTTCTTAATTAAAAAAAATATGAAAAACCTGAAGTATTAAGATTGAAAATTATCAAGTACCCAATAGCATTCATTATCCAGTCAATAAAAAAAAAGATCCGATTAAAAATTACAACTACTTAGATAATAAGTATACGTGGGTGAATATAAAAATGTTTGACTAAAACAAATATCACTATTATAGGCCGAATACTAAATATTTGCTATTATTTATGATACTTTTTACCAACCCTTCCAGAGAACACACGTCCAAAAGCGTAGAACCGTCCTTTATCAGAAGTCGGCACCATTTTGGAAATGTACATCATAAGTGGTGCATCAGGATCACAGTTCTGTAATAAATAATATTTTAGTATTTAGCAAATTAATTATAAAAAATAAAATACCTTCACTCCAAGGGCGGCTTCATCATCGTGAGGACCTTCGTATAACATTTCCATACGGTATTTTTGAGCAACAACAGGGGATGGCAAGTGAATAGCAATCATCTGAAGTAAAGCTTCTCCAGCAGGTAACCAGGTACGCATAACAACCTATTGATATTAACAACAAAAATAATAGCATATAAATGTTAGGGAAAATCTCTCAATGAAGTTGTGCAGCTATTGAAAATTCTAACTCAGATGGAGAAGGGTTAACTAGGAATATCTACATGGTATTCTTTTTCTGAATAATATTTCATCATCATCGTTAAGTTAAGAGAAGAAAAATATTTTCTGTAATACTTGAAGTTAATAAATGTTTAGTAAAATCTCTCAATTAAGTTGTAAAACTATTGAAAATTCTAACTCAGATGGAGAAGGGTTAACTAGGAATATCTACATGGTATTCTTTTTCTGAATAATATTTCATCATCATCGTAAGATTAAGAGAAAAAAATATTTACTTCAAGTATTACATTAAATATAGTTATTATATAGTTACCTTTAATAAAGCTTTTCCGTCTTTGTCTTGATCTTCATGTTTTAACTCAATTCCAAGTTTTTTCAAAAGGTCAGTGGCTTCATCTTTCTTATAGTTCATGATACAATTGAAGACCTAAAAAATTATTAAATTAATTAATACTAATATGTAGGATGAACAATCCAATTAAAAATTTCAATGATTAATTTTTGTAAAATCAAACCGTCAGATAACTAAAAATTAATATCTCCAAAATATTTCAGAACAGGTCTGTGATAAATATTCATCATAGGTTTGTAAAAATGAAGGTTATAACTAAGAGGTTTATAGATTGAAAAAAACAAATACAAATTATCTCAGTCGGCCGTTCTTAAAGGCATCGTCAAAGAACATCAGTTGTGTTTGGTGTGCTTAATATTCATCACTGGTAAATTATTTTATTCTTAAATTTTTTTTTTATAAAATAAAAATTGGTATTTCAATCCTCAGACGGCCGTTCTTAAGATATCTTCATGAAGATCTCAGAAGCATTGGTGTGCAAGAACATCATCACTGGTTTACCAATTTTTAACTATAAATAATATCTAATACCGGATAAAATTTTTTTTATCACATGGAGTTTTTTTATATTGAAGTTAACAAAATTTGAAATATAAGCATTCCAAGAAAATTTTTTAAAAGCAAAAGTGGTATTTTTAAGAGACTTCAGACGGCCGTTCTTAAGATATCTTCAATTAGTATTACAGGAGCATTGGTGTGCAAGAACATCATCATAAGTCTACCAATTTTAACTTTAAATTGTACTAGAAAAATAAATTTATTCTCTCAAGATGTTCTTACATTAACTTATAAGCATTTCTGAAAATCCTATAGGTGGTCGCAACGCTTGATAATCTATTCATTAGAAAATAGCAAAAATTACACCAGGCTGACATTACGCATTTAAATGCAGTGCGTTGTTTATCATCAAAGGTGGTGTAAAAACTTCAAGTGCGAGCGCTTAAGGTTAAAAATATGAGTTGTATGAATGTGTACAAAAAATAACTAGTATTTACAAGTGTACATCATTCTAAGGAATATTTTTTTATGTTATATTTGTAAGCAACATCAGTCGGCCGTTCTTATGATATCGTCAAATATATCAGAAGCATTGGTGTGCAAGAATATCATCATTGTTGTTAGTTATGTTTAATAACGGCAATTAATAAAAATAAATTATGTTTACATACTTTGTAAATAGGGTCCAAGATGTACATGTTGAATGATCGTTGGTTATTATCATCCTTTTGCTTAGCCCATTTCTTTGTTTTGGTGTTAAAGAAGTTCTCACCCCAAAGTCTATAATTAAAAATATATACAAAATGTATACAGTAAATCAATAGAGACAGCAATACTTTACCTGTTCATAAGCTTCACAACGTCAATCTTGAATTTTTCAGCATACATTTCAGCGAACTGTTTCAAAGTAAAAGCCCATCCGTGTAGACCAGATCCAAAACCAACACTTCCTTTGCTAGGGTCAACCTACACATTTGTTTAAGTTCTTAAAAAAATATTTATGTGTTATCAAAGCAAGCAATACTAATAACTATAAATGTAAAAATAATCTTTCAGACGTGGAGAAGGGTAAAAATATATTTCATACTACTGTCAATAGTTAGTTTATGTATCATCATAAAGATTAATTTACTTAGATTTTATTTATTTGAAAAGTTAATTATTACCTGAACTTCACCCATTGGACCACTGTCATCTGAGTATGTGGCGATAATGATATTTACGTTTTCAACAATACGTTGGAAAGTCTGATACAGATCTTCAGATTCTAATTGCAATTCCAAAAGAGCACGGTCCATCTTGTTCATGAACAAAATAGGCTTAATTCTTTCAGCGATAGCTTGACGCAACACAGTTTCAGTTTGAACACACACACCTAAATAATTTGCATTGTTTAAAATGATTATTATTGTGTATGGCTTTATTTTACTATTTATTATCAGGAATATGTTTTTAAGGCCTAGTTAGGTCGCCTAAGACGATAACGGTAGTCTTTCTCTTTAGACAGTAATCTGCCCATAGAGAAACTAATCGTAGTAAAGTATTAAACTGATAATAGATACATGATACATGTAAATAAAATATAAGATAATTATTAATTACCAGAGACACAATCGACAACAACTAAAGCTCCATCAGTGACACGAAGAGCAGCAGTGACTTCACTAGAGAAATCAACGTGCCCAGGTGAATCAATCAAGTTGATCAAAAATCCTTTTTCTGTCACATCACGTTGGTCAGGGTTCTTGATGAAGACCAAATCTTTCTCTTGCAATTCGAAGTACATAGAAATAGCGGTAGACTTGATTGTGATACAACGATCTTGTTCATCTTTACGTGTGTCGGTAAAACGCATATCACCAGCCTTAGCATTAGCAATAATACCAGCTTTGGATACCAAAGAATCGGTCAAGGTTGACTTTCCATGATCCACATGAGCAATGACGGACATGTTACGGATATTCCGTTTTTTGTCCATCATGCCACGGATCTCATCTACTGTGAAGTTCACCTAAAATAAAGATTTAGTTTAAAAAAATATTTATACAACTATATACATATTTTATTTAATTATCTATTAAACTTTATTAAATTAAAATGTCAGACTCATTAAATCAGTTTTTACCTCCACGAATGGTCAGGTTGTTAAAGGGTCATCATTCATGTTTTTAAACATTGATCACAAAGAAAAATGTATTTAGATAAAGATATCGGCATATTAACCAAATAGTATTATGACATCACTTAAGTTATCCTATTCTATTATCCTAGATTGCCAAAAACTAGAAATTTGAATGCTAAGATAAATTGAATTAAAAAAAAAAGGTTATCTCCCTTTAAAAATTATTAGAGATTAAAAGAAGGTTATTTGTGCGTTTTATCAAAATGTAAAACAAAATAATTATATTACATTTTATTGTAAAATAATGTTACTTAGTTGATCAGAATAACATTAGTTTTAAGGGCCGCTGACTACTTTCAGTTTAAAGTAACTTTTTTAAAGAAAAACGAAATCAATAAATGTATTCAACTGAAATATTGCAAATAATGCATATGTCATGACAGTAATGAAATAGCCAACACAACGTATTATAGTAGATTGGACTTTGAACAGTTAATTTTTAACAATAAACAATTATTAATAAATAGGTATTAAAAAATCCCTTAACCCCCATAAAATAATATTAACATAATACACATTAACATAAGTTTATTTAATTTATTTACTATATAAAACAGCAAGACGTGCAAAGTATTTCTAAAATATTATTATTATGACATAAAACATATTGCTACGGTTAGGAGGTTAGGTATAATTTTTTTAAAGTTACGAAGAGGTGCACAAATATTTGATGGATACTTTTAAAATAGTAAACGACCATGGGCCGTTTTGATTTAAAAATTATTTTGAATAGAGTTTGATGCAACTAAAACCAAAGGGGCAGCGTCTTCGATAATGAAAAACCTACTTTTACAAGCAGAGGATTGGGCAAATTAATAATTTACTATTAAAAATTGTCAACGGTGTTGTATTGCATTATCAGAAAAAGTAGGAGAACTAATTGTATCACTACCCCTAACATAGTAGGGTAGTTTACGGTAATTAGTTCAGCGTGTAATTAATGCAAAAGAAAAAAAAACCAAGAGAGAGATTTCAATCCCGTGGAATGCCAACACATCGTACCCACGTCAATTCCTTTATTTTAAAGTGCCGGCTAGAGCGGCAAAAATATCGAAAACCGAATCGATCAAAGTAAATTCGGATCGGGTGACAATAGCTTATAGTGTAAATACGTAAATAAATCTGATCAATACTTACCATTTTTGGATGTTTTCGGATAAATTTCTAGGTCGAAAAACTGTTGTTGCACGAGTGTCGACGAGACGACGTTGCAACAGAAAGGACCGCTGTTACCGTCGAGAGCTACGGCCGAGTACCTCTACTCCCTCTCCCTCACCCCGCAGCGTCCAACGGTCGCCATGACACGTTGCACCGACGAACATAATACCCCCCTCCCCACCACCGACAACGGTTGTGAAACAAATTGCCCAGCGGTAACCACGTTGGCCAACCTCACTCAACGGATAACAGCTACTCAATGGTTCACTGCTTATCACAACTCGTACGATACCATTGTTATGATAGCTCCATGGCACAATAAAAAGTCGATGATAACAATAAAGCAAACAACATTATTGCGCTCTGAAGTTATAACTTTATCTTGTAATAAATTATAGTAATTAATAACAATTAACAACAAGTCTAAAGGTGTAAAATATTAAAAATATATTACATTTTTTTTTGCCCTATTTTCTGTAGCCTAAAGGTAAAAAATTTTGAGAAGACGTTGTTCTAACATGTTATAAATTTGAATACGTTAAAAACAACATAAGTTAATATGTAAGTAATGTTTGTTATTATTTATGAATACTTTAACAGTTAAAAGAATTTTTTGTTTTGACTTTAAAAAAAAAAAACTATTGCAACATTACATTTATCCAATTTAATACCAAGTTGATATGAAGCGATTAACACAATTTGAAACTTAAAGTTATGAAGTCTAAACGGTTAATTTTATTTTATTTTTAGGTCATCTGCATATGTATCTAGACATGATTCTAGATCGAGAGATCGTAACAGAAATAAGAAAACTGATGACAAATATGAGGACTATAAACATAGGAGACAACAAAAGAGTTCATCTAAAAAGAGATATAAATCTAAATCAAAATCAAAATCTAAGCATAAAAGCAGAAGCAGAAGGTATAGTACAATTAAGGGTGTAAACTAATGCTTTACGTGGCTTATATCGACTGCTGCAACAAAGATTGTTTTTTATTAATTAAAATTTTTTTTATCCTCTGTTAGCTCCGCGTCTTTTGGTCACACTTAAATAAAGTGTGACTGGCATACAATTCTTATCTGAGTCACAGTGTGACTAAATCTGATAGCGCTCTTTTTTACCTGCAGCGTGACTAACAATGGGTTAGTTTAACCCATTTAACTAATACAAAGTGAGTTCTGTAAAACCGGTCATATCTTGAATCGAGCAATGAGATTTTGATTAACATATTCAAGATACTACCTTTTTCATCGATAATAAAAAAAACTCGTGGTATCAATTTAAAAAAAGAAATTTTTTTTTTCAAAATTGAGATGAGATACACCCTTCTTTGTTGTTGCAGTCGCTATGTAGGTCACATATTTTGTATACAGTGGTCTTCCTATAAAAATGATTTTACTGATTTACTTACTTGCTATTTACATCTTAAGATAAACTACTAAAACTAAGATACAAATCTTATTGGTAATTAAAAATAATTGATATTTAAAAAAAAATAATGAATATAAATATATTATAATTGTATGGAGGAATAGATAAATATATTATAAATAATTTTTGATAATTAATAAAAATATTAAAAATATACTTCTCCACAAAAAATGATAGTATAGTATAAGAATAGTATAGTATTAATTAGTTGAATAATAATATATTATTATTTGATCATATTTCTTTTAATTAAATTTAAGTTAAAATATATTTTATTTTGTTTATTTATAGGTCTTCATCAAAAGATTCATCATCGTCATCTTCTTCGTCATCATCAAAATCTAGTAATGACGAAGCTAAACTATTAGAGCGTTTACAAAAAGAAAGGATGAGATTAGAAGAAGAACGAAAAAATCAAAAAGAATTAGCAAAAGCTATGGAGACACCAGAAGAAAAACGCTTTAGACGTTTAATGAAAAAAGAAGCGAAAGAAAGAAAAAGAAAAGAACTTATGGGATGGGATAATGATTATCTTCATTATACAAATGCTGATAATCCTTTTGGTGATGCAAATTTGTTATCCACATTTGTATGGGATAAAAAATTGGCTAAGGATGGTCTAGTAGGAGTTAGTCATGAAGAACTGGAGGCGAGAAACAGGCAAAAAATGGAAGAAAATAAAAGAGAATTAGAGAAAGTAAAAAAGTCACGCATGGAAAGAGAAATGGAAAGGCAACAGCGAGACGAAGAAATGGCGATGATGCAAAGAACTAAAGAGGCAGCACAATTTAAAGAATGGGAAAAGAACGAAGATCAGTTTCATTTAGAACAAGCCCGTTTAAGATCAACTATTCGAATTCATGATGGCCGAGGTAAAAAATATAATAACTAATTAAAAAAATGTAATTTTAAAGTTTAATTTTTTCCTTTAATGTTTTAGCAAAACCTATTGATCTTCTTGCTAAGTATATAAGTAACGAAGATGACGTAGACACAGCAGAGATGTACGAGCCATATATTTATTTAAACGGTTTGGTTTTGAAAGATTTGGAAGATCTTGTTGTTGACATAAAAGTTTATATGGAGTTAGAAAAGGGAAAAAATTTTGAATATTGGAACGATATAACAGTTATCGTTGAAGACGAATTGCATAAAATGAGAAAAAAACAAACTGAATCGGCGTACACTGGTAAATAATATACACCTACAAAATACGCATTAAACTCTGTAGGATATAGGGGAGATAAGACTTATGTGAAGTACAATTTCAATTACAAGGTTCGCATAATGGACCTATAGGTTGGAGTACATGATCGCTTTCCGGGTCCCAACCCTTAATACTAAAACTACACCTATGAAATAGTTAGATTTTCTGCTAAAAGCAAGCTAATGTTAAATATTGTTTTTTACAGTCGTTGGCCGTCGAGAAGGTATACATCAATCGGTGGCAAATGAAGTCGCTCAAATTTTTAAAGGTAAAAACGCAGAGCAATTGGATCAGTTAAAAGCACAAATTGAGAAAAAAATTAATAGCAAGGCAGAAGGAGTAGATATAGGATATTGGGAAACGTTGTTGTCTCAGCTCAAAGGTATTATTTTTTAAGGTTTATTTACTTAACTTTTAATGTTTAAATAATCGATGCATTTTTTTTTTTTTTAGCACATGTTGCAAGAGCAAGGTTAAGAGATCGCCATAATGAAACATTAAAACGTAAGCTGGAGGTACTGAAGGCTCAGCAAAAAGTTGTAGAGGATAAACAATTAGATGTCGCCGAAGGAAGTAGTGAAAAAAATATAACCAAACAACAATCGTCTTCTGCCAATGTACAACATGATCACAACGAGCCATCGACTTCTAAAGATCATACAAATGAAGGAGAAGAATCACAATGTTCCGTTGAAGAATTGAGGTGATTATACTAAATTGTACTTAAATAGTTATTTCTAAATGAAACATACTAAAAAGTTATTCAATCATTTTTTTTTTTATTATTTGACAATAAGGTTTTTCTTATAAAAATGAATAGATTAATGTATTTAAAAATGTTAAGAAATTGAAAGACGACAATTTATTATAAGTGTTCATGGGCTGAACTATATTTGTCACGTTCCATTATGTTAATTATTGAAAGCCGCTAAGGGGTTGATGTACTAGTGGGTTAGCCTTGAATGTCTAAAGTTGGTTCTTGCTAAGTCCATTACTGGTTTGGTCCTATTTAGTTATAGTAACCAATTAAATACTGAAATTTCAGTTTGGTTTCATTTTTTTTTTTAACCATTAATAAATATTTAGTGATATATTTTTTTAATGTATTGTGAGAATGTAGTTAAGAGAACACTATAGCCTACATACCCAATTTTCTAGCATTAAAATATACCTACGCAACATGCGTTTTATGCTATTTTTGATAAACCTAATATTTAACATTTAAAATCACATTATTTTACTTTTTTTAAATAATAATTAACTTTTATAGGTGTTTTTGCTCTAAAATCTATGGACTGAGTTAAACGCATTCTGCGTAGCTATGTTTAAATTAAATTTTTTTTTAAATCCCTGTAAGGATGCTGTGATAATCCGAAAAATAAATTAACTATTAAAAAAAAGAGTTCTAATTATTGAATTATTAGTTACACATCACAGTTTAACCTTTATATTAAGATTTTGAAAATAATTGCCTATACTTTACTTCTTAGAAATGGGCAGTGTAATGTCCTCTAACAAAATATATTTATTGGGTCAATACTGATATAATGATAATGAGTTTATTTTAAATACATAGAACATTTATTTTATACTATAAAATAGACACAGGTATAAAAAAAAATGCTTATGTTTTTTTAAATTTAATATTAATTATGTAGTAAAGTATTTTATTATTTGAAACATGTCATTAGTGATGCCGAACAAGAAATTCAAAATAAAATCGAAGAGTGTATTACTGACTATGAATCTAATGGGTACAGTCCTGTGTATGTATCGCCAAATAGTTTGGAACTGGGAACATTAGTCGTATCGGAAGAAGATGACCTCAAAAGACTGACGTTTGCCAGATTACAAGTGCAGGGTACGGGAACAAGGATTGAGGTGAGTTTATTATCACGATAATAAATTATTGAATGTGTCAATTGTTAGTTTATATATTCGAATGTGGTCATAAATTATTAAATTGACTTTGAAAAATTTACTGTATCGGTTATCGTAAATAATAATGTATATTTATTTACGAGTTTGACAGTCACATGATACCATCGATATTTGATGCCAACTGCATTAGGGTTGTTTGTTTGCTTTGTTATCGGAACACCTTGATCTAAATCTAAAGTTAACAAAAAAAAAAAGTATTATAGGATTATAATTGTGCATAATTTATGACAAAAATCATTTTGTTATACATAAAGTATATTATCTATCATCATCATACCTATTATAGATATGAATAACATTATGTGTATATTTAATATACTTGTGTCACCTAAAGATTTATGTGACAATGATTTACATAATAGATTTGTATTTTAACAGAATGTCATGGCTGCTGAAGAAAGAGCTTTACAAAAAGAAGCTAGAAAGGGGATGACTAACGAGGAAGCGGAATTTTCAGTCGAATCCGAATTAGATAATCAAGTTTATTTATGGTCGGATAAATACAGACCACGTAAACCGAGATATTTCAATAGGTAATCCGATTGTTTATATTCATAAGGGTTCTTAAATATACTAATTCGATATAATTTTTAGGGTTCACACTGGATTTGAATGGAATAAATACAATCAGACCCATTATGATATGGATAATCCACCGCCAAAAATTGTTCAAGGGTACAAATTCAATATATTTTATCCAGATTTAATAAATAAAGGATCGACGCCTCAATATTTCTTAGTATGCTAAATAAAAATACATTGTAGTTAATTAAATTTTTTTTTTTTACAAATGAATAATACTATGCTTTACTTTTAGACCGCTTGTGCAGATAATCCAGAATTTGCAGTGTTACGTTTCCACGCTGGTCCACCATACGAAGATATTGCATTCAAAATAGTTAATAGAGAATGGGAATATTCATATAAACGAGGGTTCCGTTGTCAATTCCACAACAACATTTTTCAACTTTGGTTCCATTTTAAGCGATATCGCTATAGGAGATAGTTTAGAAACGTATGTGCCTTTCTAACTATAACAACCTATTGTTTTGTACCTGTAAATTTAAAAAAAATAAATTGACTTTTTTGTTAGTTTTTAAATAATTTGGTTTAGTTTTGGATTATTCAACAACCTTAACTGTAATAAACAAAATCTCCCTTAAGGGAAGTCTGATAAGTGTGCAGTCAATATAAATGTAAAACATTTTATAGACAATGTGGTTATATACATTATAATTCTATTATTTAATTTTTTGGGATTCCTCTGGTATTTTATTATTTTTTTAAATTATAGTGTTTGTAATCGTATGTTTAATTTTTTTTTACCCCGGAAATAAGTTTTTTGGAAAGGAGCAAATCGGTGTAAAGCAGTACAGGGTGGTGTTACAAATAAATGTCATATGTATATAGTAAATAGTATAGCCATAGAAGTTTAGAAGTAATTCTATTATTTTTCAGAAAAATATATCTTATCATAGTTTTCAAGTTAAAAAATGTGTTATGAATATAAATGAAATGCACACGTTTAAGTGTTATAATTTATAATGATTAAACTGTAAATAAAAACATCTATCGTTTGTAGCAACTAGCAAACAATTTTCTTAAAAAATGCCTACCGATTTGTTTGGGGGACAATTCCAACAAATGAAATTGAATAAATTTGAAAATAATAATTTAAATAAAAAAGGTTATTGATGCACATTATCTAGTCTAATAACATTTGACCCAATTATCAGCATGGTTATCGTTCGTGTGGTCGGGGTTATGATGCGAAGTCCATAAAAAAATAGAATTTTTTTTTTGACAGATAGAATTTAATATAATTGGTTATCACAGGAGAGGTCAGCAAGCTTGTACATACAGAGTTCGACATAAAAGGGCCAAGAGTCATCATTTCATTAACTATACCGCTTTTAGGATTGCATATTATTATATTTTAGTTAGCTACAGAAATTGAGCGTTCAGCTAACAAAGCCTATCTTGTTATTATGAACATAATAAATAATAATAGACCTTTTATTACTATTTATATGAGCTACAACTTTTGAAATTATATAATAATACTATGCAAAATATTTTTCCACGTGGCAATATATGAACAAGGCCTAATACAGAAAAATTATGTAATAACAATAAATGGATACCAGAAGGTCCGCGCACTCAGACCGGTAGGTCCATTGTGCACACCTAAGTAAAGTTAAAACAATAGTTTTGAAATAATTATAATTTGTGTTTCTTTCAAAATTGCAATTCGTTTTATTTTAATCCAAAAAATTACTTAATATGCTCAAACTAATAGTGTTTTAAAATAAATTGAATTTGAATTTTTGGTGTATGTGATTTTTACGCTCAAAACGACCGAGAAAACATTAATCGAAATTGCCCATTACTTTTAATCATTTTAACAACGCATTAAACAAAAACCGTGTTTAATATTGTAGTAATAACTGTGAGCGTGATTAACAGAATATTTGGTAAAAAATGGTGTTAATCCCTAGGGCCGGACTACACAATGGTAATCCATAAACAACAAAACAGAAAATTGTTAAATAAATAATTTGAGAGATTATTAAAAAAAAAAACTAGAAAGCTAAAACTTTAGAGTTGTCATAATAGTATTGCAAAACGCTCAAAACTAACTAAAAACTCGAATTTGAAAGTTATTTTTTGAGTATAAGATTTCCATATAAAAAAACATATTTGGCACGTTCGTAGTTTGTGAGATTTCTTTGCAATTTTTTATTTCCCGAATAATAGTGTTTTTTACGCCAATTGCGAATCCAAGTCAGAATTAAGCGAACTTCTATAACTCAATAGCTGACGACGCGACTAGGCCCCCGCTCTTTGTGGTCCTTTTATTTTTTTTTGCCGGGCACGTGACACGGCTTCCAGGCTAAATAAACTGTGTGATCTATTGACTTTTATTAGGGAACCCCATATCTACCTGTATTTTTCTGTGATAGGTTGAAAATATGCTTTGAGTGAGAGAAAATTATTTTCGAATTAGTTTTATCATTTTTTTTTTTGTGGTGAATCCGAATCTTGCTTGAGAATTTCTCCAGCACGTCTAGTTATTTCGTAAATCACTTCCAATGTTGTAAAAATCCGCCGTTTTGTGATATTTCCAACGTGTTCAGTAGGTAAATTGAAATAATTTTCTAAAATGTATTTGGAATAGATTTTTTTTATTCTGTTTTTATATCTGAACTCAGAACTGTCTGAATTAATGTAAAATATCTGTAGTTCTGTTTTATTTTACATAAAAGAAAATTAAAAAAAATTTGATTTTTGTTTTGTAAGTTGTTTTTAATTTTGGTGGCTATTCAAAACATAGAGAGACGTGCTTTTGACATTTTGGGAGCAGATTCATGTTTCAAACGAAGGTCAAACTTTGTTGTACAGTAAAAAATAAAAATAAACAGTTCTTGAATAAAAAAAATGATAATTTACAGAATTTGTTCTTTAACACTTGAATTTCTGTTTTGTTTTATCAATAAATATGTCATATTATTAAATATGACTAAACTTGTAAATGGTTATATCATTGATGTAAGTAATAACCACATTTTTTTTGTTAAACTGTGGACCTTGGCCTATTATTTTTTCCTCGAGTACGTTTTTTTCTACTATTTCTTTTTCATTTATTTTGACTATATTATTATTATAAAAAGTACAAATAGGTAAACGTTAAGGCGTGTAGAATTTAATCAGATCAAAACAAAATCGTTAATAATTTAAATTGAAAAAATTAAAGGTACCATGCAATGTTGGCATACATATAATATATATATAACGTAATATTGCGTTGGATATATTTTATTCTACTATTGAATTTGCTATAACCAGGGATTGCACTATACGCCCAGGTAGTATTTTGAACTTCTCGGAACATATTAGCTATTAAGTTAAAACGACAATATATTCAATTAGTAGGTATAGGTATTTTATAAACTGGGAAAAATCTCCATTTGATACCCGAGTGGTTTTCAATTAGGATAGGTACTTAGACCTTTAAAAAAAAAAATGGAATCGGTATAGTGTAGCCCGAGTGCGTGTGGTTATCAAAACCTTTCTTATAGGCCGTGTGCAATTTCTACGACACTATTATTATTAAGGCGAACCAAATAAATGCGTCCACCTTGTGCGCGATCAACATATTATTTTAGTTCAAAATACCGAATACGTAGCCTGCACACGTGTGGCAAGAAATAACAATAACAAAAGTACCTACAGCAAAATTTGAAATCTATCGTTTGGTTTATCATTGAAAAAAAAAAATGTTATCGATAGAATATTGTAAAAATGTCAAAAAGTGAAATATGAAACATGATACGGTTTTATATTAATAACAACAATATTTTTCTTATTTGGTTGTTCCTGTTGTCCCCAAAAGGTTCATTTTGGAATACATCTATGATTGTTTCCCCTTTAGAAATACATTTAAAATAGAATATGATAATGTATGACGGCATTTTTATTAAATTTAGGTCAATATAATAATATTTACTCACATCTAAAAAGGAAAAAAAATGTCAAAGACTAGTACCTACAGGTGTTTAGTATGAGGGTCGTTGGTATAATATTTGGGTAGGCAATCTGTTCAGGTAGAGCGTATCTTAACACTATAATAACATCTACAATACTCAAGCTAATGTCAGATACTGTGAGTTACAAAGCAATGCGAATACTGTTATTTTTCCTGTAGTATATTAAAATATAATATTATTCCTTTAAGTTATAGTAATAATATACATTTTTATATTTGGTTCAATCGCGGTACATAAGCTCGAAAAATAAATAAAAGACACCTTATATACTCGAATAGTGAGTAAAAGTCGCATGTACACCAATTTATTAGTATTTAATTGACATGTTAATCTACCAAATTATTATTTTGCATGGTAATTTATATTTTAATTTAAACAAGAAGAGTAAATATTTGTGATGTATTCAATGATAATATAGTGAGCGTTTTTTTAATGTATGTAGATTAAGTATTTAAATACCTTTTAACACATCGTATATGCCGTATACTATACGTTATACATTTATTTGAAATATAATATTTTATTTCAAGGTTTATGATTCTGAAACCTATGTTGAATTATTTATTGTTACATTTCTATTTTTTAGTCATTTTTTGAATTTAATTGAAGAATTTGCATTTACCTTAAAATTAGTTTTTTTAAATATAATATATTATTTTGCACGAGTGTTCCATGTAATACATGTTTTTTTCATCTTTTAATTAAATGCAGACTAATTAACTTAAGTTTTAAATAATTACATAATTAATTCAATCTGTACGTTGAAATAAAAAAAGGCATTTGCCTTAGTCTGGAAAAAAAGAACATTTAACATTTTTTTGCTACAGTAGTACAATTGACATTTTAGTTTATCATATATCATATAATAAGTATAATTTTTTGTAGGTAATTACCAGCCAAAAATTGGACGGAAATAAGAAAATTGCATAGGTCGACTAAAAACTAAAACGCCATGTCACTTTTCGTAATGTCAACCAAACGCATTACTTTTTTCGGTACAGTTTTTATAACATATAAAAATACAATTAATTTTATTATAATAGAATAAAAAAATCCGACTCTTAGCCGCTTCCTTAAAATTAGCTGTTAACGTTTTTTATAAAAACAAATTGAAATAATTTTAATAGATGCGTCAAAAAAGTCACTTTAGTATATAAAAAAAACAATTAGCAATATTTAAATGACTAATCCCTTAGCTTTTTCAGTCATTTTAAAAGAATAAGTAAGTCCATTATCGTATCTGTAATTATGTACATGCCTTACATATTTTATACATTTCAAAAAGATTAATAAATATAAGGTTATTAAAATCCATAACGTATCTTGTAAAATTCATTTTAATTAAATTTAATAGATGAATTCGTTTTTAAAACAGCTTAATCGGCATTATATTATAATTGTTTATGCCTGTTTACTAAAACAAATATGATTGACTTTATAGGAATGTATGTGTTTGTTTGATATTATTATTCATATTAATTTAGATTATGAAAATTATTATTGTTAATGTTTTGTTTAAGTATTTAATAGTAGAATAATTATTATTGTAATAAAATCTAAAGATCTTAAATTTGTTAAGTTCATTATGTAAAAAAAAAAAATCAAAATTCAAATTAAATTTGATAAATACCAATTAAATAAGTTAGTATAAAAGTCTGTGTAATTATTAATTTTATAATACATACTGTACTTATTATAAGTTAATGGTATAACTGTGTGGAAAATTGCATAATTGACTCTTTCGCCCACAACATGTGTTGGCCTTTGATCCATCTTGTCTGAATATAATATATCGTTTTTACATTTATTAATAAAAAACATTTATTCAATTCTTAATGTTTAATGAGGTTTCTCAATGATTTCGATTTAGGTATCAAGCTCGAATTGTTAGGATATAAAAATACTAAAATAAGAAATTATTAAATATTATTATTATTATTTTTAAGGTATAAATATTAAATTTTAACCTAATGCGATAATTAATTATTAATGGCCTGTGTTAATTAACTGTATAATGAATCAAGAAGGGATATAGTATCGGTGTTGGCGCATTTCTGTACTATATTATATGTACATTTTTTTGGCCGATAATTTTAAAATTGATGATACCACTGTTTTAAAGTGAAAAGGTTCCAGGTAATATTTTTGAAAAGTCAAACTTTTGTATGTAATGTTTGTTTTTTGTATAATTTGGTCTCAAAATCATTTTAATACATTGCTTATTGTGTGCGAGTTACAACAAAATTAATGATAAAAAAAAACATATATAAATTCAACACGAAACATTTCTAGCTAAGTAGTTAGAAGTAAGTGTTATAGTTTCAAAATAAAAGTACTTTTATTTACTTCAATATTCCTTTCGAAAATTAAAATTTTTTTCCAAAAACGACCCTTTGAAAACTAAGATAAATGTTCGTTGTAACCTTTTCATTCTGCGTAACGAATTCAGCAGATGTTATCTATGGAAAATATTAGCTGCTGTCCAAATTTAATGCATAATATCATGTGTCTATACGTATTTCAGTTGTATCTGTTATAAATAAGATTTCTGGGCGATTTCCAACAAAAACGGCGATTGTACTCTTTTTGAGGCCAACAAACCGGCGGTGTTGATAAGTCACGTGAAATAAACTTATCTCTGTGAATCTTGTGGATTAATCAATATGTTTGAATGTGCCTCGATTATAAACTTAAATCTTGGTGTAAAGTTATATTCTTAGAGAGATTTCTCGCGGAGCCGCTAAATATTTCCACTTTTATATGAATTGATAAAAGTTGAAGTTTAATATATTTAATCGTCAATGCAAGATTGTTAAGCGTTAATAAAATAAATTAAAATAACAATAATATTTTCTCTTCTTAAAAAAATTACAAAAAAAAAGGATAAATAGATTCGACTAGAAACGCACATTGACGTAAACTTTCATAAATAAGTGCGACTTAAATCTCTTATAGCGCAACTGATGATAAGAATTTTTTCCTTGCATATAATTCATTTTGCGCAAGATAGTGCAACTGAACCGTACCTTTTTCCTGCGAGTTATTAACGATGACTATCTACTTGTCATGAAAAAAAAAGACCCGTACCGCCAATATAAACCTCGTGGTAGTCAGCTGACTATATGTATAATATTATCTTAGTATAAAAAAAAATATGTATGAACGTACAAAAAAAAAAAAAAACTATTATGTATAAATTATTCCCGTTCCCCTCCCCTACCCTCCCGCATTGGTCTCGTGGCGCTTTAGTGTTACATGAAACGCCGAGCGAAAGAAAATGGTATTCAAAACGGCGGTGACGACTAGATCCGTCACAACAACCTATATTATAGACGTTTGTTTTTTTTGTTTTCCACCATACTACGATCACCTTTGTGTTTGTGTGTTTGCGTTGTTGTATACATTAATAATTGTGTGTGTGTGTGTGTGTTTTCCTATTTTTCGTATCTCTTCGTCGTAAATCATTTTTAAGATAGTATTATTATTATTATTATATTTTTAATACCAATAAAATATGTAAGTATGTATGCATACACGGCGATATCGGCTTGACCCGAACTCGGTTCGACCTCTAAACGAGGTGGCAGCGGCGGCGGCGGCGGCCGTTCGTACGCCGGAAGATTGATACTTATTTAAATAGTAATATATTTCGTATGGTCAGTTTCCCAACAGCCACCGTGCGCGCACACGTTCAATACACGGCTGTATAGCGGACCGGCCAATAATAATTTTAAAAAAATAATAATAATATTTGCGACCGCGGTCGTTCGCCGAAAAGTTATTGCGCCCGCCGCCGCAGGGCCGACCTTCGTTTGTGTTGGTGTATGTGCTTATTATATTGTTCTGTTTTGCGTTGCTGTTCCTGTACCTACGGTGGGATAACGTTTTTCTCTGGGTTTTTGTTTTGTTCACTGGGAAATCTCACCCGCCTCCACCACCACCACCATCATTCGGGATAACAGGACAACAGGTAAATCGCCCTCCATCAATCACAAAAAAAAAAAAAAATTAACAATTGAAACCTAAATCTCGATACCGTTCGAATATTTGAGGCTCACATGAATGGCGTTTGAAAACAAAGCGCTGTAACAAAAAATTAACATTTTTTTTTTTTTAACCATATTGCATATACCGAACTCTCTATACACGTTTTCGGGTCCCGTCCGAGAAACTGTGCGTATAAGGTAAAATAATAGTATTAAAACATCATCGGCAGACGATTTAAAATATCGTCTAGGTTTTATTTTAACCGCAAACAGTATGTTTTGTGTGGGAGTCTACTGATAAAAAGCATTACGGTGATACCCTAACCTAACCTAACCTAATCGACGAAAAACCTGTTCCAGGTACTCCAGGTACCAACAGTATGCTGGAAATTATTCTAGATTTCATCCTCCTTCTAAAAAAAAATACATCAACTCATTAAATATGAAAAAATTGCGCTCTTAAAAATAATTATCGATGGTACCAAATATTTAAACTACGCTTGAATGTTCATTTGAGTAAGTGTCAGGATCGAATAAAATATTCAAACAACTATACGCCTACTTGTTGATTTAAAATAGAAGAGTTTTAAATGTCTACACTTAGGTAAAATAAACGTTTTCCAGAAAACATAGTTAAATGATACCACGTCAAGTATGTCGACTACCAAAAGTTTTTAAAAACTGTCAATTATATCCTGTTAAAAAGTTATTGTTCCATCAAAATTTTAATGTAGTCATCGAGAAATTACGCATAAATATTTAACATCACCTTTGAGTTCCCGATCAAACATTACTCAATTTATAATTAATATACATACACATTACATATCATAGTGCCTACACGGTAGTACATCCGCGGCAACATGTTTATTTCTTATAATATTACTTATTTATCATTGATTCAGTTTATTTCCTTTTTCAGATTAGAATTATGACTTTTAACACGATTGCACAACTCATTATTATCATAAACATATCATTTTTTTTTTAACAGCAATTAACTTCACATTGAAAAAGAACACTATAGGTAAACACCTTTTTTCCTTAACAAAATAATGTGATAGTACTTAATCAAAGCATCTCACGCATAATTATTTCAAAAATTAAACTTTTTTTTTGTAACAATACACTATTATATTGATGATATTAAATGATATACTCATAGTCGTACCTATAAAACTGTTTCGTACGAATGTTTTATTGGAAGCGGTTTTTTATATTTTTTTAAAGATATTAAATCAAATGTTGGTTTATATTGTTATGCTAAAAAAAAACCTGTTTTGTTTTATGGGAAGTCCAAAAAAACGAGACTATAATCCATATTTTTATAATACTCACAAATTATACTTTAAGGTATAGCAAACATTTAAATAAAATAAATTAGTATGTATTTATCTATTTTTAATAAAACTAAAATAATATGGTGTATATGTGCACCAGATTATGTTGTTGTTTTTAGGTATTATGTGATCATTATATAAATATTTTTAAAATAGAAATTGATTTGTAAGTATTACATCGTATGATCAAATATTTTTTGATACATTATTAAAAAAAAATGTATATTATTAATTAAAAATAGTTTATATACGTTTAAAATTATGTTTTAAATTTGTTCGAGCAAAAAAAAAGAACTCATATTGCAATAAACCTGATTTTTATTTAAATTTGTTAGAATTTTTTATTGTTGACTGTGTTAGGTTCTTTGAATAAGAGCACGGAATATATTTAAAAAGAAAAAAACTAACTGATACTAATCACAAAAAAAAAACTCCTATGTAAACCGTCTCAACAATCGTTCTTAATATCATATTTCGTTATCGATTGGCATTTATTATTAAATTTTTTTTTTTTGCAACAGAAAAATCGTGCATCGACTTGCCAAAAATACTAAAACCGCACAGTAGTTTATGAGTTAATTAGCTTAAAGTAGTAGTAGGGGATAAAAATAATAAAAAACGATTTTCTGTAATTAAAATAACTGTACATAGGTTTTTTTTGGGACTGGTGCGTTTCTCAGAGACAAATTAAATAACTTGTTCTACTAAATATTTGTAAGATTTTTTTTTTTTTAAATTAATTTTAAACTCATTTGTGTTTTAACCATCACGTTTTGTATTGTGGTATTTATAGCGTAAATGAGTATAAATTACTTAAAATAAAAAAAATCTTCAAAAGATACACTAGAACAAAAGTTATTTAATTTGACAAATCTTTGTGGGACACTCTGTATACTTGTAACCAGTTAAATAAATTTTTGTTGAAAAACAGAATAAATAAAAATAAAAAAATCCACACGTGTGACACGTTAATTATCAATTAAAACACAAGTCTTATATAATATTATTATGGCTGATCTATATTAATATCAATTGGCTTTGATAATTTTATTCTTGTTATCCATGTGGTTTTTGCTTTACATATATATACAAAGTCATAAACAATTATTGTTGGTGACATATTTTACGGAAGAAATCTGGATTATTGCGCGATTAAAATGTACGTGTAACAAAAAAAAAAAAAAAAAATGCTTAATGTATTTGTCTACATTATACTTTTACGCAGTTCTGATTGATGCTGAGGTAATATACTAATACCTAATGCGTAACAATAAAATCGAATAAAAATAATTGTACACTAGACAACCAGATATTTTCAAAAATGTGCGCATTTTTAACGTACAATATCGTCGCTAAGTACAACTCAAAAAGTTTTTCTTTAAAGAGCACATTAAATAGAAGAGACATTTTCATTAGTCGAGAAAAAATACTGTATTCGAAACGGATTTCATGATTAATGGCCATGTCTTGGTCGTCCAATCCGTCTTATGACAAAAACCACGCCATTTGTGCTTAGTATATCAAAATGTCTTTACCATAGACTGTATTTTGCACGTCGACCGACGATTTGTTAATTAAATTAATTACATTGGTATTATTAAATGATGGGTGCATAATTTGTTTGTTTGGCCTTCGAGATTGTTGTTGATAAATCCGATTATCTAACGTCAGGGAAGGAGTGCAAAGGGAATTACACTTCATCTAGGCCATTTAAAAATATTTAGCACACTAGATAAAAAAAAATAAATAAAGAATAAGCATAAGCAACTAAAATTTTTTTTTATTATTATATCTTAGCTTTATTAAAATTATATTTGCTTTATAATATTGAAGTCTAAATGTTTTTAAACATATGTCACAGATTTGCATTAAAATATTGTTTTTCAACGAATTCCGTTAGTTCACATCTACTTTTTTTATGTAAGTTCGTGTGGTTTAGTTGAGTTGAAATTTAAAGCATTTTTACTTTTTTATTTACGATATTGACAAATACCTAATAGATAAACTTCTGAATACCTAAAAAATACCACGCAGTTATTTTTAAACCCAATTGAAGTAGGATTAAAACAATTAAACTTATTTTCTTGCGAACATTTTATTGTAAAAATAAAATGTAATCATTTATTTAAAACAAATGGAAATTATAATGCAGAATTAAAAAAATACATTTTTAATTACAAAACATACAAGTTATCAAAATCATCATATTATAGGTACACGTGTATCGCGTATATAAGTTGAAATAATGCTAACCAGCAACAATTCAGTCACAAACCAGTTAACCGTCCAGGAAAATTATATTTTAGGTTTGCTCATCTCTTTCACGACAAGTTTGTTATAAACATTTTCGAAATAATATATTTGTAGTATAGATTTACTATAAAGGTACTACATTGAAATTAAAAAATAAGTGGATTTATTTATTTCTTTAAATATTTTACCATCACTGCCGTTTTTCAATAATATCAAAATGCAAATAATTTTGTTCAAAGAGAGTCAATTAAAGTGAGTTTTAATGTTATACATTATAAACAATATAATATTAATAAACCTAATTTAGAAAAAAATGATTGTGAAAATGTAATGATACATTTTATAATATAAAAGTAACGTGTAGGTATGTTATAACTATATTTATTTGTTTACACTTGTTTTAATTGTTATAAAAAATATGACAAGTCAACAATATAATGAGTTTAAAAATAAGGGAATTTTTCACGAATAAAAAATATACTATAACTATTATTAATTTTCCTTAACTAAATACCGGTTTAGTAAGTCCCAATAGTGTATATTTTTTGTGACAACCATTGTTGTTTTTTTAATTGCTCTTTGAGGCATATATATAGATGTAAACAATTTTTTTCTATTTCGGGGTCATAAGTATTTTTTTTTATTTATTCGCTAATTAAAGACAGCCATAATAAATTATCAGTCTTAATTATAAATGTAAGTGTTATTCAAAATAAATGGAAATGGAATAATTTTTTAACCATATTAATTCAATAGGTAGTAAAAACTGCATTTTTTGTTTTTCATTAAAAACGCATAAATTATAAATTATAAATATATATTTATACATCACACATTCTTATTTAATATGTATTTTACTTGAATAATATATACTAAATATATGCATATTACACGGACAACATTATATTTTATAAAGCTGTATATTTTTAATATTTCCACATCACAAATTGTTTGTGATTTAGTAATTATGAGGATCTATAAAACTTATCGCGTATTGTTAAAGTATAAGTGCTAAAGTGTTTGATGATTATCGCAATTTATTTACTTAAACGTACAAAAGCATTTTTCCTCTAAGTTTCACTTTTAGTATTGAGTTAAACAAGTTTAACTGGTTTAGGCCCTTCCATCCAAGCAACCTTCGTAATTAGATAAAGAGTAAAATCATACGTATTGGTTATAAATTATAATCACAACACAATAAAGAAAAAACTATACAATCTACAAATTCCGACCATTATGTTATTATTTTAAGAGTTCTGTGAAATTTATCAATATAAAATAATACTGGTCTTTGTTCTACGGGCTTCAATTAATATTTCTTATTTAAAAAATGAAACTATCAGCCTCAAACTTGAAAAAATATGTAAAGACTTCACCTCTTTTAAATACTC